GCGACGGAAACCACAGACTCTGCAGCGAACTCAACAAGATGCTTGCAGTAGTACTAGATGAAGTCCTCAACTATGAACCGCCTGCAAACCGCAACCAGGAGAGTGGAGAGGATGCAGAGAATATGATGGCGGGTGGTGGACAGGGAATTCTTGATATGCCCATGATTGAGGGACTGGAGCCGATACCCACTGAGGCGGAAGATTTTTTGAATTGGTTGGATAATGCTACGTGGAATGGGGCAGTGAGCTGATATGGCATTCGGTCCAAGTTGCCGCTTGTGGGATGAGCGATATCCATGTAGGGCTTTTGAACAGATTATCTCACTACATGGATGAGATGTCGGTGACAGAATTATACTTGGACAACCCTTGTAATTACTCGATTTAGAAGTCCACCCCCCTGTGCGAATCAGACCCTTTCGTGCTATAGAAGGGCCTCTACTAGGTTTTCAAAGCATCATGTCCCCAGTTCTTCAAACTCTTATAACTCTTACTCTCAGTATCTTGCTTGGCCTTTTCCTCCTGGGCTAAATGTCTCTTGCAATACGCCACCACCTTTCTCATATGATCAACATCTTCTTGCTAAAGACGCAACAACAACAAGTTAGTCATGGCATGTAATGCGAGCACTCTGCGATCAAATACAGGACTTACGTCGTACTTGCTAGGATCTTTGTGCGGATTCTTGGAAAGGATGGAGACGATGCGTCGGCCCGATTCGTGGCCAACTGTTTCGCCGTTGGATGAGGAGCTGTTGGTCCAACCTGCGCTCTCAGACTCTTGGCTGCCGAGCCATTCTTTGAGTTCGTCGGCAGTCATGTTTACGAGTTCGTTGAACTCCCTGGGGTAAAGATGAGCATGCATCAAACAGTAGGAATGGACACGCGAATCACGAACTCAATCACGGTGTCGTTGTCTTTGACCATTTTGCGCAGCTGGGTTGAGATGAAGATGTTTTTTTTTCAATAGGTATGCTTCAAGATGTCTCGGTGTAATGCTACGCAGGTTACTGCTGTGGTTTCTACACCTTGTCTACGACGGTGGTTAGTGACGTCATGACATTGCCGTTTCTGGTGACGGTTGGACTATCGCACGTAATGTGGCTGCGTGCGGCTCAACCGCGCGGACCGCTGACAACAACGTTAAAAATGTGCGGACATACTATCACTTTTATATGTAGATGTATGCATGTGTACGGCGAATAATGAGGCTGCTAGATGACCCAACAACTGAGTAACGTCCCGAGTCATGCTCGCCGGCTTGCAAAGCACAGTGCGTTATCTCTGCGCATTCTCAACTCTTCAGCTGCACTAAACTTCAATGGGCGACGACGGCGAGCAGCAACTCAAGAGCATTCGTTACCTGATGTCGCAGAATGTATATGTAAAACATCTTGTATATAATCATCCAAAAGTGTTGAGAATCCCTTCAGTTCAATTTGTCTTGTTCGACATCCCCAAGGAGTGGCAAGGTATCTCCAGGTCCCCGCATCACCACACCACCACACCTCCGCAACCCCCTTCTTCTCCTCACCACCACATCTCCACTGCCCCTCAGAGTTTTATTCACGCATTCCCCACGGCTGCGGAACTGCCGAGGATGTCTTTCCTCCTTTTCTTGTGCGATGCGGGCCGCTAACAGGCCATTAGAAAATTCTTGGTGGCTTCCTTGAGCCTCAAGTGGGCCAACTCCGCCGATCTGAGACCGAAACCTGGCTCATGTTGCATTTTCAATGGGTCACATTCTTGCTAGGCCCGAGCCTGTCTGCACGCGGTCGGAGATTGAAGGGCAAAATAAGCGAATCCATAAACATTGGCCCGGCTCGAGCGGCAAGTTGTTGAAGAGGCGGAGAGAAAGTCGGGGAGACGATAGAGTGATGTTGAGGGCAGCACGGACGTGTATCGACTTCAAGGCGCCCTCATCCCCACCTCCATCGCAAAGTGAAGTATCTTCACCGACGTTCGACCGGCCTCTGGGTGTACACGTCGCCTTGATTTACCACCGTCATGTACGTCACGCGACAATGGCCCTGTCTCTGCGAACCGGTTGTCCGGCATAACGGGCGTCAAGTACGCGACGCGGTGCCACCCGTTGCGAATGCGGGGTGGACATCATCAGAGGCGCTCGTGAGGCTCACAGTCTTTCAAGCAGTAGGACACCATATGGGCCGTCCGCGGTCAGATGCTCATAAGGGAACCCGATCCATCTCCTGCGATACTGTGGTAGCGCAACCACGGTCATTGGCCTTCTCCGGAATAGTCGGCGGAGCAGCCTTGGCTATCGAATCGCGGTCAACTTCCCCACATGTCGGTCGCTAGTCCTCAGCAGCCATGTTGCGTGGACAAGCCCACTACTGCAGTTTCACGAGCTCAGGACGGAATTCGTATGGCTGTTGCGCAGCTTGAGCCAAGAACGTAGGGTTCATCCTGCCCGGGGCGCCTGTGACGGCGTGGCGGCGATGACGTACAACCCCGGAGAGCATGTCTGGGCGCGAAGCTGGGCGCAACACTGGGCATTACCGCATAACCAAAGTCGGCAAGGGATTGGCAACGATACTTAAGACCTTGTGGGTTCGCGATGCGTAGAACAAGCAATTTTTCAGATTCCTTCAGCATTTTCGCTGAGCTCAATCTACTACCGTCATCATGGGTTTGGGCACAGTGTGAGTTTGAGAATTATATACACAACATGTATGCGGATTGTTCTAACTAATGATATGTAGTTCCCTCAAGATTCGCGGTACCGCAGTCGGTACCGAGGCTATCATGCTCGGTGTGATTACATCGATAGGTGGTTTTCTGTTCGGTTACGATACTGTATGCTTTGAGATACTTCCTGCCTGGAGAAACATTTTCTGATCGTGTATAGGGTCAAATCTCCGGTATTCTGTTGTTCCGCGACTTCATTGACCGCTTCGGACAAGATCAGGGCAATGGCCAAGTTGCATTCGATCCAACTATTTCGTCTCTGCTCGTCTCTCTCATGTCTATTGGTACCCTTATCGGCGCACTTGCTGGTGCATACACTGCCGACTTTTTTGGACGTCGCAAGAACCTTACTGTTGGTGTGATCATCTTCATTGTTGGAAACACTATTCAGGTCACTGCTATGGACACTTGGGTCCACATGACTATGGGTCGTATCGTTGCTGGTGTCGGTGTCGGTATCCTGTCTATCGGTGTTCCCATGTATCAGTCCGAAGTCTGCCCCCGTGAAATTCGTGGCCCGGTCGTCGCCTCATACCAGCTCATGATCACCATTGGTATTCTGAGTAAGTATCGCTTTCTCTCAGTGTACGTGGATGATACTTATATGCTCAATAGTCTCCAACATTATAAACTACGGTGTCCGTGACAACCCAGGTCAGGATAATTCCGCATCCTGGAGAATCGTCATTGGTCTTGGTATCGCCTTCTCAATTCCTCTTGGTTTCGGTGTTTTATTCACCCCTGAATCGCCTCGATGGCTGGCCGGTAAGGGACGATGGGAAGATGCGCGTATCGCTATGGCTCGTCTCCGTGGTCTCAAGCACGACCCCAACAACCAGTTGGTCAATGAGGATTTCCAGGAAATGGAGGACTCCATCAACGAGCAAAAGAGCGCCGGTCAGGGTTCTTGGAAGGAATGCTTTGCCCGCTCATCTTCTGGTATTCCCCGTGTTGTCTACAGGACGATCCTTGGCTGTGCGCTTCAGTTTGCGCAACAGTGGACTGGTGTCAACTACTTTTTCTACGTAAGTCTTTGTGGATATCCACTGAAACAATTTGTCACTAACCAATTTACAGTACGGAGCAACCATCTTCCAGTCCGCCGGTGTTCAAGATCCCATCCAGGTTCAGCTTATTCTTGGTGCTGTCAACGTAGCCATGACTTTCCCTGGTCTCTACCTCATCGAGCGACTTGGTCGCCGAGTCCCACTGATTCTTGGGGGTCTCTGGCAAGCAACTTGGCTGCTCATCTTCGCTATTATCGGCGTTGTTCTACCCCCAAGTGAGAACAAGGTGTCTGGCATTGTTATGATTGTCGCTGCATGCATGTTCATTGCAAGTTTCGCTGCCACCTGGGGACCCTTTATTTGGGTTGTCATTGGTGAGACGTTCCCTCTGCGAACACGTGCCAAGCAAGCATCTTTGGCGACGGCATTCAACTGGCTTGGTATGTTCCTTTTGTTCTCGCACATTTTGCATTTACTAACAAACCCCCCCAGGTAACTTCTTGATTGGTTTCCTCACGCCTTATGCCGATGACGGTATCGGATACGCCTTTGGTTTCGTCTTCTTCGGCTGCAACTTTGCCGCAGCAGCCATCGTCTACTTCTTCCTTTTCGAGACCAAGGGTCTGTCTCTCGAGAATGTCGACATTATGTACTCGGACAACAACCTCTCTGCTAGGACCAGTAAGAAGTGGGTACCTGCCGGATACATTACGCGTAACGAGCGCGACGACGCTTACTGGCAACGCCGCCACAGCGCCGTCGCTGCTAATGGCGGTGCGCCTGGCAGCGTTGCTGAGAAGTATAACGACAAGGACGATAGTTCACCCGAAAGGGGCATGTCGTTGCACCAAGAGCGCGTTAACTAAGCGCATAGCCTCTTTGATGTATATTAGATAGCATCGATAAAGCGGTGTTCTTTTTTCCCTGGTTTTCCTTGGGCATAATCATGCCAAGGTGGTCGTATCGCATGACTGCTTTTTAGCGCTGCATGTTGGCCTAGAGGAGTGTCACATCACATAACAATACCCCCAAATCATCAATTCACGTAAAATCCATTTTAATTCTACATGCATATGAAATGTGACTTTTCCTTCATCATGACAAAACCAAATAGTTGAACAGATGTATTAATACAGAGGAGTAAGAGTAAAAAACATTACGTTATCAAACCCACCGTTGTCTGCCAACACAGCCACGCAGCCCACCCACGCCAAATTTAGCGTGGCGCAGGGCACACCCGACATACGCGTCAGCCTTTTTGAACAACGCCCTCTGCCCGCCTGTTTGTTTATTTGCCATTCCTACCCCACAACTTCTTTCGTTCAGCCACATAGTAAACGGATCAAACCAGACAAATATAACGATCTAACATTTGTATCTTGCATTTCCCCTTCCTCAGTCGTTTTCTCTGGAATATATCTGCCTGTTTTGTTATACGTACGTACAACTCCCGGTTGGGGATCCATTCGCTTGAAGGCCCGGCGTGAAGACGGTGTGTGCCACCGCATCAACAGAAAAAAAGAGACGGGAAAGTCAGAAAAAGAATCATGGCACCGACACTTGCTTTCGAATCTAATATTGGAGAGTTGGCGCGGAGAGCAGCTGTTTTATCGTCTTCGTCTTTCGCTGCTTCGTTTGAAGCTGAGACTTCATCGGGATTGTACGCGCGGCATGGATTCGCGAAGAGAGATCTATCTGTCAACCACACCCAGGGTGTTACGCTGGGTGTGATAGGAGCTTATGTGGTTGTTATTGCGTTATTGTGGAATTTACCGTATGTGAGGTGGGTGTTGTGGCCGTTTAAGGTATGTTTGTTTCCCTTTTAATCCTCCGTCCCCCATTCCTTGCCATAAAGTCTCCGCCTCTATCTTTATCTCGTATCATTCCCTTGAAAGTGAAAAATCGTCCGGGAAAGAGAAAGAGAAAGAGAAAGAGAAAGAGAAAGAGAAGAATACCCGCAAAAGTCCCTATGATGGATTGAGGAGGAGATGGTAGTGAACTAAGATGTGGACTGATGTGGTATAATAGATGCTCGTCATAGCCTTCCACGAATTCTCCCACGCAATCACCGCCGTCTGCACCGGCGGCCGCGTCGAATCCATCTCGCTCGACCCCCACGAAGGCGGCGTCACGCACATGCGCGGCGGCAAGCAGATCGTCACGCTGCCCGCTGGCTACCTGGGCTCCTCGCTCATCGGCGCCTTGCTCACCTTTTGCGGCTTCAACATTGTCGCGTCCAAAGTAGCGAGTATCGTGCTAGGTGTGTGCTTTTTGCTGACGCTGTGGTGGGCGCGCAAGGATTGGCTGACGATTTTGACGATTTTGGGGAGTGTGGGGTTGTTGGTGGGCTTTTGGTTTATTGAGCATGGGGAGGCGTTGAGATTTTTGGTTGTATGTTTTATACCCCCTGCTTTTCCCTTTTTCTCACTGTGTTATGTGATTGCTAATTCGTGTGTTTAAAACAGCTTTTCATTGGTGTCATGTCCTCGCTGTATAGCGTCTGGGATATCTGTGATGATCTTATTCTGCGCAAGGTAAATTCTTCAGACGCGAGTGTCTTTGCGAAGCGCTATGGAGGCTCCTCGCAGTGCTGGGGCGTCATTTGGTCGATTGTGTCGCTGCTGTTTATGGTTGGTGGTATTTTGGCTGGGTTGGCGGCGTTTAAGCAGAGTTTTGAGCAGCAGCAGAAGGATAGTCAGGGGTTCATTCCTACAATGCGGTAGATGAAGTGGTCATACATAGGGCAAGCTATAATGCTGTTTGGAAAATATGGATTCATGATATTGGTTGATGAAATAGATTAGTACGTATACTATGATCTCCCTCCCTGGGGTTAGCAGAACATCCCACCACGTAGAATCATGAACATCGTTCAAGCACTACCAACTCAATCCCGCCATATAATGAAGACTAAGCTAGACTGGAATTACACTGCGGAAGTGTCTTTGCCTACTATGTATCTTCAAAACAAAAAAACACAGCATTGTTGGGTTTGCTTCTTTCATAAAGTGCGGCTTCTATTTACATACTCCCGGGTTTTCACGTAGCAGGATTTTGTACGCTAAGCAGTCTGCATTGTCTCTTAGGAATAAAAATAGCCGGACAAAAAGTGCTCCTACTATAACTGTGTAACGCCTTAATAACATTGACACTACGGAATGCCTAGCTTAAAAATTAAGGAAATAAATACTAATATATGAAGTAAGACTTCTGGTACTTTTTTTTTAGATTTTATACCGTTGCTTATAGTGGATTTTACTGTAACTTGAGCTGATGTTGGACGTAGTTTTTATCCGGCTATTTTAGTTCCCCAAGAATCCCTTGTACTACATCCCTGCGATGCTAAGACTGCTAGAGCTGTGGCGCAGGCTGGCCATCATAGCCTGTCCTGATGCTTAGCAAAGCGAGGCAGTATACTCTTCTCCCCATGTGTGAACATGCACGTACCCCGCATCTATAAATGGCGGCACGAGAGAGCGCAAACGATTGGTCTAACAGCTTGTCAGGCCGCCGCGCTTCCATGCTATCCAGCCTGATGTGGCCAAGGACCGAAGCTCCTCCATCACAACATGCGACTGCTCGAGATAAAACATGACGACACGATCGCGCTCACAGAGGACCTGGTGGGCGCAAGCAACGTGCCCGCCTACGCCATACTCTCACACACCTGGCTGTCTGGTCAGGAGGTCACCTTCGACGAGTTTAATAGAGGTCTTGGACGTGACAAGGCTGGCTTCGACAAGATCCGCTTCTGCGCACAACAGGCTCAGCAAGATGGCCTGCGGTACTTCTGGGTGGATACGTGCTGCATCAACAAGGCAGATCCTGTCGAGCTTCAGCATGCGATCAACTCCATGTTTCGCTGGTACCAGAGAGCGACTCGATGCTATGTTCTTCTAACAGATGTGCTTGGTGTTGAGCCAGCGATTGACCGTGTACCCAGCATACCTGCTTGGGAAGGAGAGTTTAGGCGAAGCCGCTGGTTTACTCGAGGTTGGACGCTCCAAGAGCTGCTTGCCCCACGTATTGCAAGCTTCTACTCGAGAGACTGGACGCATCTAGGCGACCGAGACAACCTAAAACAACTCATCCACGAGATCACAAACATCCCCTGTTCTGCCCTTACTGGAGCCTCATTAGATACCTTTAGTGTAGAGGAGCGCCTATCTTGGTCGAACCAGCGTCAGACTACGCGTGAAGAAGACAAGGCGTACTCGTTGCTGGGTATCTTTGGCGTCTTCACGTTCCTCAACTATGGCGAAGGTGAGACCAATGCTTTTAAAAGGCTACGAAAAGCGATCGCAGAAGACTCGCAGGAATTGTCCCAGCTACAGGCGTCAGCGGGGAGTCTTGGAGGGAGCCTCACCACCTATACACCTGGTACGTACAAAGGCAGTCGGATAAGTATCTTGTTGTGTGTCTGATGTGTTTGCGCTGACCTGTCAGCTGTCCACAAACCCTCCTACTACATACCGTTCTCAAGGAACCGATACTTCGTTGGAAGGAAAGAAGAGCTTGAGATCCTCAATCAGACGCTGCTGGAGGGCACAGGTTGCCAAAAGATGTCGATTGTGGGACTCGGTGGGACTGGAAAGACTCAGCTAGCCTTGCGGTTTGCATACACAATCAGAGAAACCATGCCAGCCGTCTCGATTTTCTGGATGCCTGCACTCAGCATGGAGAGCTACGAGCAAGCCTGCGTAGCCGTTGCCACTGCTTTACACATCAGTCAGGCGGAAACGAGTAAAGACAACGTAAAAGAGCTAGTGAGAGAGCATCTAAGTGCGGATCAGGCAGGACCGTGGCTACTTGTGCTCGACAACGCAGATGATCACGACATCTTATATGGCACCGAGCATGCTGCGGGCATCATCGACTACCTACCGGAGAGTGAGAAGGGCATGACCGTGTTCACTACACGAGTGCAAGAGTTAGCCGTGTCGTTAACGCGAGGTGACGTTCTAGAACTGGGGTCTATGAGCAGACTAGATGCCATGAACTTCTTAGAGAAGTCTTTAATCAGAAAGAACCCCACTGAGGAATGCGAAGAGCTGTTAAACGAATTGGCGTACCTCCCTTTGGCCATCGCCCAGGCTGCCGCGTACCTGAACATGAATAGAACAACTATTACAAGGTATCTGCGGCTGCTGAGACACACAGAGCAAGATACCATTAGTCTGATGAGCAAAGAGTTCCGGGACCAAACACGCTACAAGGGCTCGGCGAACGCAGTGGCCTCGACGTGGGTGGTATCGTTCAGTCAGCTTCGAGAGCGCGATATAGTGGCAGCAGATCTGCTAGCATTCATGTCGTGCATTGAGTGGAAGGCAATACCACAGTCGCTGTTGCCGAAGGTGCAGTCGCAAGAGCGATTAGAAGAGGCTATTGGCACGCTCTGCGGGTACTCGTTTGTATCAAGGCGGGAAGGCAACAACACTCGTGAGGTTGATGGAGGAGAAGAATGGTATGATCTGCATCGACTCGTGCATCTAGCTATCAAAGTTTGGGTAGAAAAGTGTAGTAGTGCTGCAGGTGTGAGCCAACAAGCTATGGCGCATGTTGCCGAGGTCTTCCCGACCGACGAGTTTGGCAATGAGGCCGTCTGGAGAGCATATATGCCTCACGCACTACGACTACTTGACACAAAAACATCTGTTGATGCTGAAAGCAGAGCCAAGCTAAGTCATTGGGTGGGACGATGCTTAATGGTCGACGGTAGAGTTCTAGAATCAGTGAGATGGGCGGAGGAGTGCTTGCGGTGCAGGGAAGTGCTAGATGAAGATGATCCAGATCGGCTGGCAGCGCAGCATGCGCTTGGTATTTCCTACCAGGAGAATGGACAGGTTGAGGATGCTATAAGATTACTAGAGCATGTAGTTAAGATACGAGACACTACACTCGCAGAGGCTCACCACAATCGGCTAGCGTCGCGGCATGCGCTTAGTATTTCCTACGCGGAGAATGGACAGGTTGAGGATGCTATAAGATTACTCGAGCATGTAGTTAAGATACAAGACACTACACTCGCAGAGACTCACCCCAATCGGCTAGCGTCGCAGCATCAGCTTGCTGTTTCCTACGCGGAGAATGGACAGATTGAGGATGCTACAAGACTACTAGAGCATGTAGTTAAGATACGAGACACTACACTCGCAGAGACTCACCCCAATCGGCTAGCGTCGCAGCATGCGCTTGCTGTTTCCTACGGGGAGAATGGACAGATTGAGGATGCTACAAGACTACTCGAGCATGTAGTTAAGATACGAGACACTACACTCACAGAGACTCACCCTAATCGGCTAGCGTCGCAGCATCAGCTTGCTGTTTCCTACTACGCAAATGGACAGATTGAGGATGCTACAAGACTACTAGAGCATGTAGTTAAGATACGAGACACTACACTCGCAGAGACTCACCACAATCGGCTAGCTTCGCAGCATGCGCTTAGTATGTGCTACTACGCGAATGGACAGATTGAGGATGCTACAAGACTACTAGAGCATGTAGTTAAGATACAAGACACTACACTCGCAGAGACTCACCCCAATCGGCTAGCGTCGCAGCATCAGCTTGCTGTTTCCTACCAGGAGAATGGACAGGTTGAGGATGCTATAAGACTACTAGAGCATGTAGTTAAGATACAAGGTACTACGCTCGCAGATACTCACCCCTTTCGGCAAGCGTCAGAGGCCTGGTTACGCCATATGACTTCTGATTGAAAATAAATTCCATTTCGTTCTTTCCCCAACATCCTTGTCTCGAGTAGTTTTGGCAGTGTTTCTTGACGTAACGCTTCAACATGTCTCAGGCGGTCAGATGCCTCAAAAACTATATCCCAAGGACAAGGCTCTAGGGACACACACATAAGCATACTGATAATTGCAACTCGACAAAAGATATGTATATAAATCTCGTTAAACGCGTCTCAGGGGCTGCACGAGTTACTCTGCTCAATGCCAACAGTGCCTGAGGACCCTACCTTGCATTGTCTAGAAGGATGTTCTGATAGACCTATATGTATCTGAACCATGTGGAGTTTGTAGTAGTAACATCACTCGCAATCGGGGATTTCTCCAGGAGTATCGCTAGACTATACAACGGTGGGTTGAAGAAGTTGTATTGCTTCAAGATTTTCTTCATACCTCTGTGGCTGTGCCATGTTCTAACTACTAACCACACGGCGGAGGCAAGGTTAAACCTTTTTCTCCTCGTACATGACACACCTTTCCAAGGACAAAAAAAAGGTATCATTCCATGGCTGAAATAGAAAGAAATGTCGCTTGGGCATTTATATTAGACTACTACGGAAGAGAAACCCAGTTTACCAGCCAAGCAAAACAACACTACTAAACATGGTATCTAGCGAGAGCAAAGAAAACACCATTATGATCGTAATCATAATCATAATCATAACCACCTCGGTACCTGTTTCTACTGTCCAGGCACATGTGCCACATTCCTAATATCCTTCGTCTCGATCCTGCCCACGGCAGGATACATATCATGCCGATCAATATAACTCTGCGTCGTCTTGACATTCTGCAGTGCCTCATTCCTACCTTCGCTCTTCGCAGTCTCAACCTGAACAAGCATGTTTTTGTCAAACTCCCCACCGTTTACACCTCCTTCTTTAACGGGAAACACCTTGACTTCACCGGCGTCTTCAGCAATGGGCGGGATACCGTTGTGCTGGCCCTCGAGTGCCAGGGTGTGAATACGGGAGTCCAGGTCGTCGGTAGGGAACTGGGGGGACTGCGGTATTGCGCCGACAGATTTTGAGCGGACGGCTTGCAGGGGGCTCATGGAGTCGGAGATGGGATCTTGGATTTCGACTGCGGAGAGGGAGCGCTGCGGGTCTACGGTAGGAACACTGTTTGAGCGCTGTTTTTCCAGTGTGGCTTGTTGGGGATTTTGCTTGGTGCTCTTGTTCCAGGACTTGAATTTGAAGGCTGAGAGCCAGCTCGGGCGTTTGTCTTTGCCCGCATTCGGGTTGATGGCGCGCTCGGCGGCGAGCTGGATGTGGGATTTTGCTTCGGGCTTGCGAGTGCCGGGCAGGAGTACTTTGGGAGCTGCTGACACGGGGGCTGGAGCGGGCCGTGTTTCCTGGACTGATTTGCGGTGGACTGATTTGTCTGTGGTTGGTTTTGCGATGCCGAGTCCTGCGCGGTGTTGGGCAAGACTGGTTTCTTTGAGCTCTTGACTTATGTACTGCAGTGCCTTGTCGATGACTTCAATGTACTCGGGATAGTCGACTTCACAGGCTTCACGAATCAAGCGGAGCTTCTCCCAGTCCTGTCTTACCGTCGGGCCGGTCAGATCAGGATGCCAGCCCATGCTTTTAAGATCAGATCGAATTCCACGATCGACTTGCTCTTTTACGCCCATGAGATCAATCAGAGCATCAACCTCTGTGCGCACTGTCTTGACATATTCGTTGAAGCGCGCAGTGTCCTTGACTTGCCAATGCGATGTCGTCATACTCAGATTCCGCTTGAGACTAGACCGAGCACCAGTTTGGGTAAGGAGATCTTTAAGCAAGCCATACTTTTCACGGAAACCCTCGAGCCGATTACTGTCAAGAGCGGGGTATTCAGCCTTGGAAAAAGTCTTTGGGCTTTTCAGGCCGTACACGCTCATCAGCTCGTCTCGTGACATGTTGCTTGGTCGGCCCGCGATCTCGTGAAGCGCCCTTCGAATCTTGGCGTTGATGACCTCTTCATCGAGCCTGGGATCGCGCACACCAAAGTTGACGGGCAGAGTTGGGTCTGGATTTGTGATTCCAGGATGGCTTGGAATCATGTGTCGTGCAATTGTCGCAGGCGGCGCAGAGATTCCCACGGCGTCTCCGAAGATGAGTAGTCTGCCCTGCTGGATGCCGAGCTTGGCAAGCGCCACTTTTTGCGCATGGTCGTGGTCTTTTGTCGGGTGGATGCGATTGAATGCCTCGACACAGGTGCTGAATTGCGAGGCCAGGGAGAAGACGTCGGTCAGCATCTGGGCCTTTGTCTTGGTCCCGGGCGGTTCTGTCGATTCGACATAGTCTGTTGTGGGCTTGGTGGACATGGTGGTTGAGGGCTGTCTGTGGCTTCGAGGGGAGGAATGAAATGGAATGGCAGTGGCAGAGAAGGAGAAGAACGGCCAGATTAAAGGGGTCTTGGACGAGGGCCTAGACACTAAGTGGCTACGTCAAGGAGCAGCGGGAAGACCTATGCATCCATCGTAATACATGGCAAGATGCAAATCAAACCAAATATTTACCGCATGTGCGCATGACGTGTGAGCGTTTGTCCAGCGTCGAGGTGTGTGTGTGTGGCGCAGCGGCGTGCACAAAGGGAGCGGGGCTTGCTGGATCGGCAGGCCGTTTATCCTGACTTGGCTTTGCTTGCCCACCCCTCATTCGCGCCCTTGGCCTACGCCCACAGCATTCAAGCATTGGCACTCTCAATGCTAGGTCTCTTGCTGCATTGTGTCTGTGGCGGTGCCACAGTGCATGACCAGAACCAGCTCCCAGAAAAATCCCTCACATTGGCAGTCCATGTCGCGCAAAGCGCGCAGAGAAATTTTCTTGGTAAATTTTGCAGCCATGGCGACAATGTCTGCTAGCCTGTTTTGACTGTATGCACATACCTAGCACCTTGCCATCTCAACACGGGGCAAAACGTAAACTAGCTACAGGCTCAGGCTGAATGTCGGCCAACCCCCTGCCCTATGCACTTTGCCTGCTTCGTGGGTGGATGTCTTGGCGAGCGCATGGCTCCTACAGCTACGATGCTGCTCATCAGGCTTGTTGACTGGAAAGAGTAGGACATTCATCAGAAATGGAGTTGGTAATTTCCTCATTCATACCATATATTTCGTGAACGAACCGGCCGATCGCCTTTTTTCTACGAAAACCCAACATCGCCCAGCTCTCCTCATTATTAACCGCCATCCTCGATAACATACATATAAAATAGCTAACTCTAGCAGCCCAACTAGCGGTGCTAAAGAGGGTGCAGCTTAAGCTCTATTTACTCTATCTATCTATCATCTAAACTACGTCTCTCCTATAGCACTGCCAGCTAGGCTGTTAGAATGATCTATTTTGTACATGATGTTATCGAGGATGGTGGCTAACGATGAAGAGAGCTGATTTTTTAACTCGATTTCTGCCTCATTTTCTGGCTATTCAGGCTGGCGGAGATTATGGTGCTCGTTACATGACCAGGCGCTATTTGAATACGGAGATTCTTACTATCTTTGCACAGTAAATCAGCGCAAAGCTTCTTAGAGCCAACCAGATCGCATTTCTTCGTGCACGAAACCCCCTCCAGGGCCGCTCGTAATATGCAACAGAGTAGCAACAAACACCCACGTACACTATTTAACCGGCCTACACTACAAACCATCAGCCTTTCACCCACCCCACCATACTCACCCATCTACTTACAACCCTCGGTCTTCCCTATTCACTCACTATCAGTACCCCTCTCACTGCAAACACCATTGTAAAATATGTACTTACAACAAGACAAGTCTAATTTCCCCCACCACCTTATTAGCCCCTCATCCCATCTCTCTCAATTTCAAACCATGCCACTTACAAGATCGAAACACACACAATTCAAAGAACAACATGTCCTATCGTCATCGCATGGCTCGTAGTTCTGTTTCCCTCCCAAACACACAAACTTATCAGCGGGGGAATTGGAGACGAAAAAGGGGCGATGTGCAAAAGACAGGCCAAGGACGTACGCGAATGCACATCAAATCTATGGGTTCGTAGCGCAGGGGGAGGGTATGCAGGGAATCGTCGATCGGGGACTGTTTGAGGGGAGCCTTTTCTTTGGGGTAGGCGTGGGTGGGCAGAATGAGAGTGAGAATGAGGAGGTGCATGTTTGGTGGTTATGTAAAGAATTGGGAGTAAGTGAGGTTGGAGGGGGTAGGAATGGAGGGTATAATGCGAGGAAGAAAGGGAAGGTTGTTTGGGGACATGGCGTATATATATATATATGTCAAGAGTAATTGTGATGCGTACCGGGACCGTTCAACGGGCGGGGTTTTTTTTCGCCTAGAGAAGTACCGACTAAGACGTCTTTACTCCAGTATACGTAATTTCTTGCCAACACGTCTCACGTGGGATAACCTAAGATCGGACAATGTTAAGTGGATTTACCATTTAGTGCATAGGTCCTGGAAAATGTTGGACATATAGGTAAATTCCCCCGATCCTCTCTGCCTTCATGTACAACTTGTGAAGCAAGTATCCTCCTTCAAAGCGTCAAGGCCACTAGCTCCAAGTCGATACCAGAATATCTCCGTAGATGACAGCAACGCTACATACAACTGCCGGACATCCTCGATTCCGCCCTGCGTACCCCCCCCCCCCACGGTTCCAGCACTGTGATCAGCCTTCGGACGCTCTTGGCATGTGATTTTGCATCATGGGATCTGACATGATTGCACAATCCACCAATCGATACCCGACTCTTGTAACGTTGATATCGCCATTAGTGCGCCGATTCGGGTTACATATGTATGGGTGTGGCGCAGGTTTCGCGGGAAGCGCCGTACCGTACATGTGGGATGGGGCGGATCCCTGTAGACATGGATGCTACGTATGTACATTACATCAGAGACTTAGCACTTGGCTTTCCGCAATGGGGCGTAGTGGGCATAGGGTCCTTTATGTGGTGTGTTAATTCTTTCTGTTGGATATTGACTTGCATTATCCGGGTCTATGTGCAGCTGACATCGGGGGATATCTTGGATGCTCCGCCCCGTATTAAGCATTTCGAAAATGCGTATTGATTTTGCGATATCATTAGGCGTAATACATTCGTTATGAAGAGAATAAGCGGGACACATTTCGAATTAGACATGGTAATAGGGACTTTTTCCTTCAGGCTTGTCCTCGCTGACGCTCCGTGCAGTGTTTGTGTCGCATATCGTCGTCTCCGTCTTTGATTTTTGCAGTTTATTGCGCTCGATGCTGAACTCATTTGTAACGACAATGTCGCTATTCTGGCGATTCAATGCACCAGGTCTGCTAGGGGGAAGTACGTCATCCTCAATGATGTTACATTCGCTGTCGCGCTGCGATTCGTTTCTCGGATGAGACACGCTACTCCTATGGCCTGTTCCGGGGTGGTGATTACTTTGCCAGATCATTGGGTATGAAAAACGCTTCGTGTTGGCTTTGGAAGCTCCGTGCGAGCCGAATAAGGGTCCAAATAAGCGTACGAATGGAGCGCGGAGCATTGGAAGACAGGCGCAAATGATACCGGCATTCGCTTCGATGACGGACCATATTGTCGCGGGAATGGGACCCCAGGTTGGATCTGGGTTGTTTGCGGATGTTGCAATGGTCGTGGCGCGATAGATGGACGCAAAGGTTACGCTTCGTACTGTTAGCAACTCGTCTTGAGCAGATCTTCCTCAACACATACAATCCACCGGTGCCAAACACCAATGCTACACCCAGCTTCTCAGTTGTGCCCATGGAGAGTTTTAGAATCTGTCGGAATGGCATGGCAAGAAGTACAAAGTCGGTGATGATTTGGACGGTCGCGTAGGAGATCCACCAGGGTTGATTGTGGAAACACTTGGCTCCTTCTATGCTGTGATCCCAGAAAGCGGCAATCGGTGTACACTGGAAGATTGTAGCCAGGGTAAAAGCAATGCCTGTAGTGACTATCCATATATCTGGGACTATTTTAGCACGTGGGATCATGTCATAGCGGTACAGACACTTACTCATGACATGGCATGCGATGCGGAAAGACGTTGTAATGATGGCGAAGATGCGATAGTACAGGCATACGACTGACATTTTATTGAACAGGAGAACCACTTTGTAAACAACTATGACAGTTAGCAGAGATCCTAGGAGCATAGCAACGCCTTGCCTAGGCAGCATTCTTATGACAGAAATGAGGAGGTGTTGATGGGTCTACTCACTGTTTGCCCCATAGAACCATTTGCGAGCCGTTATCCGAGATTCCGCAGGTAGTGTCTTCCAAGGCCTCCCATAGCCATACACAACAGCTAAAGAAGATTAGCGTTTAATATCCATACAGACCGATGAGCCTACCTTGACACTCAGTCACAGTCAGCAGAATCGAAGAAAACAAGGCTGCGATAATCAAATAGTCGTCCATTCCCAGCCCGCTTTTCTTAATAAACCGCTGAATAATGCGTGCGCCGACGAAGAAACCAGCCAGCACGACAGCCAGCACACTGGTGAGCCAGAGACCCCATCCGCGCTCAACAGGGCCTTGGGAGCCCAGGCCGACGTTGGGAGCCATGCGGAGTGAAGATGTAAACAAAGTGTCAGGAATTGTTTACAGGAACCAAAGTCCCACGGATAGCGGGGCCTGGCAGCATAACTAACTATGCTGGAGCAAGGTTGCATCCCAAGGAGCCCATGATTTGGCAGTACACAGGTACATACGCTATATGCAGGGTAAAGAACGTGAGCCGTGTGCCAGAGATACGAACCGACTCGCCTTGTGGGGGTCCAGTCAGGGTGACCACGAGGGCAAATGTTTCACTGCGACCGTGCCCTACGATTGGATCTGGTATTCCCAGTTTTCGGGACGGCCAAAAATGGGCTCTGCAGCTGTCCGGGCGCAGTCAAGATTTTCCTTGCTAGGGTGAACACATTGTCCCTTGGACTGCTTGGAAAAGGTGATGATCAGCACGGTGACATTCACGGAAAAGGTATGGGCTACCTAACAGGGCATCTTGGGTCAGATAGAGATCGGCGATACGTACTTGTTCCGTTGATGATGGCAGAACACTGGCATTACCAAACGCATTGCTCGTGCCCGTCACACTGGAACATGGTGAGAACGTTTTGCAAGGACATGGACAGGAGAATCTCCCACGGAAAGGATGCGCATAATTAGCGACTGGAAACTTGTTACAAGGCGATTAAGGCAGGTCATAAGAATGACCAGGTTCCATGCAGCTGGGAAGGACGACAGGGTGTTTTCGGGACTAGCGCCTCCACGCGAAATGGTCAATGGACACAACCGAGATGAACCTTCACCCGGAGTCGCCATGTCAAAAACGACGTCGATGCTTTGCCGTGCCCGAGCCCTACCGCGCGCCCATTGTTCATCATTTGGCAAGCTGAGTAATTTCCATCCTACCTCGGCCGGCATCCGTATCTACTCCCCACATCATTCGTCCGGCGTATAATGGATGCCGTTGACGGCGACCAAGCGACATGGGCTACCAGCTAGCCAGCCCGTTCCCGTAGCCCAGCGGCGAACCATCGTGTGGGATTTGTTCCGTTATAAGCCCGCTGCCCACCCTTTGTCGCCAGTCCAGCCACTCAAATCTTCACTGGGTCTGCCGTGGTTTCGCGTTGACAAAGATGCAGCACCTACTCCTTACGGCCGTAGCCGTAGCCTCATTTTTTGGCTCGGCTATTTCAACACCAACAAGCAAGTCACGTGTTGAGACGTCGAGTGGCATTGTAATCGGTCATCCAGCTTCTAACAAGACTCACGTGACTGAGTTTCTGGGAATTCGCTATGCTGAGGCGCCCGTAGGTGAGCTGCGATTTGCAGCGCCTAAGAAGTATCAAGCGCCGCCAGGGTCCGTGTTCGAGGCGTTGGAGTGGGTGGGTACTGTCCATGTTGCATTTCTAGAAGCATGCTAACAGATGAAGTCAGCGTATGTTTCCATGGCACCACGCGTGAAACGCATCTAACAACGTCGTAGTGATTGTCCCGCTGTTAAGCCACCCGTGTCTTCATTTCCAAACTTTACACAGCCGTCTGGCTTACGTGTGTGGAAGAACTTTGCTGCGCAGAATAACAACTCTGTGTCCGAGGATTGCCTGAAGCTTAATGTTTGGACGTCGAATGCTGGTAAAGCTCACGCAAAAAAGCCGGTGCTGGTATTCCTCCATGGTGGACGTATGTTGTTACTTTGTGCAGAGCCGAAAACTTGCATTAACACTACTTAGGTTTTCAAATTCCTGGCCCTCACAGCCCCTTCTACAATGGCCAGTACCTTGCTGATGCCGAAGACGTTGTGGTAGTGACGTTCAAGTAAGACCAATCGGCTCTAAATCCATACTTGTACTGACCATATCAGCTATCGCCTGGGTATCTTTGGCTTTGCCGGTGCTCCTGGTATCGAGAAGAATGCTGCCCTTCGCGACCACCGTGCCGCTGTAGAATGGGTGCGTGACAATATTAGAGGCTTCGGAGGTGATCCCTCACGTATTGTTATCTTCGGACAAAGCGCCGGTGGTGCTGCGGTCGATTACTGGTCGTACGCCTGGAAGAAGGACCCCATTGTTTCCGGTCTTATCCCCATGTCTGGAACCTCATTCAGCTTCATCCCAAACACGGTCGAGTACTCGCAGTCTATCTGGTACAATGTTTCCCGCACAATTGGCTGCGGTGGTGCTAGCGACGACTCTGCTTCAGTCGTAGCTTGCGTCCGTTCAGCAAACGTGTCGGCCATCCTCGCAGCAGCAGCAAGAGTTCCTGGCCTTCCTAGTGTCGGCTTGACGCAGGCGACTTTCCACCCGACTGTCGATAACCAAACAGTCTTCGCAGATTACCAACAACTCTCTGAAGCTGGTTCTTTTGCGAAGATTCCGCTCCTACTTGGCAACATCGACCATGAAGACGGATGGTACCGCATTTCTGGATGGGCAGCCAAAATAAACTTTACCAATGCCCAGTGGGATTTATTCACTGAACGTAGCTTCACCTGTCCGACTTCCCTTTCAGCTGCGTACCGTGCCCAACACGACGTTCCTACATGGCGATACAGATACCACGGCGACTGGGATAATCTTCGTCTTTACAACGGCAGCGCAGGTCTCGGGCCTCGAGGCAGCGCAGCCTACCACGGATCTGATCTTGGACTCGTCTTTGGCACTGCTCAAGATATCTCTGGTCTTCCCAATAGCCGTGCTGAAAACAAGTACAGGGACTATGTCCAGGGCGCATGGGCGGCGTTTGCTCGAGACTCGCAGCGTGGATTGACAAAGTATGGATGGCCGAAATACAAGCCAGGTGAGTTTTTTGTTTGACTCCTCGAAAAAGAGATGTATACTAACATCCACAGGTACCGCTTCGCTGGTAGAACTGGCCTACGGCAACAGTGTAAAGCCCAAATTTGTCAGTCCTTCGATTTACGATGCAGCGTGTCCTGCGAAGAATGACCCGCTGCCCGGCCGAGGCGCGTTTTAAACATTTCTTCAATCTTTAGTATATCAATCAAATTACATTAATGAACCCCTGATATCTTCCCGTCGTACCCAATCCTCTTATGCCGTCTTTCCACCACAACTTGCACTTTCTCTCCCAACCATACTATCCGATATTGATACATTGCCAAGAAAACCAATATCAAAACCCCGTTCCACACTGGGATAGTTACACAACAGCAAGCACTACCTTGCGTAAGTGGCTTGCGCACTGACGAATTCACACGTGGTGGCGTCCGTCTACCCCAGTTCCTCGGGGCCCTTGCATCCCGTTCCTACTATGACCGTACTACTAGTCCTGAGCAACGACGCATCACATAGTCGTAAATCTCTATTTAGCAGAATGGGTGACTAATCGTATATAAACTTGGACATTTCAAAGCCTTAACAATTTTGTAAACCTAGACGATTAAGCCAAGTTCAAGGGTGAGTAACTATATTATCCAAAAGCAACCGGGACTAGAATCCTTTCCCCCGCGCACACGTGGACTAGTCCGTTACGGGCGAATACTGCATGCGCTCATCGGAGGAATGAAATCCTGACGGGAAGCGCAGGTACAAAAAGGCTTCGAGAGGCCCCCCGGCGCGTAGTCGGTAGGTGCGGTAGTACCCGCATTACACCACAAAATCCCACAGAGACACATGAATACAATTGACACCACGATGAATCTAAGTAGCGCATGGCAATTCAATCCCATCGCGACTTCATGGCCTACAAACGTACTCCCAAACTTGGCTTTCTGGACCGCAACCAATGGATCGTGGGAATACCAGATCCAGCTTTCCTGGCCGCTAAATTGGACTAGTCGTGAGGAAACGTCGGTGGTGGAAACGATGTACGTCACACATCCCCCATTCCCAATCCACCTCTCTCTTCTCAATTAGTTCAACAAACTTACATGCATGGCTACATAGGTACATCTTAGATGGCAACGCGCTTGGCCTCACCGCCACCGAATCGCTGCGTCGACGTCGCCCCGTCGAGTTCAACATGCCGGATTGCATCGTGGTTAGCATCGGGTATCCCGAGACGCTCCCGGACTCGCCGTATAGTAGTCAGCGCAGCTACGATTTCCAACCTCCCGTGTGCGAGGCGTGTCCCGCGCCAGCAATCCCAGGAGTGCCTTCGAATGCAGATGGTTTTATCGAGTTCATTGATACAGCGCTACGACCTTGGATCCGAGGAAGTGCATTCCCGAAAGCGGAATTTGATCGCGATGCATTGTACGGGCATTCATTTGGGGGGTTATTTGTGCTGTATGCACTTACCGTTCGACCGGATTTGTTTGATACGTTTTTGAGTGCGTCACCTGCGCTGACCTTCAATGATGGGTATGTGTTCAATTATACGGAGTTTCTGGCGCCGCTTGTGACGCCTGGTTCTGCAAATACGACGAATGGGACGAAGCCGGCGTTCCAGATTAGCTATGGGGCGCTGGAGCAGGATCCCGTGCAGAGACGAACAGAGACAGATGAGGAGTTTGAGTTTAGAAAGGGCATTCTTGTGGCGCAGCAGATGACAACTTTGTCTCGGAAATTGTATAGTGTGCTAGAAGAGAGTCCCGCCTTGAGGGATGTTAGTCTTCGCGAGTACCCGTTTAGCGACCACGCTGCTGTTGGTGCGGCGGCATTGGCAGACGGGATTGATTATTTCTTGGACTGGTGTTCGGCAAAGTATTGTTAGGGGTCATTGTGGACTGGGGAGGAGGGGAAGTGCCGTGCGATCTAAATGTGGTTGAGGGTGCGATTGGCAGCGATGTGCATAATCGGCCCACTTGTTTTGGGACGGCGCTGGTGTGCTCATTAAAGACTGCATGTCAGGAGATTTTGGCGTGGGTTGGTGTGTAGCTTACATACACCTCATCTGACATGTCAACCTTGGTTGGATGCTGATCCCCACACGTGGTTCATACAGTGTGGTGAGATGGGTGCTGGTATGCCATGATTGTTGAAGACGTATCGTTAGACGAATGGTCAATGAGATGCAGGTCAACAAATATCACTGAACACATGTGAATGAAAGCCCTGATAAGCTCAGTTTGGCCAAGACGGCGGTCCGGCTGATTGCTGGTGGAGAGGAGCATCCCGCATATCCGGCAAAGCGTCCGAGACCCTTTTGCTGTTCATCCACCGATGTACCTTGTCGTGTCCTCGGTCCCCTTGTCAGGTGTACCATGACGTTTACATGATGAAAAGAGCACCATGGCAGCCTACAATGCTACCTTCTGACTCGCTGCGTGCTTTTAGATGTGCAGATGGGCGTGTGTAGGTGTACTGCCAGCTCAACTCCACGTTCCGCGTTAAGCGGTGACAACATCCACGATTAGGATGAATGCAGTATCTTTTGCATCAAAACTCTGTCGAATGGGTACCTGGCCGGGCTAGTTGCCCGTTTGGAAGGGTGATAAGTATGTCCCTGACCGCCTGGGTCGACGCCGTGGGGTGGTTAGTACCGGGGCCGTGTGAGATGGCGGCCAATTCACGAGTAGTGAGTGGTGGAAAGGACTGACCCCACTTTGAGTGATTTGAAGGGGACGATGGTGCATGTCTCTGGCACAGCAACGGAGAGATTCAGGGTGGTGTAGGGCGTGGCAGAGGTGGATTCATTCCACCGCTCATTGCGCCCAAGGTGGATGAGACGATGCGGGCAGAGTCCGGCGGGCGGCGCCATTGGGCGGCGCTGGTGGGGGCGTGGGACCCGCCGGGCGCAAGAGGCTCAACGGATGTTTGAGCAGCGCAGAAAAAGATTTCGCCTAGCACTTCCCGGCCCACTCTACGTCATCTTGAGGGAGGAGAAGATGAATCCCCCCAGGTACCATGAATTCATATCAAAACCACTCGGGCGCCTGCACGCAAGCAACACGCACGCGTATCTCCCCGCTGGACGGCCTCTTCTCCCATCACCATCAACAACAACCATAGACATAGACATCGACACAGACATTCACCTATACACACATACACTACCGCCATCATGCAGCGCACACACACCACCGAGAGCATGCGAGTGCCATACTCCAACATTTCTACCCTCAACATGAACAAGGCCCCACGCCCAGGCATTGAACGCGCTCCCACATCCACCAACCTCACCCGTCCGATGCCCATCCAACGCCTCGAGGGCAAGGTCGTCATGATCACGGGCGGTGGCGGCAAAGTCGGTGTTGAGTCTGCCGGTCGCCTGCTCATCGAAGGCTGCAACGTCGCCCTCATCGACATTGAACAAACAGCCCTCGAGGCCGCCGTGCCCGTGCTCAAAGCCGCGATTCCCACCGGCGCACCCATTGAATCGCGTCTCCTCACCATTGTCGCCGATGCTACCAAGGAAGCCGACGTCGAGGCCTGCGCCAAGAAGGTTGTCCAGCGCTTCAGCAAGCTCGATGCCGCCCTGTTGAACTGCTGCCAGCGCGGTGCCTCAAAGAGCATCTTTGACGTTACCGAAGATGACTTTGAACGTATCATGACTATCAACGCCAAGTCTGGTATGTCCTTTCACATCTCTCCCAATTGTATATCGATCAAAAACTAACACACAATTAAGCTTTCCTCGGCGTCAAATACGCAGCAACAGCCATGCAAACCACATCCGGCAGCGGCTCCATCATCATCCGCTCCTCCATCGCCGGTCTACGCGGCTTCCCCAACCTCATCTCCTACAGCGCCTCTAAATTCGCTCTCCGCGGTATTGCCCTCACCGCCGCTGAGGAACTCGGCCCCCTCGGTATCCGCGTTAATACTATCCACACGAGCATTATTGAGACGCCGGGTTACAAAGATGGGTGGAGCAAGGAGAAGTTGAAGGAGTTGAAGGAGGAGACGGCGCTGGATCGGTTCAGTAGCCCCGATGATGTAGCGAGTGTGGTGGCTTTCTTGGTTAGTGAGGACAGCAAGTTTATGACTGGCGGGCATTTGAAGATTGATGGTGGTTGTGTTGCTGTTTAAGAAGGGGGATGTGTATGGGAGTGGATTTTTCACGACATGGCTGAGGTGGGGACGCGATGAATGATTTTGCATGAATGGAGTTTGGGATTCGGCCCGTCGCGGCTTTTTTAGTTTCTCTTCTATGCATTCTGATAGCATGGTTTTTTTGTATATATCAAACGTGCTGGGCTGGATTGGCGGTTGATGGTTGGGTCTTGGGTCACATGGGAGGGATGAATAGAGGTGATGCAAGTATAGAATGAATCCTGACTATATGTAGGTCAAGTAGCTGGATGAATATCTAGTTTACCAATACGGCTTGTCTTGTGGGTGCTGCCTGCTTTTGGTTTGTGCGATTATGAGCTGGATGTAGGGTTTGTAGCGAATTTCATCAAGAATAACATGCAACGTACAATGTATGTCTAGAGAAGATAGTGAATGGAGCTTGGATTACTGTACGATAAAAAAATAGACCAACTCGATGGTGCATGTGCCGAACGCTGACTGGCATCCTACTGTGCCTGATCGAAATTAGTAACTTCCTATGTTTTTCTTTTACAGAGATGCTTACAGTGGTCTGTAGTTAGTCCACCGTATCCCGAAGACGAACAACAATCTTCAAATGTAGAACATTTGCACACGAATTCGTTTGTTCCACTGTACACATCAGTCATCTCAGTCGGTTTACAACATAGAACAGAACGAACCCCCAAGTGCCATCATAACTGATGGATCCCGGTGTTGGTTTCGCTACCGGTGCTCCAGAATCGATAGTTGGTACAATTCTAAACATTCACTGTAAATGATGTGGTATTATAGACCAGCCCTATGCTGGTAGCACTACTGCAATGCATCCTCCATAACGTGATACTATGGCAGCAAAGACATTTAGGCATGCGTGCCAAAATCGGGCGAGAAAGTATGCCATGGAGGATGATAGCTCATCGGATTGAGAAGAGAGTTATCTTGGCAGGTATTTCTTCTTTTGAGCCGTCTTTCCAGGCTAGTCTTGTTTTCGTACATGGGTGTTGATTGAGATATATTTCAAAACTATTGTCAATCAGATAGTATACATTTTCTTGGTGTTGTAGCCTATTAATCCCTGCCTCACTGTGCCGCTAACGGGCGAGCGGGCGGAAGGATTTCCGGTGAGAAGGGGGGGTGGAAACTGGATTTACAAACTAATATGATAAGTACAATGGATTACATAATTGAATGCTGACTGACTTTTATACTACGTTCGAGTCATGTTCTCACTAAAATAGAAGCTTCGTCTACGCACTTTCTATACTTATCCCCAATCATCCATCAAACTGGTCGCTAGTTAACCTTCAACCTCACGATGGACCCAAGTTTTCCTATAGCAGTAGACTACGATGACAGCCCGGATCGACTTCGACAGGATCTACTCAGTCGCCTACACTGGAACGTTTTCGGCCCCCTCGATGAGGTCGCTGTGCGTGACGGCACCACGCTCACGCCTCTCGCGCACCACGCCATAAAATCAGAAAGCATCGCAATTCCACCCCTCTCCAAAGTCACTGTCCACATAAACGCCTGTCAGGAGAAATACGCCGTGGATGAAAATGAAGAGGAGTATCGATACCAACCACCGGCTCCGCTAGTCATCGAAAAGCCGGCCGGTTCTTCTCCCATTTCGATAAACGACTTTGTCACGCAAGTCCACCCTTTCTTGAACGCCCACCGGGCTGAGATCTTCAAATGCGAGGACGAAATATATACACAGCCGACGACGCTAGAAGACGGCACTACATTCGTTGGCGTCGACCCCGATAAATTCACCTCCCGTGACGGTGACGATAGTGATGAGAATACTCACTTTTACCAAAGCGGCAACATTCCAGCAGAAACCCGGTTTTTCTTCGACGAAGCTCGATTCAACGAAGCCTACGAAGACGAGTTTGAGATCTACGTTGTTCTCTTCGTCGACGGTAACATGGGCACTTTTTTCGATGAGTTCTGGGCTCAACGCGCTGCGGTAACATGTGTGAATCGCGAATGAACGGGTTGCATGCAATCTGGGAGCTTAGATTGTCTTTGTAATGGATAGCACCCACCTCCCCCCCCGGGGCTACTATCCGCACATGCATCTCTCATAGGGCGATGCCCAGGAGTTCTAGGCTCGTATTTTGAGTCATGCAAGTCAATTTGAGGTGTAAAACCGTCTGATACTTCTTGGAAGCACGAGTACCCTGTGTAATTTTCACTTGTGCGGACAGCAGGCGCAACACGTATCTCGCTCGCAGATACTTCTCCAGTATCCTACGCATCGCTTTCCCTTGTTGCGACCGCGACGTCGAAGTCGTTACCCCATCGATGTCAAAGTGGAGTGTCGAGGTGCACGAGGGGTGTGAGTGGAAAGGCTCGATGCGGAGGTGGGAGAAAGAGGAGTTTAGGAAGATTAATCAGTGAGTGCAGTACTAATGCTTCGTTTTGGGACTGTAGGCAAGAAACTTGAGGGGTTTTTTTTGGTTTTTGTAGTTGAGATAGAATTCTACATACCTTTTTTATTGGTTAGAGAGGGTCGTTCTTTGAGGACTAGCTCGGTAGTTATACTATAGCCTATACAACAATTGAGGTAATATACAAGAAGGATGATACCGAGCTGTGTACTTGAAGAATTTCTTCATGAGTTGTCAAAGCGATATAGAGGGATATATGCACCTAGACACGTGACTACTAGGGCTAACCTAGGCCTATGGAGTTCTAGGGTCCGTTAGATTAGCTTAGTACCAAGTATCACGACAGTATTAGCGCAAATTGCTTACTTGCCTATTCCAGTTACTTTACTTCCTGTAGCCATTACAAGGGCTTTTACTCCATCACTACAGAACAGCAAGAAAAGAAAACACAACAAACGACGATAAAAAACCATTGTTATTCCATTTCCAGCACACTAGTGCATTACTCGAGGTTCCTGTATCTGATAGGCCTCGTTGATGTTCTCCCTTCCTAGAACCTCGTCTTATACAATTCGAACAAAAGAAAAAAAGGCGTCTATCAAAACAAGTAATGTAACAACTACCCACAAAACCCTTCTACTCAACAATTTCAAGCTCGCCAGTCCTATTTCTCGCAAAAGTATCCTTGTGCTCATTCCATATACGTATCAGCTCATCGACATACTGCTGGTGCACCTGGTCGATGTAGTCATTGTTTGGATGTTCATTCTGTACGACCCTGATTGGACGTCCAACAACAATGTTGATGGGTCGACGATAAGGCATCATGCCAACGTCGTAGTTGAAAACGCCTCGAGCGTGGAAGATGGGCACGGTAAAACCCATAAACTTCTTGATTAGCAGCTGGAACTTGTGGATGTACGGATGTGACTCGGTGTCGACTTGGTCGTAAATGTCGTTCTCGCCAAAGGACAGGACAGGGACAAGATCAGCACCAGTACGAATGGCCAGTTTGACGAAGCCTTTGCGACGACGGAGGACTAGCTTGATTTCACCGGGGCGAGCATCGAGAGATTCGGCAGCGCCGCCAACGACAATGGTAATGGCCCGACCCATGCCTTCGCCATTCTGGCCACCCTTGGACAGGATGTTCTCGCAAGACTCACGAGACACGGAGGCCATGCCAAGACGGAGCGCATACTCGCGGTAGATTGGGTAGCGGAAGTTGGAGTCGAGAGTCAACAGGGTATTTGTAATACCAGGAAACAGCTGCGAGAAGCCCAGAGCTTCCGTGGCAAAAGCGGCAAAGGCGCCGTGTGAGATGATACCATGCGGATGGTAGCCGAAAATATACTTTCTCGTTGGTTCCAGCTCCTGTGACCGGTGAAGACGGGCGGGGAAGTAGGATGCAAAGAGCGACCAGACGGGGAGTCGTCGGAACCATTCACTCCGAAGGGAAAGCTCTCCGGAAGTGCCAGCATCCGAAAAAAGGACGTAGACGGTGTATGGGAGCAGGATGGGCCAGAGCAGCGGTATGCTGCAGAGGAAGAAGAAGATGGCGAGACTTCCGACAATGCTGAGCGTGTGCATGAGTACAGCGAGGGTCTGCAGACGGCGTTGCAAGGGTACATTCATGGGGGCAAACCGTATTCTGAAGCCGTCAGCACTGTATCTCATGGTAGTGAATGGGCGTGCGTGTCGACTTACTTGCTCTTGGACCATGATGCGCCGGCCTGCCGTCCCGCCGTGAGCTCCGAATCTCTGCGCTTGAGGTCGGTTCGTCGGTCTCGCGGAGGAAGCTCGCTCTCCTGTGAGGGTTCCACAGTGGTTAGCGCATTGCCATTACCATTAGTATGACTTTCAATCATGTCTTTGGGCAGCTGGTTATCCTGGGTGCTTTTGGATGACTTGTGGGAGCTGCGCGACGACACCCGGCGATGGCCTCGCGCTGTTGGGCTTTTTGGAGAGCCGTCCTGGCCAATGCCTTCGTGCGACGTCTGTTCCTCGTCCGAGGCAGCATGGATGCCATTGGTCTTTACCTCGTCAGTCCTGTCCTCACCGTTGACATGTGATTGTGGGCCCGACTGGAGAGCCTCTTCGGCAGCGTCAGCATACGACTTGGGCGGCAGGTTGTGCTCCGCGCGCTCCTCTGGCGCCGACGGCTCAGGGTTAAGAGACATGGCGGGTAGCAATGTACGGGGGGAGGAAGTGAACTGAATCTGAGCAGTGTGTCTGAAGACTGTCAGGACGTGTCTGGGGTTTTGTTGGGTGACATGTGTGACATAGCGCGCCTAGCAGCCTTCCTGACATTCCGCGTGGAAATGACGTTGGACTGTGGCTGCGGCAGCCCCAGCCCGACGCCACGACTAATCCGGACCGGCGGCAGCGTCGATCATCCACGGTACATCGCGCCATCACATGTACAACCAGACTATTTGATTTGGTGGAAGTATACAGAGATATGTGTACATAAACATGTAGGATACATATTTGGACTTGTACATGTAACAAGTTGGGCTATGTATATGAATATCCTGCAACAATGTAGACCTGTGGCGCATACCAAATGAGATTTCAACGACTACACCACTTTGCCACTCCCTGATTCGTCCATATGAAAGCATGCTGTTACCTGAGCAGCAATGCCTCCCTCTTACCTTGACCCTCCTATCCAGAAGACTCCTTCTATCGGACGAGTCCTCGTTCTTACCGATTCATCTGGATATAAGACCGTGTCGAGCAAATTAGGCAGGCACCAACACCACAATGTCACTCCACGCCACCCCAGCCCACTCATCCCGCATAACAAAACCAAGACGAAAATCCGGACTCGCAGCCCTAGGCCTCAAACGCAAGACATCCTCTCCTTCAAATATAACCCCAAAGCAGCTCTCCTTGCCATCTGAACCCTCAGCCTACAACGACGAACAACAACCCCCCTCCCTACTCACAGACCTCAAGTTATGCGACATACCCGAATTCATAACCACCATGCAAACCCACACATTCTCCCCTCTTCCCAAATCACCCTCCCTCTCCTCAACCTTAACATCCCGCATCCTCAACCACCGCCGCCTCCTCCCACCCTTCATATCCATCGCGCATCTGCACGCCGTATCGCACTCCGCAACCCGCGTAGACCGCGAGATATCTGCTCTAGTGAACACCGGCGTGCTGCGGCGCATCATATTGCCTCATCGCGACGCATCTGCTATCGGCGAAGGCGTAGTTTTGGTGCGAGAATGGGCGCGGGTTGTTCGGGAGAACGGTGATATACCCGAATCCCTGAAAGGTATCTAGTGCTTTCATCGCAGTTTAATATCAAACACAAGAAAGATAAAACGGGAGAGAATGCGGAGACAGACAGATAAAGCTGACTACAATGTAGAAAAATACACCACCTCTCTCACCTCACCAACCTCACTGCTGGATTTCACGCCGAAAGAACGCCAAATCCTACTCTCGACAGGCTTCTTGACATGTGACGCCACCGCACAAAACGCGACGTACACTTTATCGCTCCCAAACATGGGATTGTATGTCAAGTTAGTAAGTGACGCATGTAGCCATCTTCTCAAGCTGCTCAAACAAAATACACACGGCACGATGCCGCTGTGCGATTTAGCAGATCGCTGGAACGGCGGCGTTATCGACGAAGGGGATGTACGAGCTGAGCGCAAGAAGGTGCGAGGAGAATGCCAGGGCGTACTGCCTGGGCGGACGAAGAGGTGGAAGCGGTTTTATGGGATGCGGGTTGAGTGGGTGGTGGAAGAGTGTGTGGGGGCGGGGTTGGTGGAGGTGTTTGAGACGGGGAGTGTGGGGAGGGGGGTGAGGGTTGTGGGATAGGAAGGAGCAGAGGGGATGGTGAGGTTGGGGAAGGAGCAGGATGGGAAGATGCGCTGTAGTGTATTTGAAGAGTGGTTCGTTGTTTTGCTTAAGGAACTTTGGAAAGTCAGCATGTATGGGAGTGGACGGGCGTAGTGAGAGTTGGTAAATTTGTATTGTGATAGTGGATCTAGATGATGAGCGGATAAACACATGAATAGCTCCGAAACCTCAATGGCATGGCAAAATTGATACGATTCTCAGAATCAGCGTACAAGAATGGAAGACTCTTGATAATATTGACTTGCTCAAAAGGGCGATATCCACACTGCTCGCTTCACTCACGGGAACTTACTTTGATCCCATACTACCATGTTGGAGACAACAATCACCTTCTCACCCTTCAGTCCACCAATACTACAAATTTTCTCTTCGAGCAAAAACCAAGGGTGGTCACTGTGCACACAGATAGGGACGGAGTCTGATAAAGATCCAAGCAAGGATGGTCAAAATCAACAAGGATACACCAATATCCGGATGATAAGCTTGATGACGGCCAAAGGTTGTTCCAAAACAAATGCAAGCGTCATGAATAAATTGCGCAATGATAGCGTGCACAAGTGGCCATAAATGGAGAGTTTCGACGAGGTCACGACATATCAAGAAGCTTACGGAAGCCGAGAGGCCCGTGGATCTAGATGCATCTGGGCCAAACCTTGATGGACCAGGCAAAGATGATATTGGACGCCGCAAAGCAACAGTAATAGGCATTCATAGCGAATAGCTTACTCTAAGCATTTTATTAATTAATCGCTCACAAGTAAGAAGCGGACAGGAGCGTAAGCGTGTTTTGAACCCCGAGTGCGTTCATGTGCGTTGCAGGTCAAGGCGGAATGATCATGCCGGTAGTTGAAGAGTAGAACGGAGAAAGCTAGGTTGGCCGTTGTTGGACTTCATCTGTGCCAAACAGTGTGCGTGAGATAGCAGCGTCGGCAATCGCTTGCGTTGTGGGCGGTCCCGCAGTCCGTTTCAGCGGAATCCCCAGGTCATGGGCAAGTATTGCGCTTGATCTTACTATGTATGCTAGGGGGACTTATTGCGCATCTAGGCCAAGAATCAAGCGGCCGGGTGGGCTGGATCGGATTGGCGTGTGCTGTTTCGATATTATAAGCGTGCCCATGCTCTTATCACGTTGCGCAAGGCCCCTTAGGGCTATTTGATGGCTGGGGAGGCAGACAGGGGAGGGGAGCTAGCTGGGCCCAGGCCGTTGCCAAGAAATCCAGATCTGCGGCCATTCCTTCCGTTCGGAGCAAGGGTTTTGCATGTCGTCATTAGGATCAGAGGGTGCAAAGGAACGTTGGCATTGATATTGTCGGCATCAAAGGACTTGTGAGATGCTCTGCCTGATGTCTAAGGCTGGCGAGCATGTATGAACAGGCTTGCAGATGAGTGCATCCGAACAACATCGGTGTAGTGCATAGTCAGCTCAGTAGAATAGACCAAGTCCCGCGGATCAGTCTTCTAGCGCAGCCTGTGAGATGGCCATCATGCACGTTGCTTGTGCGTGGGCTTTGCTTTCAGTCAGCCTGTGGATGCGAGCATTATTGCCATGTGTGTACATTTCCGGACGATGCAGGAAGAAGAGATGGAGCGTGCTTGTCCGGTAAATGATTTTCTGACAGACGTGTGATCAGGATGCGCGTCCGATGAAGCCGAAGGGTGGGTCCATTCTGTGTAGAGATCGAGGGGAAACCTGACTGCGATTTTGACAACGCTGGCGTGGTGGTCTGGACGCTACAGGGACAGCCTCAGTGGTGTGGGCTTGTGAGAAAGGGCTTTAGCTGCGGTGAATAGGGCGTGTTTTAGTGACAGGTCGCGGGCGGATATGGGCAGACGTGATATTTAGTGGCAGCTCTGACAACGGTGGTGCTAAATGTTGGGGCAGGTGGGTGACCGCGCGCCTGGCGGGTGGTACAGGAAGGCATGTGGGCAAGCACAGAGTCCATGTGTTTGTGTGTAATGTAGTGTAGTGTAGTAGTAGGATATAGTAATCAGGGGGGTACACACACTACACGTCAAGAGAAGGAAGAAACAGAAGAAAAGAAGGTGGCCTTGCTGGTGCGGTGCCTGGCGGCCTGGTCCTGGACAAGCAACGATCAACACAGCTGACGAGCGGCATGCCTATCATTACTCGAGTCGGGCGTGGTTCACGATTGCTGTGCCGATCATGTGCTCGTGTTTGCATCCAAGTACGTACGCACACACGGATGGTTGGTGCGACGGGTTCCCAAACGCGAGGGTGCCGACGACTTGAGCGTGAAACACGCACGACGTGAGTAGAGAGGAGTGAAAAAGCACCATGTAACACAAGACGGGCCTGCGTGGAGGGAGGCGTCTCTCTGCGCACACACTAGCAGCGAAGCAACCAGCAAAGAGCCAAGTAAGTGCAAGGCAACGCAACGCAAGCAACTGGCTGGCTGAAGCGGGACTACTGCTGATTGGTCGCCGAACACGGCTAGCGCAGGGAGATAAGGGCAACAAAGGGCCGACCACGCCGTGCCCAGGCCTGGACCTGGAGATGACACGTTCATGGTCGCTCCAGAGGCCTCGGCCGCCCATGCAACAACGACTGCGAGAAAAGTGAAGCGGGCCATGTGTCGAGGCATGCTCACGACGGACGATGTGGTGCAGCAGCAGTGGTGGTGGTGGAGGAGGAGGAGGAGGAGGAGGAGGAGACTCAATGTAAGACTCGGCGGACAATGTGCGGTGGGGAATTGGTGAAGGTGAAGGTAAGCAGCAGAAACAGCCAGCAGCAAAAACAGCAGCAGCTCAGCAACAGGAGCGCTAGGTTCGGCTTCGGACGATCGTCGATCTGGCGTCGGTTGTAAGACCAGATGCCAAGCCACCCAGCCGTACACGGTACCGTTCTTGCTGTACCTCCCCCATCTAGCCTACTTGCTCTGTACGGCTGTACTCTATACACATACACGCTGAGAGCCTGCACGCCCCAAAATGCTGTGCAGCTGCAGCGACCCGCTGACGTCAAGCCCTGCCCGGCTCCATACACTTACTACTTACATGTACAGCAGACATGGGCGGGTGCAGGGCGGGTGAGCGAGTGGGCGAGGCAGGCCATTCATCAGGCCATGGGGGGGGGGGGCGAGAGGGGGGTCGAGTGGACGGCGACGAGGGGCGCCAGGCACGAGACACGAGGCCGGTAGGTAGCTTTTGACAGCCACCAGACCGAGGGCCTTGACGGCGCCGGCCCCAAGAAGCAGCGGCAGTCTTGGGACTTGTAGGTGTAATAGCAGCGAGCGGGACAGCATGGAAAAGTTTAATTCGCATGCGTTGCGGCGTTGAGGGCGAGCGGTGGGTGCAGTCGGGCCAGAGCACAGGGGGCCTACCGGGGTAGCGCTGCACATGTTGCAGCAGCCGAGAGCATCCAGACTGTTCCAGCAGCCGCGCGCCCCACTCTTCCGCTGACCCAGCCCTCGCCAGTCCGCCCGCCTATCACACGCCCGCCTGCACCGACACCATGAGCCTCTTTGGGCGCAGAGCATCGTTGTGGGAGCCGCGTGCTTATGACTTGCGCCCACACCACGACTGCTCGCCGCCAGGGCATGGCGTGCTCCAGCCCTCTGTTCCCACTGCTCCCGCCAGCATGAGCATACTATGCCCGCTACGGCCACCACGACCACGGCCGCCACGACTGCCCCACTCCACTGCCACCACTGCCACCACTACACACTAACACTAACCACCCATAACACCCTCTCACACACACACCCTCCCCCTCTGCCGGTCTGGAGGGCGCAAGGACGCTCGCAAAGCCACCGCTCCGGGTCGCGTTCTAGATCGCCCGCCGCCCGCCCACCCTCTTATGTGCGACTCTGCTAGCACACATGCCCTTCCCTAAACCGCCCGGCCCAAACCAACCACATTGCTGCGCTGCGCTGCGCTGCCTTGTCTGCACCTACTGGCCCATCCATCCATCCATCGTCCGTCGCGCCTTCCCTCTCCCCACTGTCTGTCTGTCTGTCTGTCTGTCTGTCTGCCTGTGTCGGTCGCTCTTGCTGTTGCTGTCCCGCACTCCACTTACTCACCCACGCACGCACCCACTCACACCCACTCACACTTGCTGCTTACTCTACACACACTTGCTTGCACTTGCACTGCTACTGCTCTCTCGTCCCGTCCCTGCTGCGATCCTTCCTGCCCGGCCTGGCATCGCTCCTTCCCTTACTAATCCATTCCCGACTCCCTCTGCAGCCCTCTGCACTCGTCGCTGCTAGCCCAGCGTCCTGCACTCTGCAAGCGGTCCGCGCTCCTCGTCGGCTGCCCCATCCACTCGTCATTGCCTCTGACCACCACCCCGGCACTTACCCCCGGAGCCTTGTTCCCACAGCAGCCTGAATGGATTTCTGAAGCCATGGGGGAACCTACCACCATCCCACCCGATATAATCGAGAGGCAGTCCCTCTGCTTCTCCCGCCCACTCCCCGGCATGGTCGTGCAACACGGCGTACAGGGCTTCAAAGAGGAACTGTCACGCCTCTTCGACCCCGCTGAGAGCAATGCCACCGAGCAGCTTGTCCGCCTCAAGGAATCCCTTCGCCTCGCCGACACTGACAGCTTCTGGATGCAGCTCACCCGTGGCCTTGCCCAAATCGCCGATGCCCAGTATGCCTTTGTCTCGAAGCGGATTCTCATCGACGATAAGAACGTCGCCGTCGAGCTGCCCCCCATTGGAGAGCCTGGTGCCTGTCTCATGGGCGAAGCCTTTTACATCAACGACGACAACGGCAACGGCCCGGGCCACCTGAGGAACTTCAAGTACCATGCCTACCAGTGCCCGTGTGCCTACATGAAGCACGACAAGGTCTTCATCATTCCCGAGAAACTCAACGACTTCATTGTCAACAACCCAAACGACCTTATCATCCCTGGGGAGGCCTACCTAGGAATCCCCCTCTTCGCCCAAGGTAAATGTTTTGCCCACTTTGGTGTCATGTGGGGGAAAGAGGGGGCTGAGCGACGCGTACTGAGCTGGGGATTTCTGGAGATGATGATGCATAGCCTCGAGGACATGATTTTGGAACGCGTGCTCGAAGGCAGCGAGTTTGCCAGCGCTGCACAGCCAGTCGACGCCGAGGTGCCCAAGATTGTTCCCCACAAGGCTGTCTCGATTGCCCAGTCACTCAAGCCTTATGCCAGAAGCCTATCACATGAATTGAGGACGCCCATGCAGGGTGTTGTTGGCATGTTGGACGTTATGATGGCTAATGTCAAGGAGGCTTCGGAATCTTTCCAACTAGACCCCCGCACACGCGAGATACTCCACACGCTCAAGGAGAACATTGAAGCAGTCCAAGGTCAGTGGCAAATTTGTGCGACCAGGTTGTACCTGAGCAAGCTCGCACGACATTGTTTTTTTTTTAAAAAAAAAGTCAATTTCGAGACCATGCTGACAGTCCACTAGACAGCTCAAGACGCGCAGTCGAGGCAGCAGACAATGTGGTTCATGCTTATGATATGAACATGGGCGTTCCTGAAACTACTCAATCCCCGCTAGACAAGTCTCCTGACCAATGGAACACCTTTTGGCGAGAGGTGCGGCCCGATCTGATGATTCCCGGCAACAGCATGCATGCACCCCTGCGTGGAGTAAAGAGGAGGAGACAGGATGTATCATGGGCGGACTATGCCTCCAAGACGCGAGTCTCCAAGCAGGCTCGTCAGCGTGTCCGCAATACCTTGTCGGAAGAACCCCTTCCCCGCGGCTCTAAATCATGTCCCCCAAACCCAAGTCCCGCAGAAATCCAGCAGTTGGACCGTGTTTGCTCGCACGGCACTTCGTCGGGCAAGTGCGACTCCACTACTTCTCCCATCTTCACTTCGGAATACTCTATAGTACCTGGATTGCGGCATACAAACTTGAGAGAAGTTTTACAGTATGTCATCAACGATGCTCTCAAAGTAGGAGGAAGGCCAGATTCTGCCATTGCCGAGGCCACGGATACCGGAGAGCGTATCGAAGTGCGGACGCGTAGCTCAAATGGAGAGGCGCACACCAAATGGATCGAGTGGACTGTTTCCCCTGATGTACCAGAAACGATAGTCATTGACGAACGTGATCTCGCCAAGATGGTGTCCTGCCTCGCGCTCAACGCCATCAAGTTTACCCAGGATGGATCCATCACACTTCAAGCCACGCTCAGTGCAAAAGGCCGCTACATTGTCATCAACATCAAGGACACTGGCTCCGGCATCCCAGCGGCCTTTTTGCCAAATCTTTTCAAGCCCTTTTCCAGGGAAGACGATTCCATGACGAGGCAGAGTGAGGGCCTGGGCCTTGGTTTAATGGTTGCCAAGGGCATTGCTAGGAAGCTCGGTGGCGATCTTTTCTGTCTTCGTTCCCATGTTGCAGGGCCAGCCAGAGGATCTGAGTTTGAAATGCGTGTTCCTCTTAACCCAGGTGAGATTTGCAGTCGTCCGGCCACACCATTTGGATCCCCGACCCCCTCGATCAAATCTCGCATGTCGCTCGATCCCGAAGTTCCTCGTCTCGATCTCGGCCGTGGTCCCGTTACTCCTCCATTAAACTCTGATTCCTTCAAAAACGACCCTGAGCGCCAAGTACCAGTCACGCCCGTCATTATCGTCGAAAACGCAAGCCCACCGACCAATGTTGGCCTCGTTACTCCTCGTCGCACCTCGTCGCCCCCACGACGCCATACCGCTCGTGCCTTGTCCTCTGAAAAAGAAGTGACGGCATCTGATCTAGGCAATCAGCTTCCTCTCAACATTCTCGTGGTAGACGACAACGCCATTAACAGGCGTGTCCTCGTAAGCATGCTTGGGAGGCTGGGCTACAAAAACATCACCACTGCGTTCAATGGCAACGACGCCGTTGAGACTGTCCGTCGTAACGCGCTTGGACCTGCCTCTGCAATCTTTGACGTCGTCCTCATGGACCTGTGGATGCCGTTGCTGGATGGCTTCCAAGCTACTGAGGTGATTTTATCAATGAAGGAGCTAACGACCAAGCCCATAATCTTGGCCGTCAGCGCAGACATCACCGATGCCGCCCTTGACAAAGCAGTCAAGAGCGGGATGAAGGGATTCGTCACCAAACCTTTCGTCACTCGCGATATCGCCCGGTTGCTTCGGACGTATTGTACGATTTAATAACTTATCACGTTTTTCTTTTGGCGCGGTCGCTCACACAAAAGGTTCTATTTGGGAGGACATGACATTGTTTATATAACGCCCAAATGGCCACGGTTTAGGACGGCATGACTGGTTTGGGAAAGGCACATTTACGAACATGATAGCATCAACAGAAGCCTTTGGGTCGCTTCTTGTACGGCGTTTTGGCGAGAGGAACATATTTTTTTCTTTCGGTTTGGGCGGTCTATAATACCCTTGATGAGCTTGCATGTTAGGAAACGACCTAGGAAAATAGGTCCATTGTAGCATCTATTACATAATACGAACTCTGACAAAATGAAAGAAAAAAAGTCATATGCACTTGCCCTGTATTTTGATGTGACAGTCCGATCAGGATTAGGATGCTGCGAGGATGTTCAAGGGCGTGGCACTCTCGAGTTGCAGATAACAGACACGATGATGTAGTCGGTGGGGACAAGTCGGAACAAGCCCACTCCAGCAAGGCGTTTCGGAATTTGGCCGCCCTTTCAATCGAAGAGTCCGCAGGCAATATCTAGCACTTCTGCACATAGACGTCTGATGGTTTCCAACTATAGTTTTTTTTTCATCTCGGCCTCTCTGTAGCAGAAATAAAGGGTAATGGGCATTCCGATCAATGGTAAGGGGCGACACGAAAACGTGGCATGGGCGAAACGCTAGGTGTGGCTAGTGCGTGGCGCATGCGGGTCGGTCTAGAGGACAGATTTCTTGGGATGCGCCATAGTCAAGACAAGTGCTGTTGCGCCGCCTTATTGCCGTTTCTGCCGTGGACAGTCGCAGAACCTTCCTTTTGATTCCCTTCTTTAGTCCTGTAATTTTGCTTGGAAACACGGTCTCTTCTTTTCCTCTAGCAACCAGCGGCAGAACACTGGGTGCTGACCAAGTTGATAAATACGTCAGGGACATAGGCACACACATTCAGTACTCTTATAGGTCAGATATTTCTCCGACGAGATACTACCTCCCGGCGCAAAAACACCGACGCGCGATAATCGAGCGACAAACGTACGAATCTGCAGTACGCTGAGAAAAGGTCGATTGGTGAAAGAGCCTGGGCATGGAGAATGCTTACACAAAAACGCCCGCTGAGGCGTTGAGGCACTTCCAAGTCGACGAGCACAAGGGTCTTAGCGCACAGCAAGTCCAGAGCTCAAGGGAGAAGCATGGCAAGAATGGTATGTGAGACCCGTCGACACGCAGTCCGCGCAGAGGAACTGGGCTTTGGCCAGATCTCAGGGATAAGTGCTAACGCGCAGAAACAGCGCTGCCAGAAGAGCCCCCGACGCCCATTTGGGAGCTCATCCTCGAACAATTCAAGGACCAGCTGGTCATCATCTTATTAGGTTCCGCAGCCGTATCCTTTGCACTCGCCCTTTTCGAGGAAGAAGAAGGATGGACTGCTTTTGTAGATCCCGCGGTTGTAAGTAAAGGTCGCCACCAGAGACGCGTACAGGTGCTGACTTCCATTGCCCCCAGATCCTCACCATTCTTATCCTTAACGCCGTCGTCGGAGTTTCGCAAGAAACCAGCGCCGAAAAAGCCATTGCCGCTCTTCAGGAATACTCTGCCAACGAAGCCAAGGTTATACGCGACGGACACATTGCACGCATCAAGGCCGATGACCTGGTTCCAGGAGATATTGTTTCGGTCACTATTGGCGACAGGATTCCCGCCGATTGCAGGATCCTTTCTATCCAGAGCAACAGCTTCAACGTTGACCAGTCTATCCTGACGGGAGAGAGTGAAAGTGTGTCAAAGGATACCAGGGTTGTCAAGGACGAGAATGCTGTCAAGCAGGATCAGGTCAACATGCTTTTCTCGGGTACAACGGTCGTTACTGGACACGCAACCGCACTTGTCGTTTTGACTGGTAGCAATACGGCTATTGGAGATATCCACGAGAGCATCACGTCCCAGATTTCACAGCCTACCCCGCTCAAGGAGAAGCTCAACGACTTTGGCGACCAGCTCGCAAAGGTTATCACGGGTATTTGCATTCTGGTCTGGGTCATCAATATTGGCAACTTCAACGACCCATCTCACGGAAGCTTTGCCAAGGGTGCCATCTACTACCTCAAGATTGCCGTTTCGCTTGGTGTTGCTGCTATTCCTGAAGGTCTTGCCGTCGTTATCACAACATGTCTGGCTCTTGGAACACGCAAAATGGCCGCCAGGAACGCTGTTGTGCGAAGCTTGCCTTCTGTCGAAACCCTCGGAAGCTGCAGTGTCATTTGCTCTGATAAAACCGGTACTCTTACCACCAACCAGATGAGTGTCAACAAAATGGTCTTCATCAATGACTCTGGTAATGGACTTGAGGAGTTTGATGTTGAAGGTACTAGCTTTGCGCCCGAAGGTCAAATCATGCTCAACGGCAAGCCTATGGACAATCTCGCTGCCAAGTTCGACACTGTACGCCAAATTTGTGAGGTTAGTGCGCTTTGCAACGAGGCTGCTCTCGCCTACGACTCCAAGAACGGTACATACAACCTGGTTGGTGAGCCCACTGAGGGTGCGCTCCGTGTCCTTGCTGAGAAGGTTGGTACACCTGACGCTGCCCACAACGCGACCCGCGCCAGCACTTCACCTGAAGGACGTCTTGACTTTGCCACCAAGCACTACGAAAGCCACTACACTCGCCTGGCCACATATGAATTCTCTCGCGATCGTAAGAGCATGTCTGTCCTGGTCAAGAAGGGTGACACACAAAAGCTTCTCGTCAAGGGTGCTCCGGAATCTATCCTCGACCGCTGCACAAGTGTTGTTGTTGGCAAGGACGGCAAGAAGGCCCCTATGAACAGTCAACTGGCCAGTCTTATCAGCAAGGAAATTGTTGAATATGGTAACCGCGGTCTTCGTATCATTGCTGTGGCTTCGGTCGACGACATTGCCTCTCACCCTCTCGTTTCCAAGGCCAAGACTACCAAGGAGTACAGCCAGCTTGAACAGAACATGACTCTGATCGGTCTTTGCGCCATGTTGGACCCTCCTCGCCCTGAAGTCCGTGCCTCGATCGCAAAGTGCCGTTCTGCCGGAATCCGTGTTGTGGTCATTACTGGAGACAACCAGAACACTGCCGAGGCCATCTGTCGCGATATTGGTGTTTTTGGACCTAACGAGGATCTTACTGGCAAGTCGTTTACCGGCCGCCAATTCGACGATCTCTCTGAATCTGAGAAGATGGAAGCTGCCAAGAACGCCAGTCTCTTCTCCCGCACTGAGCCTACACACAAGTCCAAACTCGTCGATCTCCTCCAGCAGGCTGGTGAAGTCGTCGCCATGACTGGCGACGGTGTCAATGACGCTCCTGCTCTGAAGAAGGCTGATATCGGTGTGGCCATGGGCTCTGGAACTGACGTTGCCAAGCTCGCAGCCGACATGGTTCTCGTAGATGACAACTTTGCTACCATTGAAGGTGCCGTTGAGGAAGGACGCTCCATCTACAACAACACCCAACAGTTTATCCGCTACCTCATTTCCTCCAACATTGGCGAAGTCGTCTCGATTTTCCTCACCGCCGCCATGGGTATGCCCGAAGCTTTGATCCCCGTCCAACTCCTCTGGGTCAACCTCGTCACCGACGGTCTTCCCGCCACCGCCTTGTCCTTTAACCCCGCCGACCACGACATCATGAAGCGCCAGCCCCGCAAGCGTGACGAACCTCTTATCAGCGGCTGGCTCTTCTTCCGCTACATGGTCATTGGTACATACGTTGGCGCCGCCACCGTCGCTGGTTATGCCTGGTGGTTCATGTTCAACAGCGAGGGACCCCAAATCTCGTTCTACCACCTCCGCCACTTCCACCGCTGCTCCACTCAATTCCCTGAAATCGGCTGCGAAATGTTTAGCAACTCGTCTGCCCAGGCTGCCTCCACCGTCAGCTTGAGCATCCTCGTCGTCATCGAGATGCTCAACGCCATGAATGCACTGAGTAGCTCAGAGAGTCTGCTCACTCTGCCACTGTGGAAGAACATGATTCTCGTCTACGCCATTTGCCTGTCTATGGCTCTGCACTTTGCCCTACTTTATCTTCCCTTCTTGCAAGGCCTCTTCAACGTGGTCCCGCTTAATGGTAATGAGTGGACGGCGGTCATGGCGATTAGTGCGCCCATCATGTGAGTTTTTGTTGAACCCCTGCGAAAAGATTGCTTGCTAACGAAAATCAATAGAATAATCGATGAGGTTCTCAAGTTCCTGGAACGCAGCTTCTTTATCCAGAAGGGTAACGAGAAGTTGCATCATGTTGAGCAGAATGGAAGGCCAAAGAAGGAGTAGAACAGTTCTTGCTCTTTTCCTTTTTTCGCCCTCTCTACTCATCTTTCTGTGTCTCGGGATGCAGGAGAAAAAGTCGGGGAACGTGCTATCCAGTGTACGTTATCAGAAGGGGTAGAGGTAAAGGCAAGGCGAGACGGTTTATTTCCTGATGGTTCGGTGAGAACGCTTTTTGTGTGTGTTTTGGTGGTTTTCGTCGCTCTCTTTTCTAAGCAAACTTTGCGCAGCAGCCATCCCGCATGCATGTTGCGATTAGATGGTTAGAACGGTTAGAATTTTTGTTGCTATACTACACACAAAACATTAAGAATTAAAATCTCAGAGATACAAAATCGTTCATGATGAGTGGCGTGGATCTTGTGTTATGTTTTGCATTTCTTAGTCAAACATGTATTGGTTGACGGGTTAGTAACTTTACAGAGACGTTGGAAATGAAGAAACACATGTAGGTTGCGGAATTTCCTAAGCAAATATGCAGACACTGATGCATAGTAAGTCTTCCCTAACATATCATGTGTGTCAGAGTAACTTAGCAGTGAAAGCCCTAGTCCCAGTGAATCCAACTTCGACATCCATCCTCACTTTCACTTTCACTTTCACTTTCACTTTCGCACAGTCGCGTCACCACAAACTTTTCTCACTCCGTCCGTCCTCTGCCCATATATCCCACCATCTTTTCTCCCACAACCCCGTAGTTTCCCATCATTTGCAATCACAACCATGCCGCCCTACGGCCTCTACCCCATCCCCCGGCACCACCTGTCCCCACAAAACGCTAAGCTCCAGCACCGCCGCACGTTCAACAGCATGGACTTTGCCGACGCGGAACCCGCGCGCGAGGCTGCGGCAAAGACGGCGGAGCAGCGAGCCCAGAGGAAGCTAGAGAAGCGTCAGCGCAAAGAAGAGAGGAGGTTGAAGAAGGAGCGCAAGGCACAAGCTGAGCAGCAGCAGCAGCAGCTTACCGAAGCAGAGAGTGATGTGCCACTTCAGCAACCCAACACCACACCGTCTGTGACTCACGTAGAGACTGCGCCACAAGCTCAGCAATCTGATGCTACTCCCGTAGCTACTCCAGTCAAGAACGGCCGCTTCGGTCCGCGCGGTCCTTACAAGAAACGCGAAAAGACAGCCGACGGCACACCAGTTTCTGCAGTCAAACGCAAGAGGGGGAGCGAAATGCAGACTGGTGCTCCGAGTGGCAGTAACAAGAACGTCAACGACATGCCGTCGTTGCTTGACCCGAATTTCCTGTCATCGCTCAAGGAAAAGATGGGAGATATGGGGTTGGCGTTTAAAGAAGCGGAAAAGGAGGGGGATGAGCCGGCGAAGAAGAAGAGGGGACGGCCCGTGGAATGGCGCAGAAATGCTGCTGATGCGGAGTCTGTTAAGACTAAGACCCCGAGAGGTGGTGGTAAGAGTGCTGTTGTTGCCCCGACACCAGCGTCTACCAGTAAGAGTGCTGTTTCCTCAACACCGGCATCTGCTAGAGTCTCTGGCTCAACTCTTGACAAGTCGTTCAAGGTGATTAGGACGCCTGTGCCTGTTCCCTCAGTTGCGTCGACACCAGCATCTACCAAAGTCGCTGGCTCAACTCTCGATAAGGCATTCAACATGATCAAGACGCCTGTGCTGGTTCCATCAGGTGCGTCGAGTGTGACTGCCTGTGCAAAGACACTGGTTCCGGCGCTGCAGAAACCCAGTTTCAGCATCAGTGGGAGCACGAGTGAGCTACAGACAGGCAAGACGCCAAAGGTTCATCCAGCTGATGTACTCGTCGCCGAGACACCTCCCTCACACATGAGCAAAACACTAGTCACAACACCTCGTCAGCCCGCTATCCCATTTCCTCACCTCCAGAACCTATTCTCCGCCAGCAAATCACCCATGGTGAAGGGAAAAGATACAAACATCGACCTTACTTCCCCCGAGGAACCCACACCAAGGACAAACACGTCCACAAAGCACATCGTCAGCAGCCAGGGCTCAATCAATCCGCTAATCAGCAGTCAAGCCTCCATGGAACCCATCCCAAGCACCCACTCCCCGGCCTTCACAGCCTCCACCCTCTCCTACTACAAACAGCAACTAAACGAAAAACCCAAAGCGCGGCCCCGCCGCCGCCAACGCGCCATCTCCGAAGCCTTCAGCTCAAGCAGTGACTCAACCTCGACCACACAGAGCGTGCTCGACATGCTGACTCGGGTCCCAAAACCCTACGGTTCCACGTTTGACAATCCCTTCTCCACCTCTAAAAAGAAGAAGAACACGGGGGAAGAGAAGCATGTCGAAGCTGATGGAGAGACATTCAAAAAAGCCTTCAAGGTTATCCAGCGGACTGTGAATTTCAGTGATGAGGAAGAGTATCTAGCCTTGTATCAGAAAGTTCTAGAGCAAAGCAAGAAGGCAGAGCTTCCGTGTCTGAAAAGCGCAACGGGATGTTCCTTCCGCGTTCACGACCCCGCCTCCTCTTCCTTCTTTTCTCCAGCCGGTGCACTCGAGAAGCCGAACGCAGACATGCAGGATTCAACCCAGCGTGCAGAAGCTGCGGAAACGTTTCTCCGCCACGCACTCATGGCGCGTGTCCCTGTTCCCCTGGGCCGCATCACAGGCGTGTGGCGCTTGTACTGCAACGAGTATACGGGGCAGCATGTGGACAAGTACAGTGCTGGCATGCGTACGCTGACGATTACGTCGCCGTCTTCGTATCAGGGGACCCCGGTGTATACGGCTCGTTTGCATATCCCGCCTCGGTCTATGGCGTTTGCCATTGCGCCGTTTGCCGCGCCGCCACATGCTGGGTTCCGCGCTACGAGGATGAAGTTGGTGGAGGAGGGGTATGCGATGGAAATGGTGTTTTTCGGCAATGGGTATGCGAGGGTTAGGGCTGATGTTGGGTTGTTGCTTTCCGGGAAGCATGGGGCGGGCGGACAGATGGAGAGTGCGAACAAGAACAAAGGCTACGGCATCTGGCACTTCCTTGCTGTCCATGAAAGACCACTCTATTGGGAGCCTGAGGTCGATGAGTTGGAAGTTGAGGGTAAGAAGCTGTTTGCTGCGTATGATGGTATCGAGTAAATAAAAAGGATCGGGGTGTTGGGGGTGTATTGGGTTCTGGATGTTAGGTAGAATAGGGATAGGGATAGGGTAAGAGGGATTGCATCTTGTACTTTGTTCGACGTACTGCTGCATGCGTAAGTATCGTCGTTCGATTAATGAGTACCACAGTCTTTGTGGTTTCGAATGAATGATCCTGTATGGTTAGATATTCTGCATGGATAATGCTTGGAAGACAATCCAATCCAGCGCAAATGAAATAGCAAGTTTAGTGCGCTGATTAGACTTTTTGATATGTTGTTGATGCTGGATACATCTCTGCGCAAAAGCATATATACATGCGGTAAACCACGTAAAGCCGGAATACCACCATCATGAAGTGTATGAATACTGTGCTTGGGACACGGTGAGCGGTCGTATCTGTAGTCGATCTCATCTATGTGTTGAAATCAAGGGCCCCGACGAGAGACAGGGTCAGTGGCGAGTAAGGAGGTGAAGAAGTGGTGCGGAGGCAAGGGAGGGGAGGGTAAGAGAGATGGCAGGAATGAAGGAGCATTTTAAGCGAGAAAGGGCTTTATGGATTTAGTGAGTGTGTATAAATATTTGGAAAGGAAGGGCGGGGAGGCTTGGTCTTTCAATTCGGTGGCTCGGAAATACAGAGAAGGTGGAAGGTGTGGCCGTTCGTTTGCGATGCTTTCTTCTTTTGCGTGGTGCGGTATGATCGTAGTAATATCTGGAGATCGAATTTTGGTGTGAATAATAGTGAAAGGAAGTTTAGTAAACGGACTTGATGAAGAATGTAAACATTGAAGATTTCATACATGCGTACTCGTCGTAGTCAAGTACATCACTCCTCTACATCGGCCCCTTAGATGCACGCCTCAAGGCTGGATTGCAACCGCAAACCCACTGAAATGCACCATTTCTGGCTGACTACTAATAATTCTTCCTTAAATTACCCCATCTTCATCGCATTGACCTTCATCTTTGCCAGTGTTGGTGGCTTTGTCGGAGGAGTTAGCCAGATATTTACATACTAACAAGATGAACCTAGCCTTCCTTCCAGAAAGATTACGAGCCCTCTTGTCACTCAAATGACAAGACATGGTAATGCCTATCGCCAACTCACTCCCCGATAATGAGCGTGAATACATATCTAGCGCGAATATACCGAGACCAAACCGATTCATCCCGCGCACTGAACAATTCGCTCTATCAACACAATAAACATGCACTCTTCAATACCCAGACAACCAAGAAGGTTATTTTCCGGGTAAACTGATCCCAAAACGGGATATTTTCCTCCCCTGCTACCCGACCCACCTGTTCGCGCGCGCAGCTAGTCCGGCTGCCTTTCGTACTTTAAGGTTTACATAGGGTACCTAGCTCCCACGTGCATAAGTACAGCCGGTTACTTTTTCTTCCTAGCCGGTACCGTCAATGCAAAATATATAGCAAAAAAAAGCTTGTCAATAATATGTATGTAGATGTCTTGGATAGGCTTGGCAAAGGCACTTGTAGCTAATATATCTTTCATCACTCTACCCACATACGCAAACGTTGTACTTGACTCACTACCGTCTTTGCAAAATCACTCACGACGACATGCGAAGATGTCATGGAACATACAAGTGTGCAAGTTTTAAAATAAATAAATAAATCATTTCTTCGTTAAATTCATAGTTACATGTACTTAGTTTCGTCTCCTCACACGGATCTTGCCGCCATGTAGCGGCAACTTGAGCCACACGGTATCTAGAGGCTTCGGTCTCACCGCCATGTGCTCAACATCGTAATTCAGCAGCATATGCGCGATAAACACCTTCATCTCGTTTAGCGCGAAAAACCGGCCTGGACACGCATGCCTGCCGAACCCGAATCCAAGGAAGGCGTCGTCGAGGGTGGCAGTGGACTTGGCTTTGCGCTCAGTCGCATCTTCTTTAGCGGCGGCCTCGAGATCCTCTTTGGTGGTGAAGCTGTCGATAATGTTGCTTACGTTGGTGGGGTCAGCGAAGCGGAAGGGGTTGAAAGTGCGGGCCTGCGGGTAGATTTGCTCGTCGTAGTGGATGGGCTCCATGGGGACAGCGATCATGGTTCCTTGGGGGACGTGGACGTTTGAGACGGGGAGACGGATGCCTTCTGGGTGGACGACCTGCAGGGTTCTGTTTAGAGACGCATGTTTTGTGGAGGGTTGGAAAAGGAACTTACGGTTCTGGGGAGTCCGCAGATTGCAAAAGGGTTTAGGCGCATGGATTCACGGATCATGGAGTCGATGAGCTTGAGGTCCCGGACTGCGTCGCGGGTCCAGACGCCGCCGGATTTTGCGAGGACGGTGCTAGCTTCGTTGCGGAGAGCATCGACGTAGCCGAGGGAGGGGTCAGAGCTGAAGAGGTCGAGGATTACATTTTGAACAGTGAAGCTGGTGGAGTGCAGGGAGATGTCGTTGACGAGCAAGAGACGGTGGGCTACGCGTTTGGGCTCCAGTTGGCCGACATCACCTTTGGCGGCAGCAATGTAGCACTCATCGATAAGCCATTGGAGTCCATCTTTCTAGATTTGGAGTCAGCGTACAATTTTGTAAATGACAGAGCGGAAAATTCGTACCGGTGGTGTCCAGCCGCATTTTGGGTCAGCCTTGTAACGAGCCGTTGCTTCCAGTCGTTCTGTTACGAATGGCAGGCAGCCTTTCAGAGCCTTACGTCGCAGGTACCAGCAGTTTGAGCCGACCAAGAAGCCCGTGATAGGTTTCAGTGGCTTCGGTGACGCATTGATAAGCATAGCACCCGCGAAGATGCTCATGGCATGGTCTCGGAGATCATTCAGGAAAGTCTCATCACGGCCTAGAAGAAAGCATCAGTCTCGCAGTGTCCGGATTTCATCACTGTAAACTTACATAGCGGCGCGCCACAAAAAGCTCCATTGCTTGCACCAGCGATGAGTTTCAAGCAGGCATCCCAGACTTTGACTTCTTTCCATGTTGTGTCGCCTTTCTCGCCCCACCACCGATCGAAGCCTCTGTCGAGCTCGTCGGCCATGAGTGGAGTCAGATGTTCAAGATTCCTGGTAATCTGGTGGCGCACGACATTGATCTGGAAGTCATTGTCTGCCACCTCCTTGTCCCAGACGGTCCATTTTGTTTGGATAGTCTCGCTCTGCGTGGCATGAATGTCAAGCGTGGACTCTGGAAGAGAGTAGACCTTCTTGATAAGACGGGGTGGCAAAATGATCATAGCACCTCTGTCAATGCTCGGCAAGATGAAGGGACTGTTTAAACCGGCAAACTAGTGACAAAGTGTTGAGTAATTGGCACGTAAGCATTGTAGCGGGCCATACCTTGCGATAGCCTTCAAAGGCCCAATCCTGCGTCTTGCGAACAGACTTTAGAGTAGCCCATACCCAGGCAAGCCATCCTTTTCCAAGGCCTACGGTTGGAAGCTCTTTCCAGTGCTTTGATTCCGGTGGCCCAAAAAACAAAGCGCGAATGGCATGGTAGACAACGAAGAGAATGGACAAAGGCACGAGGGCCTGTGTGGGCGTGATGATGAGCTCCATGGCCCTATGCACAAATCACTGAATCACAAGAGCAGAGCAGAAACTGCTGGGCTCCAAAAAAACTCTTTAAAAGGTGCCATGCCATACTTCATGCACGTCTCTAGGCGATAGCAGCAACACATGGGATAGCGTGCGAGTCCTACCATACGCCGACAGCGCTAAAGCGAACCGATACAGTCGTATCCGCTGGACCGGGGTGCCTGCAGCCAGAGACGGCCCAAGACGCTTGCTCGACTTGGCATTCCAGGCTCTGTCTCTTGGTGGGGATTGGCGAATGAGAAGAGTAGTCGTGGGCCGAAGATTGCATCAAGTTGGACATCGATTGCGGGGGGCCCCGAACCCGCTGCCCACAAAAACAAAGTTCAAGCCGTTGCACCCTGTAAATCCACCGCTGGGATTGCGGCAAAAGCAAATCTGATAGACAGCGATGTGGGCGTGGTAGAAGAGGGATTAATCGACGGCGGCATAAGCACCCCTCCAGGTGGGACAATGGAGTAGCCATGATCCGGGCCGCGCAGGAGGTCGCATAACTAGTAAGTGTATGTACATGTGTACGTACTTGGTCCATACCGCTTGATGCACCCACGCAGCCGGGAGCAGCAATCAATCTGGCCATTTATCATCCAGGACTAGAGGCCACATTGACAGCGCGCCAACCGCGCGGCTCTACACACGGCTCGGGTCGGCTGACCGCCGCTTCTGGAATAAGAACGGCGTGGGGCTGCCCACCATGGGTTCACTTGCCCGCCAGCTGGGAGGTCTTGGTTGTCTTTTCCCATACCTACAGCTCAGCCGAACGCCAAACGCCATTGTGTGGATACGCATGTACATGCTCTTACAGTACGCGCCTCGGCTGCCGCCCTCTGTTCAGCGCCTCCACATGGTCATGGTTCCCCTCCTCTGAGTTGTCGTGACGCACCTGTGCGTCCTCCGCCCGGACGAACTGCCCCAAGTCCATGCAACGGCGAAAAAACCGGTCGAATGTCAGCATAACTGGTATTGCCCAATGCATGCTGGAGTATCAGCTATCGGGAGCAGTGCCTCGAGTATGCAGACAACCACCTCTTTCGTAGGTGCCGGCAGTCGACGTTGCGGTGCAGATGGGGTTAGTCCACTTCGGCATATGCCGCCGGCCAATTGAGCCATTTGCCAAATCCGCCAAGACGTCAACCCAAGATTGAGGTGCGCTATCGGCTTCGCTACTGGCTTAATCGCCCAGAATACTCGCCTATCAAAAACCGCCAAATTATTGCGCATGCAAAAAAAACCACGCGTACCATGTGGGCGAGCATGCGACCTTGAGACCTCACTAGCAATGTATCCCGGCCTTGCTGCATGCTGGCTGCAATCTAGATCATGTTCAAGCTCGAGCTGGTGGAGTAACCATGGCGTTTTCTGCAAGGCCGGATTGGGTAATATTTTTGAGCAACATCTGGCTGGTATCGTCATCACTCAACGTCGGACCGATCAAACGTTTACCAGCCCTCTCCATGGAGCGGCCGCATTCTCAGTGACATCAGGCCTGCCGTCTCACTGGATCAGCTCCAGAAGCTCATGGTATTTGACCCAGCATCGTAACAGGATTTCCCTTCCGCGGTGGGGTCTCTGATGCATTAGTCTGTACGTCAAACTAGTACCTCACCGGAATTTCACGTGTGTTCGGTGAACCTGAGGTACCTTGAATTGTGGCATCGTTTCGAAGGCTGGATACTTGGAAGGTCTCAACTCACCGTCTTGGTCTACTTACCAAGAAGCAGAGGTTTCACATGGTACTCCAGGAAGCTATGACTTTACTCTCTGTCCAGCAATAGTTACCATGCCCTGGCCGCGGGGATAGGATACCCAAGATATGAGATGCACCCATGTGTCAATATCTCACACCGATTGGTCATTAAATCGTTTTTTTAGTGAGAAAAAAAAAGATATACTTGCTCTGGTATCCATGGCCGCTCTAGTTGCGGCGTAGTACTAATAAAATGCACAGACACGACTCACGACCGGCGCCGCAACTAGCTCTACAATGAGCAATCGGATACAACATCAATGCGCCACATAATGCCAAGAACATGAACATAAGCACACCTTCACAACATCTAAATATTCATAAGCTATCCACGCGCTTGCTCATTAGCCGGGATAGTGGTCTCACTCCACGTTTTTGACACTTTAATCCACCCTGCAGTGCGGGTACATTATCCCGCATTACGCCACCGCTCGACATGGGGGTCCTCGGAGCTTCTACACAAGCGGAACTACCCCCATGTACCCAGATTCGCCCGTATACGTATGTACACCATGTACCACTTACGCACCCACTGCATGGGCCATACAGTAGAGCCGCATTTCCGACACTGTCTAACCGTATTCCCCGAATCCTACGCTACTCAACATCGGGCCGTTACTAGCAAGCACGAAGTGCAGCAAGTGCATGGGCGTAGGCGCTTTCATTGCTTGCATCGGCCATGCCTACCTTCTAGGATGGCCTGTATTATGGGCAGAGTCCACCAATCGTGACATGCACGTGTAGACGGGCGCCTCCACAATGCCGGATGGTAGCTATGCATTTACATAAACTGACACAGACTTGAGGGTAACGTGGGCTGATGTCGCTTGCCTCGAGCTGCATGATAACGGCACAGTAAAACTAATGATGGCTTCTGCTAGCATGCTTGACGGGCACGCTGCGACGGGTCACTACGACCGAGGTTTCTGCGCCATCAGGCTTTGACAGTCTTGCTTGCTTGGGCCGGCCTTGTATATGTACCCAAACATAGCCCATGTACCTGGCTCCCGAGCAGCAGGTCCGGTCCAATTTTTAAACTTTTCCATTGTACGCTTCCCATAGTCACAATGGACGCTCTAGTATTGCCAGCAGTACACTTGCCTACGTTGAGTCCTTTGACAGTCAATGCTGCAAGCAGTGTGTTTGGTTTCTTGTCAATTTTTCTTTGTTACAGAGCACTCGTAGCTAGGAAGTTTGTGCGTCTTCAGTCTCTCTGTATATCAGACTCTCTGAATTCAAAGCTGACCTTATCATTTAGCCATCACTACGACAGCTTCTCAACTATGTCTTCAGGCCCTTCGTGACCCGCTACAAGGCATGGGCGTACCTCTTCTGGGGCCCAGAGATTATTCAAAAGGCATTCGATGAGGCGGATGGCAAGCCGTTCGAGTTGTTCGCTCCAGACAACCGCTATGTCTATGTATCCGACCCTCAGCAAATCAAAGAGATTGACAATGCCCCCGACGGCGTCCTGTCTCTTCAAGCGGCCTCGAAGCAGGTAAGCCAATCCGCCACCTCTATTCTCTATTGATGCTAACGGATTTTCAGATGTTGCAACCCGTATACACAATGTGAGTATAACTCCAATTTTCTTATTGTCCTTGCCATATGGCGGTCATACAAGTCACATGCCTTCCATTGTCCATGTTGACCGAGGATGCAAGTCTCTCGCCCTATGCAGCCTACTGACGTACAACAGGCATGGCTTCAATTGGTTCGATAAGCGCGGAACCGAAGGAGTAGGCTTTATCCGCGCTCTTCGCACGCTCCTGACCAACAACCTACCCAAAATCCTGCCTGATCTTACTTGTATCATCCGCACAAGATTCGAGGAGCTACATGCTACTCACCCAGTCATCAATGGTATTGTATACTTGACATGTCTGTATGAATGCAGCTGACAGTGAGGGATAGGCAAGAGGCATTCAGATGTCTATCACATGACTGTGAAGCTCGTCGTATTGTCCAACGCAGTGTCGTTTTTCGGAAAGGATCTCGGTATGTTCGCATGGATAATTAGATTCTGTCCTATCGTGCACAAACTTACACCTTTTTTAGCCAAGGATGAGCAATTCATGGTCTCGGCCCTGCAATACATTGAGGAGACTCTGATTTGTGCCGAAATCGTGCGTTTGCTACCCAGCTTCCTGAGTCCGTATGTAATCTCTTCGAACCACTTTGGTTGGTTTTCCTATGCACATCCATTCACTAACATCCACACCCAGCATCGTCGGCAACATCATCGCTCGCACCCTCAAATCCCATGCCGTAATCTTCAACCGACTCCTTCCCATCGCCCAAGAACGATGCATCGAACGCGATGCCGCCATGCTTGGCCAAAAAGTGCCTCAACATGTACGTGCTAACAACCCATATTTGTATCTCTCGGTACACCTGAACCAAACTAACCCGTGACCACAAAGGCCGACTGCATCCAATGGATCATGGAGACCTCACCCAAGAACGCCCCATGGACCCCACAACGCGTAGTCCATGAACTGATGGCCATCTGGTTCGGCTCTGTCCACGCCGTCTCCACAACCGTCACTTTCGCCATCCATGACCTGTGCCTCCACCCTGAATACGTTGCTCCGCTTCGTGCAGAGTGCCAGGCGCAATATGCGGATTTCGAACGCAAGGGAATGGGCTTGCCGCTATTGGATAGCTTTATCAAGGAGTCTGCGCGGTTGACGCCTGTCGAGTCGCGTAAGTTCTTTCTCTTTATTTATTTATTCATTTATTTCTTCTCTATTGTTGCTAACGCAAAAGAACAGAAAGCACACGTCGTTCTGCCCTCCAACCTTTCTCACTCAAAGACGGCACCCACGTCAATGTCGGTGACTGGTTCTGCACCCCTGTTCGCGCGATAATGACTAACCCCGTTGACTTCCCTACCCCCAACACGTTCAGTGGGTTCCGCTTTGCGGACCCGGCGCTTGTCCAGGCGCTGGAGGATACGAAGGGATCGTTTGAGATTCTTCAGAAGAAACCGACCAAGTTGACGGATGTGGATATGACGTTTCATGTTTGGGGAACCGGACGCATGGCTTGGTGAGTTTCCCTTCTTCCTCTCTCTCTCTCTCTTCGCCTTTTCTTGTGCTTGATAGAGGGCCGTGATGTATGAGATGCAGACGCTAACGCAATCACAGCCCCGGTCGCTACTACGCCTCAGCAGTCATGAAGGTCATCCTCGGCCAAGTCATTCTCAACTATGACTGCGAGCTCCTAGAGCCTAATGCTAAGCGTTTCTTCACATGGCGCTCGACCATCTTGCCTAAGCCGAGTGCTAAGGTTATTTTTACGCCACTCAAGGCGTAAGGTTCACGCTGTGCGTACAGTGCGATAGCCTGTCTTTTGTTTGATCCCCAGGAAAGTTTTGATTGACGAGTTCATGCAATTAGCGTTTCTTGTTTTGGCGTTTGGGCATACGAATTACGATACAACACGATGATATCCACGCTCCTTTCTTTTATTGCTAGTACCGAATGAAGACATGATACTTTCACTAGAAGCGGCCCTTGAGATGTGAAGCTGATGCCACAGGAGGGTGGGTGTATTAGGTCTTGCATTACACACTACATTACTTATGAGTCACCTGGTTTTGCCGAATCATACTACTACGCCATATTTCCCTTTTCATAATACACCGCGTTGTCCACGCCCTCTCTTCAGCTTCTCCCGAGTCGGCCTCACCAATAACAACACTGACTAAACGGATACTCCTCCACCGCAATGTTGGAGCATTGACTCGCATCCTGACAGTCTAAATGATCCATCTCGCACCCCCCAGTTTTGTTTCTCGAGTTCGCTTCAGACTGTCGAGGGACAGACACACGTCCTGGATGCATCTTCTCAAAAGGCAAGTCCGTAGGACACGTAATATTCCTATTCCAACTCGACCATGCGTCTCTGTCGCGATCCAGCAAATTTGCTGCCGTGTTGTTCCTCTTGGACAAAGGCGCAACGATTGCTGATCTGCCGGGTACGTCGAAGCCGCGGACCACCCGTTCCGGTGTGTAGTCGTCGTGCGCCACGACTGTGTATCCGGTATATGCAGTGAGGGGCGCGGGCGAGATCCTCGTGTAGGATATGCAGTGCGTGACGAGATGGGATTCGGGTGTACGAACGGAAGGAATGACTTTTGGGAGGAGAAGTCGAGGTGCGTGATTACATGAAGTGATGTGTTTGAAGTCGTGCTTCTGTGTGGGTGCTTTCGTGGTATCCTGCCCCTTGGGAGTCTTCAGCAGCTGAGAAGCCGACTCAGCGCGTATAGAGTTGCAGATGAAGCTGTCGGTTCGTTTGTGGCCAATCTGTGAGCTCAGGGTTGGCTTGCGTCCTGCGAATAGCCTTACGAGCCAGTCATGCCACGTTCTTGACGACGCGCCTGGGTTGTACCGTTTTGTCGTAAAACCAGGTCGCTTTCGTGCGGACGCTTCATTGTTCTTGGACCTAGGTATATACAGGGGCGCGAGCACCAGAAGGGAATCGCTTGGGTCGGTGTCATCGTCCACGGAACTTGGGAAGCTAGATAGACTCCTTGAATCCAATGAAGAGATCGGGGTTTCTGCCGTAGGGTGAATGGCGCTCTTCAGAATGTCGCCCATCCCATCAACTGCTGGAGCAGAAGCCCGCCTTTGGGAAAAACACCCTCCTTTTCTTCCATGTGTACCAATATCCTCCTCGTATATTGCCTGGTCTGAATCAATGAGAGTTATATATACTTATATTAGTTAGCAAGCGTTCTAGACAGATGAGCATAACGGTCAATTAGATGCCTCTTTCGACTACATCTGGGTCATCCATAATGTCGTTTGTTGGTGATGATTTGGCCATATCCACGTGATGCTTGTTGTTTTCTTGCAGTCGCTGTTTGTTTTGGCCATACAATCGAACGCACAACATAATTGTGCACGGTCCAGTGATATTACAACTATTAGTTGGGATGGATTGGGTGAATTGGGTGAATTGGGTGAATTAGGTGAATTAGCTGAGTAAGTTTGTGAGAGAAATTGGCAAGAGAAAGGTGTTAAGAGAAACCAGTGGTTGAAGTAAAGTCAAGAACTGCCCAAGTTTATAGATAGTCGCCAAGTACATTTCCTATTGCATATACAGATTTAAATCAGTGCATGAAAGATTCACTGATTTGCGAGTGATTGTGATGAACCGATGTGATGGTAATGGTGAGGGTGACACATGGCGTTATCACGATGAAGGTGTAACTGAGAGACGTAGATTACAGGAAAGGAGGCAAACATGTAGAGCATTTGCTGATGCTGAAGATGTCACTGGGATATAAGGTGAAATCTGATTGGTTGCGAATCTCTGGTCTCTTGAGTGTGATGTACGATTACAGCTGCATACCGCCAGGTGAGCATGGAGACAGTATAGCATAGGCTTAAGCTGTAGGCGTTGACACAACGACACTTGGCCGAGCTCCGATTGACACTGATAGGAGCGCACATGATAGCTCATCCATCATGCTAGCGTGCATACAGGCACGGACAGATGGCTGCTTGGTGATTCAAGGTTCACACCTAGTATACTCATGCGTTGTCTGCGCAAATATATGTGACTGCATGCAAGGTTAGAAAAGCAGAAAAATAGAACAAAGGCAAGGAACAAGGTACCGTTGTTTCCACGGACAAAAGCATCACCCCAGTTGCGCGTGACCTTGCCGTCTGAGACTTCCTTGCAGCGCTCAAGGGCAATATTCATGTAGCCATCGACTGACTGAAGGTCGCCTGTGACGGTGTTAGCACACAACGGAGATGAGGACAGCAGCATATGTACCTTTGTAGATGATGCCAGAGTTCAGCTTGACAGTGACGGGAGCGCCAATAATCTCGCTGAGAAAGCCGCTGGGGTCTCTAGAGTCGGGGGCGGCCTCTGGTGCTGGACTTTCGCCGTTTGTAGACATGGTGTCGTGGCTGGTTAGATAAGAGTTCCTGGACACATGTTCAGCGACATGGTGGCGGTAGCACAGATGATATCTGGACGAGGGAGCTTACGTAAGAAGAGGTGTGTTCCTGCCTTGCGCTGACGATATGCTGGTGGGTGACGGGTGAATGGACTGAGTAGGTGGCGCACGGACCCGCTCTTTCTGTCGTTACTCAGAGATGGCAATCGCGAGCAACGTGACTGCGCGTTTGGGAAAGCCCCACCGTCCCGCCTTCCACGTCTGTCCGCCTGCTCCTTCCAGGCGGGTACTGCTGAGTCAACACCGTTCAAAGCAGCCTATTCACAATCGATGCCTCTCTCAAAACCATGACACAAGCCACCTCAAGCGCGGCACCGCCCAAGAAGCGCTCACTCTTCAAGCGCCCAGCCTGGCAAGACTCTCCGAAAGATGACGACGCCGACATCTTCAGCCACTCGAATGAGTTTGCCGACATCATCGCCGACGAGGCCAGGCGGCGCGCAGAGGAAAAAAAGCAGGAAGAGACCCGCCCTGCACGCAAGCACTCGCAGCCACGAGACAGTAAACGTCGGCGCACGTCAAATCCAGATAAGAAGGCTACCGCAAGCTCGACACTGAAGACATCCCCCAGACGCAGCAAAACACCACTCTCCCCTCTCCCGATACAATCGCCGCCGGCCTCGCTCGCTGCCCGCTACGACTCACTAGCAACGTCCAATTCCTCAGCCGCCTCGCTGCCACATAAGGACTCGCTCGTTATTGAGCTGGGTGATTCGGATGATGACTCGCATAATATTCACAAGTCTCCCGCGCCAGTCGCTGCCAGCTATACACAAGGCGTGACTGTTCGCCAGTCAAGACCGTCGCCAGTGGTTATTTTAGACGACGATGACGAAGACGAGGCAGAGGACGAAGAAGACTCTATGTTTGCTGCATTGAGGGCAAGAGCGCGAGCGCGCATTGCAGCAAAGGCCGCTGCCTCATCAGCACAAGGCAGTGACGCCCCCAAAGCCCCAATCACCCAGCTCCTCATTACTTCGCGCATTCCGAACACAAACCCCCTCATGGTCAAGATCAGAGTCGACACTTTTATCGAGAAGCCACGCAAGGCATGGTGCGCAAAACAAGGCCTTTCGCAAAAAGACACGGACAATGTTTTTTTCACATGGAAGGGCACACGTATATACGACAGCACGTCCATCACACGTTTGGGCATCACAGTTGACGACAGCGGCAATGTGACAATTGAAGGGGACACCAACATTTACGATGACGTCAACCTCCCCAAGATCCATGTCGAAGCCTGGACTAGTGAACTTTATAAAGAGTATAAGAAGGAGGAGGCTGCAGCGGCGGCGGCTAGAATGCTTGCTGCTGAAGCTCCTGCCGTGGTCGAAGAAAGGACTCCCACTCCGGAACCCACTCCCGTGTCCACAAAACTCCGGGTCATCTTGCGTGCCAAGGGCAAGGCGGACTTTGGCTTGACAGTGAACCCAGTACGTACAGATGTCTTCAAGGCAAAGCAGGTCATGTATACTAACAAGAGCTATAGCACACTACAATTGCCCATATTGCAAGCGCATACAAATCCCAAACTGGAATTGACAAAAACCAACCAATCACACTCATGTTTGACGGCGACCGGCTTATGCCCTTGGACACCGTGGCCGACTATGAGATGGAGGACAGGGATGGAATTGAAGTCCTGTTCAAGTGAACATGTCTCCATGTTTTATTTACAGCAGCGGTCGTCTGGTCTGTACTCGCATTGTCGTTATTTGATTTCTTGATATGAATGCTAGCGTGGCGTTAGGGGCGCATCGACGTTCGAACCACGTGTGCTTTGGCAATTTGATCTGTATATTCCTTGAAATGGACCTGGAGCATTTTTAATGCATCGTATAGCAGCCATGGCTGTCAATGTAACCATTTGTCTTTTGATTGAACAGCTCAGATATTAGGATTCTTCCTCCTGTTCGCACCTCCATCAAGAATCAACTCTTGGCCGCTCAAAAAGCCTGCTCCCATAACATACTCCACCATCTCTGCAAGATCCTCTCCTCTTCCCACCCGACCAGCGGGATGCTGCTTATGATACAACTCATCCAGATCCTCGGCCCACGCCATCATCCTCAGCTTCTGCGCAGACTCCTCATGTGGCGCAACCTCCTTGTAGGCGCCATTCTGCTGCTCTTTAATTTCCAAATCCCGTGCCTTACACTCATGCTGCACACTGACCCACCCCGGTGAGATAGCCACAACACGGATTCCCCATCTTTGACACGAAATCGACATTGCCTGCGTCAACGCCAATACACCCCCTTTACTCGCCGCATACCCCTCACAATCCGGATCAGACTGGTGCGCACGAAACGACGCAACGTTGATTATGCAACCGCCCTCATCTAGCTTGTCTTCTCCATGCAAGTTCGTAGGCAACTGATTAAATTCTTCAGTCCTCTTGAGATCTTTCCTCCTATCCACACCCTTCGCGCCCTCCTTTTGCGTATTCTTACTCTTCATGAACGGAATCACGGCTTGACTCATATAGAATGGTGCACTGAGATTCGTAGCGATGTATGCTTCCCATTGCGCTCCGGTGGCTTCATCTTCCATTGTGCCGTTTCCGGCGTTGAAAAAGCCGCGGGCGATGCCCGCATTGTTAATCAGTACATCGATGCGGCCACCGAAGAACTCTGCGGCTTGCGCGACGGCAGTGCGGATTTCGTCGGGCTTGGTGAGATCCGTGACATGGGAGCTTATGCGGGGCGCGTAGGCGGAGAGGTGCGTGGAGACTGCGTAGTCGAGTTCTTCGGCGTCGAAGTCGAGGATGAAGACGCGGTGTGAGGCGGGGAGGGAGAGAAGGTGGCGTGCGGTGCAGCGACCTATGCCGCGCGCACCGCCGGTTATGATGATGTTTTTGGATTTTGAAGCGGGCATTTTGTGTGTATATATTCGCTGGTATAGCAAAACTCAGAAACCAGATACTACTATCTAGACCTCGTTGCAGTTGCAAAAAGCACATGCACCTTCTTATATGTATGTACATGTCTCCAGAACGCCCGTTTGTTGGTGGCGCATGTGCTAGCCGTTCATATTTTGTGCGCGGAATTCGCCCTTTCAGGCTATTTTGCTCTTCCAGCCGCGCATGTAGCGTGGTGGAGTACAATGGGAACGTTGGTAGTATGCATACATTAGCCCTAGGGGTTGTGCGGGAACGTCCTGCATCGAGGTCCTAGTCTGGTACGCCTTGGAAGCAGGCCCGCGTATCCGCTTCCCACTTTCTCATAAACGCAAGTAACATAGATTGATAGTTATTCCGATGGAAAGGCGGACCTGGAGGCTAAGCGATGATTGAAGCGCGGAGAGCGCTTGAGAGCGATGCGGAGTTCGGAAAGGCGAGCCGTTGGAAGGATGCAGTTGTCTCACTGGAGATGGTGGTGTGCGGGGACGGGATATCTGGTCGCTTGCCTGGCCCGCTTATCGTGCATAGCTATGTTCCTCTGCGAACTTATTGTTATGTTTTGATGGTATGCTTTGGGTTTGATGATGATAGGAATGGGAGTTTTACCGAGGGTAAAATGAGCATTTTTGCCTATCGTAGTTTGTTGAACATCTACATATGAAGTCTGGTGGATTACTGTCATGTGTCCTCTTCGTAGGAAATATGAAATCCTGGATCTCGTTCATGGTTATCTTTCATTGTTGATGCTGTGTACTTCTGGATGGTGGATTGGATACGTGTTGTATACCTTCATTTTAACTACGGATCCAGCTATAATACATTATCGTAGCAATCACGACTCATGACAACCCACAAATCTTAGTAACATCATCTGGTCGCCATCTCCTCGTGCACTTTTTGTCCCGCACACTCCTGCAGCAAACGCTCTTGTACATTCTTTGCAGCACGCGCGTAGGTAACAATATCTACATCTGTCTTCTTGCCGTCGGATCCACCATCAAACACCTCGTAGCTGAACCACCCCCGGAATCCCGTTTTGAGCACTGCTCTTGCAACATCGACAACAGGTAGGTAACCGCCGTTGTATGGAAGCGGTCTAAAGTCGTGGCTCCAGCGTCCGCGAGGCAGCAGACCAGACTCATCGCGCTCAGCATTCATCGGCTGCGGTACCTTGTATGCATCGCTGATTTGCAGGAGATAAATCTTTTCCTTTGGGATACTGGTGCTGAGTTCTTCGAGACTCTTTTGGAATCGCTTCTCTAGCTCGTTCTTGGACACGTCTTCGCGCATGCCCGATGCGGTTCGGGGGTCTCCCCATTCGCCGCCAGCAGTCTGGAAAGTATCGAGACAGAGACCGATATTTGGGCGATCGACTTGCTGGACGATGCTCCAGACGTCTTTCCAGTCTGGAGCATGTGTCGACCAGCACCAATTTTCGTAGGCGAGTCGGAAACTATGTTCATTGAGCATGTCGCATAGCACCTGGAGGTCCGATACCATTTTGCTCCTTTCTAGTTTTTCAAGCGGCGTATCGGTTGATCCAACTTGGAGCATGTCTGTTCCGCATGCCTGCATGATGCGGATCCAGCCGCGTGCTCTGTCCATGGCATCTTTGCGGCCAGGAGAATCTTCGGGCCAACCTTCGTAGTTGGCAAATGGCTGCAGCATCATGATTCCTAGGTTCCTTTGGTCGCACTCTTTCTTGATCTCAGCTGCCACTGTGCAGAGTTCGTCGTAGTTGGATGGTTGCACCTCATGGCCGAGCAAGGTTTGGCCGTACGAAAGGATATCAGGGAATGACAGCTCAAGGGCAGAGAAGCCCGCATCAGATATTGCCTGTAGTCGGTCAAGCAGGGGCGGAGGGTTTGATGGGCTGCCGAGCGAACATGTCGCATAGCTGATGGGAATGGAAACTAGAGAAGAGTAGTCGAGCCCGCTCATTGTGTGTGTGTGTGTGTGTGTCTGAATTATCCAGGTGAGATGGAAATGACTATTGGCTGCTTAGTTTGAAAAGCCATGGTTACTTATGAAATGGATGGTGGTGCGACACGGCTCTTTCGGTATGCAACAGTTGTGACGTAGAGGTTGTGGAGTAGCGATGACGGCACTCCACAGCCTAGGCTTGACTGGTCCTGCAAAGTGCGACTGAGCAAAATCGATATGTGTACTTAATTGTCGCGTATATTATGGACATGAAGCGTCAACGACCAGCACTGCTTCAAAAATAGCGCCGAATGATGACGGAGCTGCCAGCCCCGTAGTCGGAGCAATGTGACCGCCTACATATAGTTGAGACTCGAGGACTCGAGTAGCAGGGCACTTGTTTGCCCGATGACCATGCAAAACGACCTAAATCACAGCGAAATCACCATCTTTGCGCATATTAAAAGACGGTTTTCCTGAAACTTGACGTCAGTATTGATGGCGATTTCTATGCTACTGGTGTGTGATATTGATGAACAGGTCTGGTTGGCTATTCCGAGAGCGGCCGCCACAGCCATAAAAACAGTTTGAGCACACCGACGACTGGCCAATAAGAGACGGTCCGACTCCGCTGTCATCACCAAAACATTCGACTCATAAAGAGGCCGTGGCAGCTGCAGGAAAGAAAAAAGGACAGACAGTTTCACAGTCACTGCCCCAAATCTCTCACTTTTAGACATCGAGTCGTGGTTTCTCGCAGTCCAGTTCCCCAGCATGTCTGTAAGTCTAGCACCCCGCGCCACCTGCCCTAGTCATCATTCACTGTCTTCCTCTATTAACACCTCACTGTAGTTCCACATTGCGAACCCAGCCGTCGGCGACCCGCACAACTCAGAAGACTGGCGCATTCGCGGCTACAACCCCCTCACCCCGCCTGATCTACTGCAGAGCGAGATCCCCCAGACAGCCAAATCCCGCGACACCGTGCTCAAGGCTCGCGACGAAGCCGTCGCCATTGTCCAGGGCAAAGATGCACAGAAGCGACTGCTCGTCGTCATCGGCCCGTGCTCTATCCACGATCCCGCCGCTGCCCTCGACTACTGCGACCGCCTGCTGAAGCTCAAGGAAAAGTACCAGGATGACCTCCTTATCGTCATGCGCTCGTACCTCGAGAAGCCCCGCACCACGGTCGGCTGGAAGGGCCTGATCAACGACCCCGACATCGACAACAGCTTCAAGATCAACAAGGGTCTGCGCATCTCACGACAGCTCTTTGCTGACTTGACGGAGAAGGGCATGCCGCTGGCGAGCGAGATGCTGGATACCATCTCGCCCCAGTTCCTGGCTGACATGTTCAGTGTGGGAGCCATTGGCGCTAGAACCACCGAGTCGCAACTGCACCGCGAACTCGCCTCTGGTCTGTCTTTCCCCGTAGGCTTCAAGAACGGTACAGACGGCACCCTTGACGTCGCCATCGATGCCATTGGCTCAGCCAAGCACCCCCACCACTTCCTCTCCGTCACCAAACCCGGTGTCGTCGCCATTGTCGGCACAATCGGCAACGACGACTGCTTCATCATCCTGCGTGGCGGCAAGAAGGGAACAAACTACGATGCAAAGAGCATCGAGGAAGCGCGTGAGAAGCTCGAGTCAAAGGGTATGAACTCGCGCCTCATGGTTGACTGCAGCCACGGCAACTCGGAGAAGAACCACATGAACCAGCCCAAGGTCGCCCGTGCCGTCGCCGAGCAGATTGAGGCCGGCGAGACGGCCATCATGGGCGTCATGATTGAGAGCAACATCAAGGCTGGTACGCAAAAGGTGCCCAAGGAAGGAAAGGCTGGTCTCGAGTACGGCATGTCGATTACGGATGCGTGCATTGACTGGGAGACGACCGAGACGGTGCTTGAGGACCTCGCTGCTGCCGTGTCAAAGAGGAGGACACTTCTCGGCCAGAATGGCGCAAACTAAAAAGGCGCCAGTCTTTCCGTGAAGAAGAAAAAAGGACACGACAGGCGTGGCGTATACAAGGCATGGAGCATGGCGTTTCTCCTTTACTGTTCAAAAGCCGTTTGGATCAATGGCGAAAACGATGAATTATTACGATACTACCCGAATTAAAAGTTGCTAAACAGAGAGAAAAAAAGGTTATGCTATAAATTACAACTCTTGAATCTCGGGTTCTTGCACCTCTGTATCGTCACTCATGGTGTGTCCTGGATACTTGTCGTACCAATCTCCTGGGTTGCCGCCAGGCATGCATAGTCCCAGTCGCCAAAAGTAGTCGCGGTGGGCAAAGAAGAACTGCCAGAACTTGAAGCGAGTCGGCACTCCCCACGCCGGTTTTTCTTCATCGCTGCCAGCAATGCAGTGCATATCTTCGTCTCCATCGCAGAATTGAACATCAGCGATGGAAAAGGGTAGGCTAGACTCTGAGATGAAGATTTCTTCGCTATGCATGCTGAAGCCCCATTCAGCCAGGGGTAACAAAGGCACAGGGTCGCCAACGTGGGTAACGCGGTGGATCTTATTATGCTGGTGGTTTGCCGTAACGTTGAAGCGCTTATCGATGTATGCGTTGAACTCCTTGTTCCCAAGTCTAGGTTCTCCAAACGTTGTGACATGAGGATCCCAGCCACGTGCTTTAAAGTCCAGGCCAGCCAGAGTTGCTACAGCGCCGCCCAACGAGTGTCCCACCAAGACCAGCTTGTACTCCGGATACTTTTCTAGGGCTTTGGAGACATACGGTAGGATAACCCTGCGCGTGTTGAGCCAGGACGAGTAGAAGCCTGTATGGACGGTGCAGTTCTCGCATTTCGGCGGTTCTGCCGGAGGAGCGTCACCCTCCGCAACACCCTCCGCAACACCGAATCGGGGGGTAAGAAAGTCCGAATCGCTGCTATCTGAATCGTCGTCGCCTGGATAAGGGATGTATTCCTGGGGTATGGTCGACAAGTCCGCAATAGTGTTTGCGATGGAATAGGTGCCACGGAACGCGATAATCAGTCGCGGTTCGGCAGGGTGGTGCGAGAGGGCAATATACCCGCACGAGTCGGACAGGAAAGGACCAGTATTCCATGCCTACGTGTACATGTATCAGCACACAAGTAATGCGACGCATGCTGACGTGCAGCGACTCACCTTGACTAGATCAAAAGTCTCAAAGTCGCGGTCCGCACAGCGGCTTGCGCATGTAAAGGGCCTCTTTATACCCAGTCCTGCGGTACCGACACAGTAGGAGATGTCGACAATGCGCGCGAGTTCTTCGAGCTCCCAGAAGAGATCCTGGGGAATTATGGTGGCATTATTGCCAGTGGCTTTTGCTGTTCCGCGGACCAGCGATTGCTGTTTCGCATCGCCCTGGGGGCTAGCGGCCCAGGACGTAGCGAGGGTGAGATAGCATAGGAGCAGGCTACGTAGAGAGCCCATCAGTAAGATGCTTCACATATCCCGTATGTGGAGCAGTGATAGAGGGTGGGCGTAGGCTTGTTGGTGAGGTCAGAGGACGAATGCGGGCGTGATCAGAATCAATCAGCAGTTGGTCGCGTCACCGCCGAGGCGCCTAGACAGCGCCAAGCCATGGACCCTGAAAAAGTAGCCTATGACATCACGGGCGCCGCTGGACGAGAGCCTTCTGCTGGTTCCATATCTGGGCCACGCGGGCTGCCCACTGCTGACACACGACACAAACCTTCACCCGTACTTTATAATAAACCCCGCCTGTCCATCCAAGACTCCGTCCCACCCGTTGGCTTCCGGACAAGACCCTTCCTGTTTCTTAAGTAATCATCACTGCCGGCGCTTCCGATTTTTCTTTGTTCGAGGCCGCACTTTCACCGACACCTTATTGCTACCACAACAATGGTTTCTGAACAAAGGTCGACAGACGCCCTGAGGGCGGCGCCCTCTCCTGCTGAGGTCTCTCGCCCTACCACTGCAGACAGAATAGAAACTACGCCAGTACCAACCGTTCAGATCGATGGTGTAAGCGACGACAAGGAACAAGCATCAGACATGACCGCTGCCAATAATACAACAAGCCTCAACCCAAGCGCACAGCCAAGTCGCGCCCCATCGCCAAACCGACACGCTCTCTTCCCCCACACCCAAGTCACATACGATGACCCCGAGTTTACACGTCCGCCACCGCTCAACTACACGCTGCGAACTCGCAAGAAGGCCATTTTCTGGTTCTGGACCCTCATCATTCTCGATTGTGTCTGCATGCCTATCGGCCTCTACTTTGGCATGTGGTACGGCCTCACTCGCGACCAATTGTCCGCCAATGCAGTCTTCAGTATCAGCACCGCCTTGCTGGGAACTGTGTCAATTGTTGAGTATTTCATCCGCTTCCATAGACTGTGGAAGAAGGATTCCAGCTGCCGCGTCATCGGAGCCGAGAGATGGTATCTCGACTGGTTTCACTGGAATTTGTCGGTTGGATGGTTTTTTGTCATGATTGAGCTGATTGCGTAAGTTTTCCATGTTGCTATTTTCCATGGAACGATGCTAAATCTTCGCAGCGGCACATGTCCTCACGACCCACCCATCCGAGTCCTCGCCATGCCAGCCCCAACTATGATGTTTGCAATTGGCGTTGAACTCCTCCTTGTCGACATTCTACGCATTATGAATGTCCCTGCTCCTTGCCGTATCTCTTCCCTGCCACAAGGTGCCCCTCTCCGTCCCGGCATCTACGCCTACATCGAGGACATCTGCGCAGTGGACGGATCTGGCGGCACCGAGTTCCGTCAGCGATTGAACCTCCGATACCAGGCCAGCAAGGCGTTTCGTGAGATGCTCCACCGCTTGACGCTCTTCTGGGCCATTGGCGCCATTGTCACGTCTGTCGTCTGTACAGCCATCATCTTCACCATCCAACGTGACATTGCTTACGTGGTATGTTCTAATCTCCCCTTACACCCATCTAGTCTGCTCCTGCTAACTCAGCATAGGTCGGCTGGGTCGTACCATTCCTCTGGGCAGGTATCTGGGCCGCCATTACCATCAAATGGGTCCAATACGAACTCAAGCGCGAATACGAACAGTGGACCACGGCTCAATACAAGCTCTAGAGAGGGGTTTTTCTCTTTTCGAACACCCCCTTTTTTTGTTGTTCGACTAATCAAAGGAAAAGAATTGTGTGTATTACTAGAATCAGAAGATTGGTGTTTTTTTTTTCACATGAGTATTATGGGCGTTACAGGCACATCAATGGGTTAATGCCTCCTCTCTTTTTGGGTTAGGAACGTTGATGAAAGAAACAGCAAGATACCACTTTTTTTTGTGTATGCGTATGTAGAATATCTACGTTTCATCGTTTTGGTTTTTCTTACACCGCGTTCCTAGTCTTTTGCACCTCGAAGTGATATGTGACATCACACTAATTAAACGAGCGGTTTCTCTATGTGTTTTCAGGTATGTCTCAAACACGGCTACGTAAGCCCCCAAGATCGATGGCTGCAGATCGCACGGCTGATAACATCATTGCTACGCAATGCCCAATATGACGGGCGGGAAGGGGGGGGGGCTAAGCTTTTGCGCATGACATTGTCCAAGGCCTTTTCTCCTTGTCATTAGCCTAGTTTAGGGTTAGGACGGAATCCTTTGATGCGGTTCGGACCCTGATTTTAATGGGCAAAGCTTGGACATACACTAACAAAGTGATAACCGCAGTACACAAATTGAAGTAGTAGTATAGAATTGTTATGCATGCACCAAGGACTCGGGTATCAATTCACATACATATCTACAACTACTCTTCCAATTCTTCCATCTTGGTATCCCCATTTCCCTCCGTCGCCGCGTACCCCTTCCTTTTGCTCTTCTTTTCCCCCTTCACCCCAACCTTGACAACCTCAACATCCCAACTCTCCATATCAACAAGTACGATCTTGCCAGTGGTATGGAACTTTGGTACACTAACAATCAGCACCTTCTGGCCTGCCGGGTCTTTTATGATTTTCTTTTCAAACTTCTTTTGGCAGCCAGCAATGTACATGTGCGGGCATTCGGTTAACATGAGGGGATCGTGGTCTTGGAAGGGGTAGCACCAGAGAGTGTCCGGAGCGGTGGGGGCTACACAGCGCCAGCGGAGCATCATTTCCATTGCGTCGACCGATTTGACGTGCTTGAAGTATTTTAGTAGGTCTTTGACGGTTTGGCCGCCTGTACTGAGGACGCGGTAGCCGTCAATGTCGCCGGTCCAGGGGTTTGTTACGGCGTCGAAGCCATTGAGGGTTTCGTTGCTGGCGATAGGGGGCTCAGCGTAGAGTCTGGTGTTGGGGAAGAGCGCGGGGTGGAGGGGCTGTTGGGGGAGGGCGACGTTTGAGGGGTCTGATGCGCCTGGGAGCATGGTGATAGGGAGGGTAGGGAGTATCTCGCAGAGAAACTCGTCGAGGCGTTCAGTTGGTGCTGCGTTGTATGATGAGGCATCGTATCCGTAGTGTCTGGCTGCGCTCTTCTTCGCAGCAAAGTCTTCTCGTGATAGAATTGGTGAGCCGCGTGCTAACGAGCCTCCTGCTATCATTAGGCGTGTTATTTTCGAGGCATCTTCTTGTGTTGATGGGTCTGCCGCTTCTCCTGTCAAGTACTCCACGAGCAGATCCAGCGCTACCTCATCGTCATCTGCACCTGTAAGACCCAGCCCAGACACAATGGCTAGCTTTCCAGCGGGCTCGCGTTTTGGTATGCTTTGCTTTTCCTTTGAGAGCGCTATGTCGTCACGTTCCCAGCGCGGCGGTTGTCTCGGTAGGTCAGCGCATTGTGTTGCAATGACCTTGAATGTGCCATCAGCCTCTTCCGTACCCAACGCTGCAAGTATACACCCTGTGACAAAGTGGCCGTGCAGAGGCTCGCCCGTGACTCGAAGGCGTCCCGACTCATCCTCGAGCATCATCTCGTCGCCGCCAGAGGGAGATATGTAGGTATCGCGTTGAGGGGGATCGGCTATCCAGTGCTGAGGGCTATTAGATTCTCATTTCTCGAGTCTTGGGGGGGGGATTGTACATCTTTCCCAATATCGTCCAACACATTCGGCTTCTGTGCCATTTCCATGTATACCGTTCCTACTACCCAGCACAGTTCGCCTTGTCGCACATCAAGCACACGGTCAACAAAGCTTGCTTTCTGTCCACCCAACTAAACCTGTGTCAGCCATGCAAGACTGGCAATGCTGTATAGCCCCGCAGCCGAATAAAGCATACCTCAAAGTTGTGCCAGGCTTCCTCTGCTCTCTCTTTTACCGTCTTCTTCAGTTGAATCAGACGTAGAAAGTACATGTCAGCGAATTGTTGTGAGTAATGTCTATCGGTGCCTGGCGGTAATACGAAATGGTGGAGCGGGTTGTATGCAGATGCATTTCGGGACGGTGGGAGCGGTGCATCCTCACTGGTGTTGTTGTTAACAATTATCTTTGAGGGGTAAGATGATCTTACAAAGGCTCGCCTTGGAGCAGGCTATCTTGCAGTTTGGTCATTGGAGCTGTGGTGTAGTGAAATAGGGAGAATCACAACCCTCTGAAGTTGGAAAGTTGCGTATTGCGAAAGTCGCGTCGCGCGTCATTCCGCGCCATCCCAAACAGGAAATTTAAAGGGTCCCATCCTACCAAGAAACGTGTATATATTTCACAACAAAGTTAACATCAGTGTAGGAAATACAATAGGTTCACATCAACTTTGAAGTCACATAATTTTGATTTGGTGTGGATTTGATTTGATTTGATTTAATTGTTTCGGCCTTATTGACCATAGTAAACCCAACCCCATCGACTTTCTTCTCAATCGCCTTCTGGACCTTCAACAAGTTCCAGGTCTCGCCTCTCTTCTTGGGAATATCATTTCTCTATATCTATCCTTCGTTGCACATAGGCTGTAATGCGCCTCCATACTGGTTATTTCGTGTTGTGTAATCCCGAAAGCCGTAGAAACGCCAAATTGTAACCCGCTATAACTATTAAACATTGATGATAAAACAGGACATATTGTTGATGGTATTTAGAGCATCTAAAGGATTGTTAGCCAGGATCTCTAACATGTCTGGGATAGCGTAAACCTACCAAAGCAACACCACCAGCAACAATGAGACCGAAAGCAGAGCCGGCCATGTGCGAGGCGCCTCCAGTGAAAGGTAAGGTCGATGAAGTAGGCATGGCGTTGGTGGGAGAGCCAGCGCCAGTGCCGGTGGGGTAGGGTGCTGAAGTGGCCGTGCTGTTTGTGGGAACATATGAGGCAGAGGTAGTAGCGGCGAGGGCAGCAACGACGGAGATGATGGAGAATTGCATGGTGGTTTTGGTTGGAGTGATGATTATTCGGTGGTGGTTTATCGGGGATTAGGGTATTGGGATTTAGTAGCTGAAGGATGTGTTTGTAGACTTGATATGAATCGGGGGGACTTTAACTTGTGTGTTGACGACGGCAACTCTTATATCCCTTATGGCTCAATCCAAATATACAAACATTCCCTAGAGCACATTTTAGCCATCCCCACACGCGTACGTACGACAGCCCACATCCCAGCCATCGGCCGCCCAGCCCTACAAAAGCCTCGGCCCCACCGAAACCAGGAGATGGCCACTCGGGAGCTTGTCGGAAGCCTGTCGCACGAGGCTGGAATTATGATGGCGAGGGCTATAACAGGAATTGCACATTGCTAAGCGTGGCGGACGTCACAGCGGCTGGTCCGGAGGCGTCCGGAGGAGGCTGGTGGCTAATTTTAGCATCCCCAGCCACATACACCGCCTCCTATGTTCACAATAAACTCATTTTATTCGCTGCTGTTTACATTTTGTCGACAACCTATCGATAAGAGTTCATCGCTCACCATACAGATCTCGTCACTATCACGATAGAAAAAAAAATTCGAGGCGATAGATTGCAAGATGGCTGGGCTTGCGTGGCCATTGTCTTGGAAAACTGCTCCGTGTTGACGATCCACTGATTTGACCAAACCGTATGTTCCGTTTCACGAAACAATCAATACCTCTCCTGCTACTGCTTACGCAACTCTACAAACTCACTTCGATTGCGTTGGTTGTTTTGCCTGCAGGCCCGCTATTCATGTCCGCCCCCTGCCGCCGCGATGCAACGTTGGCGCCGAAAGCCACCGAAGCTTAAGTACTACGTAAAGTCGCAGGCAATTCCCGAACTGCTGACCAGGGGAATCGTTGCATCTGCACGCTAGACTACCCATGTATTCGTACCTGGGCAAAAGCAATCTAGCTGCCTCAACGATGGAATGGAGATAGGCAGCGAAATTACCCCGATACGTTATTTTTTTGAGGAAGCTTGAGGCCGAATGAATGATGAGTTCCAACCAGCCATATCACGTGCCCATACGCACTGTCAAGATTGCCCTTCTTGGTTGTTTTCTCAAATTCTCCATTTACTGGGACTTGGCCGCAACATTCTACCCGTAGTGCTCAATCCACCATCACCTACTAATGAGCTCTTGATTGAAAGATTTTAGTGCAGTTGGTTGGTCAACCTTCTGTCTTAACTCATAGGAAACTTGGGTATAATCGTCGTGGTATATCTATTATGATTATAGTTAGAAAACTATAAAATTCTTGCATTAGAATGTTAGGGGATTCGCTGCTGTAATTAAGACAGTGTTTTTGGTTTGCTTAGATCCCTGTTTGAAAACAACAACTCATTAATAGACCGTTATTAGACAATATCGAGATAGTAGACATGAATAGTTGGCAACAAGAGCAAACGTAGCCAAAAAGTCTATGTTCTTGATAGACAAACCGCCAAGGAGCTAGCGTAGCGTTTGAAAGGGTTATATCTACATATCCAAATAGAATTTGACTGGTAAGGTTGGACAATTCGGGCCGAAGGGGGCCAAAGAGAGCAGGTCTCTGACAACCATGACAGATTGAGTACCACAAGTACACGGTCTCCCAACTTGCGCATTGATGTATCATGCAGCAGCCATTGAATCCAAACCGATCTAGCACCACTTGATGTTGGAATGAGAGACCGTCTGCACACTCGATGTCAACATTGTGGTTGTATATTGTAAATGGACAAATTCGGGCAGTCTTGCATGATAGGGGTAGGCAAAGCAAAGATCTACATATGAATCTGACGCGAAAATGTCTCTCAACTCGCCTCAGCAGCAAGATGACGAGAAAAGCTCGCTTGCTCTCCTGGTCGTGTTCGGATCGATTTCTCTGTCGATTGGTAATAGTAAGATATATGCCAGAGAGTAGACCTGATAAAACATGGACATTGAATACAACTCAGCATGGGATATCTTCCTCTCCTGTTAGCTCAGTGCTAACTGAGACTTGTAAGGATCTAGTGTGCTGACTATTCCCACATCAACTTATAGTCCGTAGCCTGTACGTGACCTATACGACGTGGTTTGAGGATTTTACTAGGAAATAATCACATCCAAGCACACTCCAAGGGTCTATGACAGTGTAGTGGAAATTTGATTCAGTTCAATAGCTGTAATTCAGGACAGTATTGGTTTTTTTGGGAATATAGTGTATTGCTGAAGTGGTGTGGCAGATGGTATATAGAGTAAATAGTAGTAGGGCTTGATCGTAATGCTCTGTTGACTTTGGTACAAGTACCTACCTAAGCGCAGCCAATGCCATTACTTAAAGAACAAGATAGGCACTGACAAGGCTTCTCTTCGGTAAATAGCGGGTTAATCTCTGCAGTGATTTCCTAGTCAGATTTTCTCTCTTTTATCCTGAACTCTCCAAAGCACAGTCAGTGAGTTAAGCATAAGCCTACATCTATTGTATCAGTCAAAAAAAGCTCAGAGTATTATAAATGAACTTAAGAAGGCAGCAGTGCAATATGCGATCCCGTATGAGCTGAAAATTCGGACACGAGCTTATGCGAGCGGGAGGACTCATCACACACTAACGCAGCTCTCAACTGCAAGTCAATGGGTTCAGCATCATGGTCTGTGCTGATTCTATCTCATACAGAATTGAACTGAGGGTATTTAGTCTCCATTTCACATCTCCCTGGACCATGGTGATGCATTGTGCGTTGCACAAAAAAATTTAAAAATGCTAGGGGAATTACTAAGAAGCACGGACAAAGGCGGAGAGGGGAGTTATTCAAAATTCGCTGAGTCTGTACGCGGAACTTAGATATGGTAGATGTAAGGAGTTGGCTGCTTCGCCAGAGTCAGCCTATGGCTTTACCTTTCGTCTCACAGCGGAAGTCACATTGTACTTACAAAGCTTTACAGCAAACGCACCTTAGAAAGGAGCAGCTGCTAACGGGTGAGCTAGCGAATTCTATATTCGCACATAGTCTAGAATGCTAGAATGTTACGAATGAGAAATGTTATTGTGTCATGTTGTAGCAAAGAGTTTTCATTGTGTGATTTAGGCTAGACATAGCTAGCGATATGTAGCTTTATGATATTGTAGGTAGTCTTTGCTGGTCACTGATCTGAACGAAATGTCCCCCTACAATGACGCGTTTCAAACCCCCCAGTATCCCAAGATAGGTTCAATTCGTCTTCTACAAAGGATTTACGTCGTTCACAGTCTCCCTGTCATAGGACTTCCTGGTATCGTCTTGCATCAGACTGACTCGTGGCTTTCGTACAATATCGAAGTCCTTCCTTTTCAGCGGCCCTGTCTTCTTCGAGGTTCCTGGCTGCAGGTACAGCCGGATGCCTTATGCATCTTTTACCTCTTGCGTTCCGCCCTGTCCTTGGTGTGACGTCATAGCATGGGCTGCTTCGCCAATAAGTAGTGCTATTCCTCGTGTATATGTCTAAAAAGAGCCCTGATAGGGAAAACGCCACAAATTCATGTCTGTAGAAATTCTATTCACTGGAAGGCCAGCAAAAACTGCTAATGGGTTCTGTCGGTGACCTGGTGTTGCCCGCGATCCGGTTGTTTCCCTTTTTAGCATGTTGGCTGGTACGATTGAACTGTATTTTATAGGCTCGGAGCTCTGGCAAGGTTGTATCATAACGCATTTCTCTTGGTATGATCAAATGAGTACTGCATAGACGGAAGACTTGGATTGTCCGACTGTGCACTCTCTGGCCCCTTCCTAGGATTTCTCTATAATCAACTGGGCATCTAGAGTAAACCAGGGCTCGGATATGTAGTTTCCAATTAGAACGTAGCTTAATGAGAATTCCCTAGATCGTGAGGGAGTTAGACGGCATTTTGAAACTTCAATGCCAGCCGGCTGTGCCGGGTTACCAGCCGACGGGCGGAACGGATAGAGCCGCACCCGTTCCCATCTTCCCTCCTCCCCGCCACCAATCACGCTTATAACGGGAGAGCCTACCCCCACCACAAATTACTTAATTCCTACCAAAATCTACACCTGAACAGGTGTATACTCAGAGAGTTGCTGGCATTACTTACTTCTGGTGTATATGTCGGGGAAAAGTGTATTTACCGTGGTGGAGCGGCAAGGAGTAGGAACAATCCTGGTAATGGGAGAGAGGCTTAGATTCAATACCGGATATGCGCGCATTGAATGACGACTTCTGCATCGCATCCTTCTCATACTGTTTACACAGGGTTAGACGTAATCTATTGCATCAGCCTGTTAAGCTGTTGTTGTTTTCCTTCTTACAATATCCCAAAATTCTGTTATAGCTAGAGAGCTTCCTTGAAACATTCAGATCAGTTTGTTTATTCTAATCTTTTTCTATGAATCTCATGGAGTTTTGGAGGAAGCATCTGAAGAAATAGATCTAGAATATCTTATTACATCTAAGAACATAGTACGAGCGATGCTTAGTAGGGCCATATATGACGGCTTGATTAAAGACGATCTGGGCTAAAATACAGCTGATTCGATACATCTGAAGTGTGGCTGAGCAGAACCTACGTATTAGACCTACATTGTATGCTTTTATTCCCAATCATCACCTCAAATTCATAAGCGCCTGGTCTAGCTACTTCAAGAACTAGCAAGGCTAGGGAATACGATAAATAGGCCTCGAAAATGAAGCTGTCTATGTAGCAACCCACAGAATTCTCCACACCTTGAACAGCTACCTGTGCCAACTCAAGTTCGTAATGGAAAAAGATCTACATATGTCTTGTCAATTCTTGCGTTTGACTCGACTAGCGCTGTTTCAAACAGCTGCCTTGAATCCTGCAAAACGCGGGAAATCTATGGGAGGCATATACTGGTAAACCTTCCCTGGCTGGTGGGTGGTCTAGGCACAATGCTTCTTGACGTGGCAATTTTTGCCCAGTCTTTTGCTTTATGGCGAAGTTAAGCCTATTAGTGATGAAGTGTAGTGACAAGTTTTGAGGTGAACAAGCATTCTTGCGGAGCGTGGACTGATGCAGATCGCTTGTAATATCCATTCCGAGGTAGTGAGACGCATGGTGAGGCGAGACAACCTTGCAAATCAGACGTCTAGAATACCTCTACAAAGAATATCATGTCATCGTGGCAGCCTGTAGGTGGCGTTAAAGAGGGGGTGCAGCTTTAGCTCTATATGGCTATGCCTATATCCTGCTGTAAACACGTGTAACTCTGTGTGCCAGTGTAGTGTATGCAGTCGTGTCGGTTGAATGGCAGCGAGCTCCATGGCCGTGGCTGGGCTGACGCCGTTTATGCAACCTTTCACAGCATGAATCACTCTGCCACGTACACGGACTGGAAAGACTTGTTAATAAGTAAGACCGGCATGAATTCGCAGACAAGTCAAAGATCTTCGCTGTACGTTTGTCCAGTGTTGGACGAAGCGTCGGTAAGTGGATATCTTGGTCGACGTAGTGGTCTGCCGTCAAACACTGGCTTGTTTGGATTTGGGCCATGGTGATATGTAGGGGTGTTTGACGCGGATAACTGTTGGTCGAAGGAACAATTTAGTGTTTCGGGTTGCAAATTGATCACGAATTTGTGGATAATGGGCTACCAAACAGAATATATTTACTCTTGAGAAGTTGCAGGAGCTCAAACAAGGTCAGATCAGCAGATTTCCGGTACTGTATTCGTGCGCCACATGGATACACAACAATCTATCGAGTGATATTGTTGCTGGAAAGGATTTATCGATTCGCACCACATGGCGTCTTGGATAAGGATGAGTTCCACGTCAGCAGCCAATATGGGCCAGACAGTCTAGAAAACGCCAAGTTGGTGCATGGCATGGCCGCGGAGGCTTCAACAGCACCGTGTAATGGTAATTTGGTCGGGCATGAATTGACATGTCGTGCCAACGCCTGCTATCTTGACTTGATCTTGGCCGTTGATAATGAGCTCTGGCCAGGCCAAAAGAAGACGTCATATTTACTAAGTATGCGACCAAGGCTGGCTGCGCACACCACCATGCTCCATGGACACGTGACGTATGATTTCACTGTTTTTGATGCTCGAGGATCCGCAAGCTTGCCATGGGCACTAGAAGATGGTTGCATCGACCGAACAGACGTAGCGCCCGTTCATGCGCGGCCGGCGGCACCCGTCGGTGCAGAAGCCGAGAAGTGAGGGCGGGTTCCACAGTCGTCCCAAGAGTCGCGGTGCATGCACGACTAGATTAACAAGCACAAGCAGCATGCGTTGCGCCCTGGGTGCAGGAGCGTGTAGGGCGCGATATTGTGGGCCTTCCCGAGGATCCTGCAAAGGTTAACTCTGGCCGTCCGCACGTGCATCGTGGCGTCGTTTGGGTTAGCGCAATATCTGCAACCTGTACGACACGTCACAACAGCCACGCTTTGGAGCAACGGTGTCGGGCTTTGGATTGAACAACACGTCTGCCAGCGCAGCGTGGACGGAGGGCGAGGGTGTGCTCACCCCGCTGGGAGGCTTGTGCGGTGCCTTTCTCCAGCTGCCACTTTCGCTTCAACCGCAGCAAGCGAAGACCGAGCAAGCGCCGCCGTGAAGAGCTGGCTAGCGTTGACGGCAGCCGGGCTGGCTGGCTGGCAGGACACCAAACCTATGGCCATAGCACGGGAATTCAGGAACAGGACAGCCTGCAGTATTGGGATGTGACATGGGCTGCATCTCTACGCACGAACCTGGAGATCGCAGGGCTGAGCAGTTCACACCAGGAACACAGTGCTTGATATTGACGCACCGCTTCTGAACAAGCTGCCCATGCCACCTCATCCCGGTGGGTCTCGCTGGGCAGACAGGCTACGGCCCCAATACCACACACTCTCGCTTAATGCTGCCTTTTGCTTCGTCTGCCCTCGTTGCAGCTTCGACACGTGAAGCATGGTTTCTTCGAGATGACGCGCTTTCAGATGGCATGTCCACGGTACGGAAACGGCACGGCCCTTTACCCTTCTAACCGCAAGCGGGACGAGCGCCGACGAGGGTAGGGCCCAATTTGCGGACACCTCTGGCACTACGTCGGCATGGAGAAACTAGCCATGGCAGCATCTCTCTTTCGTCCTTCAGTGCCAGCTCATAGCCGAACCAGGCTGAACTCGGTAACACAGTAGAGACCAAAATTTATCCGTATCCCCTCATTGGCCTTGCCATCCCAGACCTGTGGTTTCGACCACACGCAACGTCCTGTCATGGTGTCCGTACCGGGTCCTGGCGGGTTTAGTTTCTGCTTGGTCGTGTTCTCTTTCTCGCTACCCCCGCAGTTCCTCGCTCGATTATGTTTCTGCCGGCCAATTATGGCGGGAAAAACCTGCCAACGCAGCATGCCATCACCCAAGTGCTTTGTTTCGAAGGCACATAGGGGGGGTTGCGGCGGCTGCAGGCTGCTTCCTTTTTGACCTGTCTATGTGGCAAAGGCGCCCTCTTGTTCCTACAGGATACCGAAAATGAGGCTCTCGAAGCACTGCTCGACTATAAACAGAGGCAGAACTAATGCCACGCAAGGTGTTCCTACCCAGTCCTCGCTCACACATACCTGATCTTCCCTGATCCCCACTCGCGAAGCCTTACCCCACCACAAACTTTGTTAAAAGCATCACGCCTTTGTCTCTTGTTTGCAGTTCCCCCCATCTCGCACAATGGCAACACAGGAGAGCTACGTGCAAAAGCTACAGCGTGCGCAGACCGATGCTCTCGCCCGTGTAACCTAGCTAAAAAAGACGTTGCAGACTACTGCGCTACCAACCAGATTGCCCAGCCCCAGTTCCAGGACTACTCTGACCCACGAGGTTTGTAGCCCATGTCTATCTCAAGAGACCTTGGCAATATCGCCCACTTACTACTGGTATTTGCTGACACACTGGTGAACGCAGGCATACGCACAGCCTGGTCAAGCAGTGTCTTTGTCCATGGCCGTGAATACCGAGCCGCGCTATGGCGAGACTACCGCTACCTCGAGCAATCCCGAGAAGAAGCCGCTGAAGTGGCCTGGAAGGCCCTTCAATCCGCCGCCGCAACCACCAACGCAAACCAGACACAATACAACCGTTCCTTTGGGGCGTCCCGATAATGGCTCGATCCCCCTTGCAACACCACATACAGAGATGCTCAGGGGCTATGAATTGCTGGGATATGTTTCGATACGTTGATGCTCTGGCCGATCTTGTTGTTTTCGTTGTTGCATACTAGGCCATTGCATCACTTGGGCTTACGACTTCTTCTTCTCCTCTCTTTGAAACTTTTTGACTGCAAGCTGTTTCCTTTTTTTCGTTCTTACCAGCTGGTTCTATACCCTTTATCGTTTGCACAATGCTCGTTCCATTCTCCAGCCAAGGGCCATCCATCCAGGCATCCCTATGTGCCATTGACGCTCGCTGTATCTTTCGACCGAGGCCTTTTTTCACTTTTTTGCTTGAGAGACTCTGGCGCAGCTTTCATAGGTCTTGAGATTTTTCTACTTTGTTTCTGTCATTTTCCGGTCCTTGTTTGGAATAGTCAATTGAAATATACTGCAAAATAGCCATTACACCTGCCTGTCAGTCTTTTATTCCTTTAAGCACATTCATGTCCAAGTACTCTCATTCATAAATTGACTTGTCAAAATAGGAAGTGACAGGGCTCATGTCAAATATGTCGTGCATGATTTATGCTTTCTATTTCCGAATCACCAAGTGTTTCAGCACGCTTGGTCTATTGTTCACAATAGATTAGTAATAAGGCAAGTCTACCGAAACAATTACACTTGTGTTGTTGTTGTGTATGATTCTACCATGGAGTGAGATTTGTTTTGCATAGGCATGCGGTCTATCAGGATGTTTTGTTTGCTCACTAGCCGGGCCGCTTCCTACGTGCTGCAATAGTGATGAGACATATAGCTCTGCCACTCTGCATGCACTGGCGATCCTTCTTCACTTCGCACCAACGATACCTGCACACGTCCAAAAGCAACGCGATACACACAACCACCACGTGTAGCTTAGCCAACTCATCCAACACAAAAACCCACCATGCTCCCACGGTGGATCATCAACACGACGACTGCAGATGCTAACCCCTATTAGCACTTCTCCGACCCAAAACAATGTCCACAACAATCCACTGTGCAAATCCATTGTCCATCTTCATTTCAGTAGTTTCTTTTTCTTAGTGGCCGTTGAATCTATCTCGGCAAGACAAAAGCCAGAAAAAAAAAGTCGCCTTTCTGCTTTTTCGTGAGATAAGAATATCCAGGCTAGGTTCACACGTACCCAGCGAGACGAAAAAGAAAATAAAAACGGCAACGCCATCGCCTAGATATGGAATGAAGATCTTCCTTCGATACAACGCTACGCTGTTACCCCTGCGATAGTACCATTTGCGGGAAGTAGAAGCAAAAGGAATTATTAGTAAATATAACTCGCAACAACCCACATACTGCACAAATGCACAATGTACCGTCTTTTATCACCATGTTCCCCCTCTTCCCATCCACTCAGTCCAATATACACCTCCCTTTGACCACATCCTCGATGATCTGGTTTACCTAAGCAAAGCTAGCGCCGGCGTGGCAAAAATGAGGGGGATGCCGATATTTCGAAACACGCATCCCCCAAGCGCCCATATGCGACACCCGTTTTGTCAGAGGATAGCTATGCCGCAGCAAATCACATTGTCGAAGGCCACCAAAAAAAAAGAATATGATATTCATCGCCAACACTAGCTGTGTACTAGAGGCGTATACATACAAGTCTACAGTAGTTGAACAGAATTTAAATGAACTTTTGTAACCTAGATAAAGATTTCCATCACATTGCTTTTCTGTTGCATTTCATCCTACTGTCTACCCAGACATGACCGCATCTCTTCTTCAATGCGCCTTCCATCCTTCTTTCCCTTTTTGAAATATCCCCCCCCCCCTTCTCAATCCCAAAAATAAACCCCCTTACATAGTCGATCCCAAAACGTATAATGTTTCCTTGACTTGACAAAACATACACTGTCTTACCTCTTCCCTTGCCATGCCTCGACTTTGCCTCTTTGCCTCGCGGCACCGCCCATCTAATTCGCACAAATGCCTTCCTACCAGAAACTGGCGCGAAACAGGGCCGGCAGTAGTCGGGGGAATTTCCTGGATAGTCAAGGCCTGGGGCAGTTGGTGTGTTGGAGGGAGGAGGTGGGTATCGTGGTGCTGGGTTTGTGTGGGCTGGGGAGGCTTAGGCATTGGCGGTACTGAGAGACGGACTCCTTGCGGAAGGAGGTGGCGAAGTATATGTCTTTTAGTGGGGAAAAGTGAGAGGATGAAGGAGGGAGGGAAGGAAGGGAGTATAAAAGGGGAAGATGGAAGGGAAGGGACGACTAAGGCATCATTTCACGAGCATTCTACGAGTACAACTCTATTGTAATACACTATTTACTACTTCCAGGCGAAGAAGAAGAGGAAGAAGAAGCACAACTTCCATTCACCCCAATCTTGAACATTCGAATCATAATATCAAAAAAAAATGGCTCCCATCTTCAAACTCCTCACTCTCCTCTCCCGTATGTCACTCCCCCCCTTCTACTCATCACACTTCACCCCCGCCCAACTAACACCCTCAACCTAAAAAGTCACCCTCTACACCTCAGCCCAAGGCACCCAATTCATAACGGGGGCCTGCACCTCGGACGCCGCCTGCGCATCCGGCTGCTGCGGCTTCACATCCGGCAAATGCGCCGCGCCCTTTGTGGCCAACGAGCGCGGCGAAGGCTGTGGCTTCGGCAACGCACAACCAAATAACAATGCTTTGAACGGCGGCAACAAAGCCGTAGGCGACACTCAACCAGAGCCGCAACCGCAAGCACCGACATCCGGACAAACCATGGTAGGCGAAGAAGCAGCACCAGCACCAGCACCAGCACCAGCAGCGCCTCAAGCCAAGGGCACACAATTCATCACCGGCGCCTGCACTTCCGACGCGGATTGCGCATCCGCATGCTGCGGGTTCAAGAGCGGCAAGTGTGCGGGACCGGTGGTGGCGCAGGAGCGAGACGGCGGGTGTGGATTTGGAGATGCGCGGCCGAATGATGATGCGGCTAGGGCATTGCAAGGGAGGAGCTTGGGACGGAGGGGTCCTGGGTTCATGTAAGCATCAAAGTATACATCTAGACGTAAATGTAAGAATGAATAAACTACGAGGTCTTTTGATGATATTGATGATGATGAGGGTGCTGTGTGAAGAATAGTTAGTAGTAGTAGTAGTAGTAGTAGTAGTAGTAGTAGTAGTAGTAGTAGTATGTGGATAGAGAGAAGAGACGGAGAAGGACGAGAGGGGTTATTGCTTGTAAGACAGTCAAGTGACAGGTTCATGCATTGTAATATACCTACCCTATCCTACCTTACCACATGTATGATTGTTTTGTGGCGGGCTCGACTAAGCGGGGGCGTATGTAATCACACCCCCCCCCTCTTCTGCATAAAAACACATGATAGGTTCGTGTGCGTCTTCGATGACAGGCGGGTCGGCTCGGGGGGTTATGCATATTCGGAATAATATCGCACCGAGAAAACGAAACGACAAACGAAAAAGCATAAAAGAGTTTCCAACGTCAGGTAATTCGAAAGCCTCTCTTGACAATAAGAGGAGGCGATTGCTCAATCGGCTCATTCGTATTGCATATAACCGGCAACAGGTCTTTTGCCAGACTAAACATGTTTCTAAACGCCCCCAAATATTGTACTCCGACGCTTCAAATGCAAGGTACAGAATGCCGACCAATTCAACGAAAGAACACCAATGTGTACGCCCCCAAATATAGAGAAAAAAAAACTCCACTCCAAGAGAAAAGCCGAATCCGCCGAAAAAAGGCAGGCTCAAAGCTGGGGAAAAAAAGCGCAGACATGACCAGGTGATGTGCACTCTACCAGAAGAAACGATATGATAGATGCAAAGGATATTCCAGAAGAAAAAAGAGGTTTTTGTGAAGAAGAAGAAGAAGAAGCATGACAAAGTCGTGAGTCTGAGCGAAGAGACGTGAAAGCAGCTCTGACCGAGAGAGTTAGCAGTTGCACAGGTGCAGTCGACACCGAAGTCGACGCACCATGACATATCTGGTGGCTAATGTATAGCTCGTGAAGCTCAGTTGTGTGGTATCTGCTTGCTCTGGCCGTTGCCAGCCCATACACCACCGCCAACAGCTCGCGAGATACCGACGCCCAGGCCGACGGCAGCGGCAATAACGAGGAGAGCAATGACAATCTTGGCCCACAGCCGTTGCTTGTTGGTCAGATTGCGGAAAAAGGCGCAGCCGCGCTTGCGCTGGTACGACTTGCGCTTCTCGAGCACCGCCTGTCGTGTGGGCCACATGGTGCACTCCTTGACGCGACCATCGACGGACGACTTGGACTGTTGTTGTGTCGAGGCTACCGACAGGGGCACGGCGCCTTCGAGATCGTGATCGGTGACACCAAGGTGTGCCTTTGAGGGGGGAATGCTGTCATTGATGGAGGGGCGCGTCTCGCGCAGGGCCTCTGGGTGCTTGTAAAAGGCCGAGTAGGGGTTGGAGGCGTCGGCAGTCCACTCCTTCTTGGCCGGGTCGGCGTCGGCAGCAGCAGTGGCGGTAGTCGTTGTGGAATCTTGCGAATGCGGTGAGCGCAGCAGCTGCTGTGCGGCGGGCATGGCGGCGGGGCTGGAGGAGCGCTCGATACTGGCGCCAAAGGTGACGGGCTCGTTCTTCTCGTTGGCAGCCATTGCGGCGTCAGGGGGTGAGTGGAGTAGCACAAGGGTGGAGGCGACAAGCAATGGACAGCGGCGGTACGACTATTTGTGGCGGAGAGAGAGAGAGAGAAAGAGGGAGAGAGGGAGGGGAAGCTTCACAGCAGGCGCAGCATGGACCGGACACGGTGACGAGGCGGCGTCGTGTGTTAGTGGACCAGGGAAGGGGGTAAGGACAGGCGAGTAGGCAAGTAGAGCGGATGGGAGACGGGCGGCGGCGGACAGTGAGGGAGCGGCGATGTAGTTGTGGAAGCAGCAAGTCCGTCTGGGGTACTCGAAGCTGCAAAGAATGGGCTGTGGCGCGGTTGGATGGATGTGAGGGCTGGATGGCAGTGTAGAGAGCGAGACCAGTGTGCAAGGAGCGTCACGGGCGGGCGGCAGTGCGCGAGAAGATATGAAGGAGCAATGTCCTCCCCCCCCCGTGGCTGAACAAGGCCCGTGTGAACGAGGGATTCCAGGCTTGGGGGGCAATCATACGGGCCCGCTAGGCCGTTCGGAGCCATGTCCCTGCCATCAAGGCACGTCTGAGTCGATGGATTGACGAGGCAAAGCAAACTGCAGGTGGGCGTTTGGTTTGCCCGTCCCTGATCTTTGCCCGCACTTCTCCTCGCCCTCGCTCAACCACGGCGCCGCCTCCCAATACTTAGTTTGGCCCAGCAAAGCAACACGCCCGCGCCCACGCAGCGCCAAAGTCCAAGTCCAAGTCGTCGCCGTCGCCGTCGCCCCCTCCGCGCGACTAGGCCCTGTTATCGCGTGAGCGTGTGCCGTGTGGTTTGGGGGAGCAATGAGCGCAAAGGGCCTGGTCGCCGCTGTACGGCCGCAAACGTCGTCCTGGAGCAGCGAGGGTGCGGCGCAGCTGGGGTTTGGCTCTGGCTTGGCGTTGAGCGCAACCGCAAGCGAGGCCCGAGCGGGTAGCGCGACCGGCCAATCTCTGCGCGGCTTGATGCACGCGGAGCGGCTGGCCGAGAGGCTTGAGCGCTTTGCTTGTCTGCCTCTGCCTCTGCCTCTTTCTCATGCACCCGCACCAGCGTTGGACAAGCTCCCAGCTATTGAATCGTCCATAGCACCACATGGCGTCTTGCTGGCGGGGCGCGCCATCTGCCCACCACCCACCGGCCAGACCACTCGAGCGGCACGGCGGCGAGGGCACACAAACAAGACGCAAAAAGAAGCTTTTGGCCTGCCCAAAGCAGTGGGAGAATCATCCAAGACGTGCATGGGTGTCGATAGCCGCTTGCATACATACGTAAGTAGAGACAAATAATACGTGCCTTAGTTGGGTCTATACATATGCACCTGGGTACATGGTAAGAGATACGTAAGTGTGTACCGAGTATACTACTACTACTACTACTACTACTACTACTACTACTACTACTACTACTACTTACTACTGCTCAGGTGGCGGCCGGGCGGGCGAGATTAGATAACGCTGGAAATGCAAGTGCATGGAAACCATGGCGTGGTGCCAGATTGAGGGTTCCGCCAGGCCTGTGCACCAGCCGCCAATCCAGACTACCAGCCCGCTAATGCAAACTGCTGTCTCTCTTTGCCCTCTCTCGCCCTCCATCTCTCAGTCGCGTTTCCTGCTCCGCACCCAGAGTAGCCTGGAACCATGATGCTATCACCTCGTCCCTACCACTAACACCCAAACCGCTCTCCCCGTGTCGCACTCCTCTGGCCAGCCCCGCCTGGGCCTGTTCCATCTTCCATTATGCTGGCTGGCCGTGACACTCGCACTCGCCCATCCGTCTCCACCACCCCAGTTGTCTTTGTCTCATGATCACGGTATTTGCATTGCATAGACCTAGAAACCTCTGTCTGTGTCGTGCCTCCCGCTCCTGCCCTCTCACTCTGCCTTTTTGTTCTCCGCCCTTAAACCAAAACAACAGGCCGTTTTGTCATTGCATGCTGCCCAAGCCCCCGCCCCAAAAAAAAGCCGCTCCAAACGCCAACGCCCATGCCTATCCATCACTGTGCGTGTGCAGCCTTGCTAGTAATCCCAGCTGCATCCTTAGTCTACCCTTTTGGGCCGCTTTCCCGCCCCCGTCCAATCACGCGGCCTATGTCCGCTACCTCTATTTTTTCCTTTCCTTGGTTCATATCTATTATCGTGCGCCTGCACCTGCGATTTCCTCTCTCTTGATACCGGATCGCTCACACATGCCTTTGAAAATACCGCCCTGGTCGTACAAGCGCAGTGGCGAATCTAGCTCCGCAATCTGCCCTGCGTCCATGACGCAAATGCGGTCGTAATTGATGACTAGGCCATCACGTCAGTCTCAGCTCCCGTTATCCTAGCACTCTACCCTATGCCTGCACCGGCCAAACTTACTCGTCTTCAACCTGTGAGCAATGCACAACAGTGTCTTGCCCTTGAACCCCTCCACAATCTGCACACGCACACACAACCGTTAGCCTAGTCTCCCAACGTTACCAACAATGACGTTTGCTTCTTGCTTACCGTTTGTTGAATCTTTGCGTCAGTCTCAAAATCCACCGAACTAGTCGCTTCGTCGCACACAATGATTTGCGAGTTACGAACCAGCGCACGCGCTAGAGCCATGAGCTGCCGCTGCCCCAGCGAAAAGTTGAGTCCTTCCTCCTCGACCACGCTGTCGAGATGAATTCGGCCAGAGTGGTCATCCATTGCCTGCTCCGTGGACACGAGATCAGCCTGTCGCAGCGCAGACCAGAGCTCCAGGTCAGAATGCTCGTGGAAAGGATCCAGATTCGATCGGATCGTTCCCTTGAATAGCGTTGGGTCCTGGGGGATAATCGCCAACTTGGACCGCAGGTCGTGAAGACCAATCTTGGCAATGTCCACGCCATCAACAATAATCGATCCCCCAGACAACTCCTGCAACCGGAAAAGTGCTGACATGATGGACGACTTGCCCGCTCCCGTGCGTCCTACGACTCCAATCCGCTCGCCTGCGCGTACGTGCATGCTCAGCCCCTTGAGCACCAAGGGCAGTCCATCGCGATACCGCATCTCGACCTTGTCAAACACAATCTCGCCGTGCTCCGGCCACGTCGGTCGCACCTGGCCCATATGCAGCGGTGCTTCTTCTTCCAATTGGCTTCCGTAGTGATGGATACGCTCAGTCGAGTTCATGTTGTTCTCTACCTCTGCAAGCTGACGAACAGTAAACTGAATCATCTGCACAATGGTAAGAATGTACGAAAGCACCAAGCCAGCAATACTGGGATCAACAGAAAAACGGCTAGTCACAACCAAGATACCCGTCGTGAAGACTAGTGCAATACCAACAATGTCCAGACGCACACTCAGCCACCGCTGATTAGCAAACGTGAGATAGTATGCGCTGTTCATATCGTCAACCGCATCCCGGACCGACTTGGAAAACTGGTCTTGAAGCCCATAGGCACGAATCGTCGGCGTTCCCATTACAGCCTCGCCAAACCGCGAGAAAACAGTACTGCGCAGAACAGCTTCATGCCGCTTGACCTCGCGAGCCGAAGACCGGTAGAACGCCGCCGAAAACATGAACAGTAAGAACAGCGGTCCCAGCGCAATCGCATAGTAATAGTAGTACGAGATAATGAGAATAAAAACACTGCAACGTCCCCCGTTAGCTCAAAAAAAAACATCCACTCAAAGGTACACCCAGAAACTTACGAGATAATCATAGCCAGCGTCAAAAAATACATACGAATCGAATCCGTGATCGTATTGTCCATAACATCGATATCCTTGCTGAACCGATTCGTAATGCGCCCCAAAGGCGTCGTGTCGAAAAACGACATGGGCGCCCGCAACACGCGCGTAATAGCCCGATGCAACATGACCTTGCCCGCTCGCGTCCCGAAAATCGACACTGCAAACGAGAAGAAGAACATGAAGAGGGCTTGGCTGAAGCCAAAGGCCGCGTAGGCGCCAATGTAGGCACCCTGCGAGTATCCGAATTTGTCAGACGTCCAGTACGAGAGCCAGAGCGAAGTTACAATGTTTGCGCCTTGAGAGAGGACGAGCAGGATGAAGATGAGGGGGCCGACCCAGGTGCCGCCGCCGGCTTTGATGTATTCGATCCACACTTGCCAGCTGACGCTCTTGGTCGCGCGTTCTTCCTGCTGCATGAGCGCCGCTTGCTTCTTTGACTTTTTCTGTTTCTTGACGCTCTTGACTTCGGGTGCTACCTCGCCATCCTCTGCTTCCTCTTCCTCTTCCTCTTTTTCTTCTTCCTTTGCAGTCGTGCTCATGACTTGGATAAAGTCGGCGTTTTGTGCCATGAGATTGTCGAAGGTGTCTACCGCTTTGACTTGGCCTTGATCAACCCAGATGATGCGATCGCAGCGACTTAGTACGTGTAGCTGGTGTGTAGCTAGGATTCGGCACTTGTCTTTGAGCAGTCCGCAAATAGCATTGTCCATGATGTGCCGGCCCACGTGGGCATCAACGGCACTCAACGGGTCGTCCATGAGAATAATATCCGCATTAAAGTAAATCGCACGGGCGATATTCATACGCTGCTTTTGACCACCCGAAACAGTAATACCACGCTCGCCAATCTCCGTTGCATCATTGTGAGGCAGCATGTCAAGATCCGGGCGAAGCGCACAAGCATCCACCACCTGGTCATACCATTTGCGGTTGAATTCCTTGCCAAAGATGATATTCTCCCGTACCGTTGCGTTCTGGATCCAGGCGTATTGCGGGCAGAAGGCGCGTGAGGCTCCGAAAATGACTTCACCGTTTGTCTTGCGCATGTCCCCTGCGAGGGCTGCGAGTAATGAACTCTTACCTGAACCGACACCACCAATAATGGCGACCAACTCGTTTCGTCCAAACGTAAGATTGAGCCCTTTGATTTCAAACGGCTTCTCTTCCTCTTCCACAGCCGCTGCATCCGAAGGTGTCGTGGCTCCACTCGCTCGCATCGCCTCTGCAGCTGCCTTCTTCTCCTTTTTCGTCTCGCCCTTCTTACCCGGTGCTCCACCTTTTCCTGGTCCGTCTTCAGCTTCTTGAGTCGGGTGGCGCTCCCAGGTGAAATCCGCATCCCTAAGTACCACGGCATCCTTGGCATCGTAGTCCCAGCGTCCGCTCTCTTCCGCCTCTTCTGCAAGAAGGAATTCCTGGATACGCTTCACAGAGGCATTCGCATCAATGACCTGACCAATAACCAGCGGAAGGAAGTTGAGAGGGATACGCATCGAGTTGAAGAGAGCTAGCGAAGAGAAGATTGGCGCGGGATCGAGATTGCTGTTGAACTGAGAATACGTGATAAAGGAGATCATCGATGCGAAGACAGGCATGGACATTCCCACGGCAAGAACGGCATTTCGAATGGTAAGCAGGATTTGAATACCGTGAATTTCCTTCTTTCGAATGGCCTGGATGCGCTCTAGGAAGCTCGTTTCCCAGCCAAAGTACTTGACGAACCGCACACCTTGGAGAATCTCCTGCGTCAAGCTCACACGCTGATCGGTAATCTTGTTGATGACAACTCTTCGGCGGAACAGAGTCTTGACTGCACGACCAAGCAGGGGCATGGCAATGAGGATGAGACCGAGACCGGGTAGCGCACTGTACGTGAGGTTGACGAGAAGCAAAGCCGTTGTAATGAGAATGCCGATAGGAGCAGTCCAGATCATGTGGAAGAAACCACTGGCCTGGTCAATACGGTACGTATCGGTAGACATGAGATTGACAATTCGCCCATTGCCCCAGCCCTCACCGTCACCCGCCACACCTACCTGCGTCTTTGGGCCCTGTTTCTTCTCCTTCTTCTTGAGTATCTTCTTGTACCATTTCAGCTCGGCTTCACTTCCCGGTTTCAGATCAGGCGGCGGTGCCTCGAGAATAGCCTGGCCACCAGCCTTTGCTCTGCCTGATAGCTTCATGGCCTTGTTGAAAATGAGGGCAATCAAAACACCTCTGGCTTCTCCACCAATCATCATACCGCGGTACATGAAATGGTTAGTAGCTAAACTCTGCAGAAACTGCATCACGGTGATTGCAACGACCAGGCCAATACCTTCGCCGATAGGTGGTCCAGGGACACCCCTTCGCTGTGCAATGTATGCCTTGACGGCAAAGCTGATGAGATAGCGCAGTACAAAGGGAGCAATTGCTTGTATGACGGATGCCGAGAGCTGGCACAGACCGCCAATAATAAACTCCCACTTGAACGTGTCGAACATAGCACCAAGCAGAGGTTTCTCTCCGCCTTGTTCCCGCCGCCTATTAAACGCCGCTTCCAACTTGGCTGCCAGTAAATCTGCGCTTCTGTCTGGGTTGACTTCCCAAATATCATTCTTTTCCAGCGGCCGCTTGTAGCCCACCTGCATAATCGGCTGCATCCATTGCCATGTGAGTTTGCTGAACAATCCAGCAGTGTATTCTGGGCTTACGGTACGCTCTTTCGGTACAGGCGGCGGGTTGTTCTTGAGCACGTTTAGGCGTTTGTAAAAGGGCTTCTTCATTTGTGTTGATTTTGCGGCGTTGGATTCTGTGGTACTGGCTTCCGAGTAAGCACTGGTACTCGATTGTAACCTGGAAAGGCTGCCTCTTGGTCCATGACCGTCACCATTACTCTCAATTGCTTTTTCGCTAGGCTCTGTCCGTATCGGCTCATACTCTGTGGGGTTTTCTGCTGCCGCTTGAGGATCTGCCAGGCCTAAAACCTTTTCTTTTTCGGTCTCGTCTAGAGACGACGATGATTGGGATTTGGCCATATCGGCGCGAATGCCGGCCCAATCTCGGATTCCGTTGCGGCGACGGGAGGCAGATCGCGTTGTGGGGCCTAGTAAGATGGATGATTTGCGTAGGAATCGGTCAAATGTATGATTGGCGTGTGCCAGGGGATGTATGAAAGGTTGGTTGAGAGTTGGAGAGGAAAAGGCGACGACCACGAGGAGTCGCGAGGCGGCATGATTGCAAGCGCAAGGTCACGCCTAGTCTATAAAGGGCCCTGGCATAGTAGTCATGAAATCAGAGCCCGCGCTCCACAACTAGCGTATGGCCTTAAACGGAGTTAGCAGTCGCCAATGAACGGCGAGGCCCGCTGCTGCATGATCTGGCGGTTGCTAAGCATCAGAGAATATACGACGCCTGCTCGGCCTCTGAACTTGTCCGACGAACCGAAGTGCTGCGTATTAGCACTCGCAATATGTCCTTACGTCCGCGGAGAGCTGGCTCTTTCGACAGTGTGGCACGACAGAGTGAACGCCTTGTCTATGCGTACCAGTCTTGTCTTCTTCCCTCGCGTGTCCTCTGGGCGGTGTCCTTTGGCCATGATACTGAAGTTTCTTTTCGCGTATTTTGTTTTCCGCGAAGCCAGAATCGTCCGGTAACTAGGATGCGACGCCACCGCCTCGAGTGGAGCCGTCGCAGTATGCCTACCAAGGCTCCAACGCCGAGATGCCGATATCTTAATTGACCATGATGCCCCGTCATTTACTGAAGCCGCCTGTAAGTGGTTCACATCCCCTACGTACCTACTAGATTCATACATGTGTATGCACAATACGAAAGTACATGTCACCCCCCGCAGTGTGGATAGTTCCGGATATCCTTGCACATTTGTAGTACTTGTCGCAGACATGCCGCTGCCCCGCAAAGACCCCTACAATCCATCTGCATCTGGAAGTATCGTCCCGCCCACAGCCCTAACGAGCAGCCGTCGCTCAGCCATGGCGCCTCGTGTGTGGCATGGTCATAAGGCGCTAATCGCCAGTGGTGATGTTGGATTTTCTAGAAAACGGTTCACCATCGACGTGGACGGAGTTTGCCCAAGTCCGGTGTCTGTATGTCGTTCAAAAAAAGATGTACGGAAACTTTGAACGAACCGACCGAGTGTTTCAGGAGCCAATGATAGAGACCCATGCAAAGTCTATGTAAGCCGCATGCAAACCCACCTAGGCACCGGCATGGCCATAGCCATGCTTGACCGCTGCCTGCTGCGCCGTATGACGTGGGACAACACGACTGACTCCTCTATTTCCGGTCAAGCGAAGGCTATCACGATTGCAATTTGGCCCGTTCTTCTCAACATCAGTAAAGCACAGAGCTCGGTTTAAGAATAAAGCCCAAACGGGTGATGACCCGCAAGCTAGGTGTATTCTATTAATGCCCAATATCGTCTAGTAGCCGTTTCAGTCCCAACGTCTATGTCACTCGGTTCAAAACACCCGAACATACAACGTATGCGCTCGCGTACAACAAACTGTAACAACTACACTCGCACAAACTTCTACCAAGGGTATCCTAAACTTTGGTGCCGCACTTCTAACTAGTTCACTCACCTGTAATCGCTCGTATCCGGCTCAACCAGATATCTAAGAACCTATTCCTCCGTTTTGCCCTTCAGTGTAGACAGCTCCTCCATGGCCTCCTTGATGATTGACAGGGCCGACTCAATCTCTTGTTCAGTGATGACCAGCGGTGGCGCAAGGCGGATAATGTTCTGGTGTGTAGGTTTCGCCTGTCCGTCAGTGTCAGTACTGTCAACCTCTTTTACGTGCATAATCTTGAGGGCTCTTCCTACCAATAGTCCCTTCTCTTTGAAGAGCATGCAGAGATCCCAAGCGCTGTGTCCGTTCGTCCTACTCTCATCGATGACGATGGCGTTCAATAAGCCCTTGCCACGAATCGTCTTGATCATCGGGTTGTTGATGTCTTGAAGTCCTTGACGGAACTTGTTACCAAGCGTTTCTGCGCGCTCAATCATGTTTTCTTCTTCGATGAGCTCAAGCGCCCGGATCGCGACAGCGGAGCCGAGAGGATTACCGCCATATGTTGAACCGTGTGTACCAGGCTCAATGGTAAGCATAACTTCCTTGGAACCTAGAACACACGAGACAGGGTACATGCCACCGGAGATAGCCTTGCCGAGAAGGACCAAGTCGGGCTTGATACCACTCCACTCATGGCAGAGCATCTTGCCTGTTCGCGCGATGCCTGTCTGGATTTCATCGCAGATGAGGAGCACATTGTGCTTGTCGCAAAGCGCTCTCACTTCGCGCAGATAGCTATCATCTGGGACCACGATACCGGCCTCGCCCTGGATGGGTTCGACGAGGAAAGCAGCAGTGTTCTTTCCATGCTTTTCTAACGTCTCACGAACATCGTCGACATTGTTGTAGCGAATCGGCTTGCCTGTGACAGGGCAGACACTTCCGATTCCAGGAAGATATGGTCCATAGTTCTCACGAGACTCGGGGTCTGTGGACATGGTAATAGCGGCAAACTGACCTCTCGTTAGCTGGAGCGCGTGTGTAAGGACCCAACGATACATACTGTCCGACCGTGGAAATTTTCCTGCACAGAGAAGACCAACGCTTCGTTCTGCGGAATGCCCTTGACCTTGTATCCCCACTTGCGAGCAATCTTGACGGCTGTCTCGACGGCTTCGGCACCTGTGTTCATGGGCAGGATCATGTCAAAGCCAAACAGTTTCGTCGCATACTCAGCAAAGCGGGGGAAGACGTCATTGTAGAATGCACGGCTGCTGAGTGTCAAGCGCGATGCCTGCTCAGTCAAGGCCTTGACGAGTTCCGGGTGGCAGTGACCTTGGTTGACGGCGCTGTATGCAGAGAGGAAGTCGAGATAATGTTTGCCCTCAGGATCCCAGACGCTGCAGCCACTCGCTCTGGCAAACACTGGACTTGGTCAGCTCAGGATACATCGCCTGGGGCTTACGAATACATACCGATAGGCAGAGGGTGGTAGTTGTGAGCTGCAAAGTCGGACTCGGACTTGATGGCCGCCTGTGACGACGCAGAGTGGTACCTGGCGGGGTCTGGTGTGCCGGTGGGGTGAAAAGAGCGGGCAGTTGGCTTCAAGATGGTGACATTATTGTGTGCACTGGTCGTGTCGTTCTGGACTGCGCCTGGAGCCATGGTGAAGGGTGTATGTGTGAGCGTGGGGTAGTGGGGAAGTATGTCCTGGGACGAGTTGAGGGAGCAACAAATAGGTTTGTGGGCAAAGGAAAAGGGCGGACCAGACAGATTTCTTATTTCCTCGGTGGTTTGACTGCTGTGCCGTGAATCGCCTCCAACTGTACTTAGGAGATGGCCTCCGTAAGAACAACTGGTGCTATCGCCTCAAGATGCCTTTAGAGGAACGCGACCAACGAGCGCCTCGGTTGCGGGCGGGTCACCGCTATAGCGCCGCCGCCATTGGCTCGTGACCACGGGAGGCACGCTGGGCTGAACATGGCTAAAACTATGCTGAGGGGAAGTCTGGAGAAAAGCGCGCAGACACAGTTGCAGAGGGATTGAATGGAGACTTTGGCCATGGATATCAAGTCGGCGCGTCTGTCCGCTAAAAGTTACCTGTTCGTAGTGGTGTCGTGACGCATGCGCCATTTTCTCCGGCTGCTCGTGTAACCACAGCCTCCCAAGCTCCGCCTGGACGGTGGCGCTGTCGGTTCGGATAGCCTTTTTTCTGGGCATCACTGTCGCTGCCAGGGGCCGTTGACAATTCCTCCACATGTGCCTGTGATTACTTCTCGGCTGTCTGATACTTTGACATTGACGTCGGAACGTCAATCTCCGGCCGCACTGCGAGCGAATTCCAGAGCGTACTACTGTCACATGACTTTTTACAGAGCGGCTCGCCAACTATGCTCTTCATATACTCTCTATTACTATCTACATAGCCCTCACAAGTTATTACGCCTTCCAAAAGCAGCCGCCATGTCCACAAAACCCCTCTTCAATAAGGACCAGCCCATACATTGGATCCTCGACTGGGACGGCACCGTCACCAAGAAAGACACTCTGGATGCCCTCGTCAGTATATCGGCAGCAGAAAAACCCGAATTCCCCACCATGGACCACTGGAAATCCGTCTCACAGGCATACATGGACGACTACACCGCCACGCTGAAACAGCTCATCCCAACCGGCGCTCTCCCAACAACAATAGTCGAGGAAAAACAGCTCCTAGCCAAACTGAAAGAAGTAGAGCAGCGCAGTCTTGACCGCGTACATTCATCTGCTATATTCACTAACCTTACCCATCAAGGCATCGAATTAGGAGCCAGTCGGGTCCTAGAATTAGGCCAGATGCAACTTCGCACTGGTTTCCCTTCATTCTTCAAGCACATCCAGTCACGTGAGGGCGACGCTTTTGCCATGCTGAGTGTGAACTGGTCTCGCCACTTCATTCATTCCTGCCTTGCCGCATCCAAGATCAGCGTAGCATCGCACGCTATCCTGTCCAACGAGTTCGACGGTATATCCGCCGGAGTGCCCTCGTCTGGTCGCATCGTCGCTGCAGCTTCGGGAGAATTGGACCCCATTGTATCCAGTGGTGACAAACTGCGAAATTTTGAACAGATGCAGGAGTTAAACGGGCCCAAGGTGTACATTGGTGATAGTTGGACGGATATCGAGTGTCTGCTAGCTGCAGACCTTGGTATCTGCATCCGCGATGATCCCATGGGTAGCTCGCAGAAGACGCTTGCTGATGCGCTCACGAGACTAGGAGTACCATGTCCAAAGTTGAGAGACCGGAGACAGTATAAAGATCATGGTATCGTATGGGCTAGGGACTTTACAGAAATACTGGAATGGATGGAGAATGACTTCTAGTAATTATTCATTGTAACTGAACCGAAATCAAACTATATTAATGCTACATTTCCTAACCCAGAAGATAATACCAAACGCACAACGCTATGCTGATGAAATGATTTAAACCTCTGTCTCAATCTCGTCTCCGTTTCTTTCGTGATGGCGGAAGATGTGTCCCACCTTCCTCTTTCCCCTATCGCCCACGTGCTTCATCCAGGCCAGCGTCCGTGGCCCCTTCCATTGCATGATTCCTCTGTTCTTGCGATGTAGCGTCTTGTGAGATGCTTTATACTCCTTCAACTGTGTGATTGGGCCTCTGTCGCGGTCTTTACTCATCTTTGAATCGGTTTTTCTGTGCTTTCGAAGAAAATCGGGTACCATGTTAGCACTGTCGTCCTTGGCGTCTCTCTCATGTTCGTCGTATTCATCGTTAGATGAGTCGGAGCTATCGGAGCTATCAGAGCTGTCTTCTTCAGTGTCCTTATTGTCGTTGATACCAGGTTTCTCCGAGCCGTCCGATTCCTCCCAGTTGGTCCATTCTTGGTCATTGCAAGTGTCCAGCACTTCCATGATGTTGGTGAGATACTTGTCGCCCTTTGCTACCTTCTCATGATATCCAGATAGACCAGACCACATTGTCAGGGTGACCTCAATCTCGCCTACCTTTTCGCCATACGAATCGAGTACGTTGCCTTCTGCGCGTTCCAAATCGCCTTTCCAGATAGTAAGACGTTTCGTTTGCTCCTCGTTATCTGGAATGTCCTTGAGCCAGAAGATGCAAAACGCATGTGTGCGATCTCTTAACGTGGCATCCTGTCTGAACTCGAAAATCAATGGTGCACAGTAGCGTGCGCGCACAGGCAAGCGGATCGGTCGGCTTTTCCTTGTAGTCCAAATAGGCTGGCCATCTTCTGAGCGGACATTACCTTTATGCCCACGTGAGTGCAACTTTCCATGGTCCAGTGGAGTGCGAACCTTGAGCCTGAGAGGCCCTATGTCGCTCGGAACATCGACACCCTTGATATAGGGTTTGATATCCACAGTTCCATAATCCCAGCCACGCAGTTCCCGGGGAAGTTGGACTTGCACACTTCGGAAAACCATGGAGACGCGCATGCGTCCATAGCCATTTCCCCCAGCAAGTGGGAAGATGGAGTTAATCTGGCTGCGCTCTTTGAACACTCTCTCCAATGGAAGATACACAATGCCTAGTAAAGCATCATCTTCATGGACGCGAGCATCGCGGACAGCAATATGCACTTCAGTGTTACGCACATCTCGGATGAAACGTTCACATCCAGCGTTGAAAAAGGGCTTCGAGTTCTTTGGCTTGGTCCGGGTTTTGAAGACTTTCTTGTGGTTGAGGATGATATTGCAATATGCCGAAGGGAGATCGTCACCTTCTTCTTCCTCGTCAGTAGCCTCCGCCGAAACTTTCTGCTTGCTCAGAGTTTCCAGCTCCAATCCGGTAATCTGGTGGATCTGGATGCTAAGAATACCGGATGGATAGTCTTCAGAAGGTGGAGAAGCAATGATGAGTTCATCTTGGCGGTTTTTGAAATCTTCAGCCTTCTGCTGTTCCACCTCATTTCGGTGATCCTTGCTTGCCTCCCGAAGCTTGCCCTCCGCTTCCTTATATACCTTGTCTTTCAACTGTTGTATAGATTTTACGTCCGGGTCCTCCTCTTGCATAGTTAGCTGGTCGTCAGTAATCCTAGTCTTCGAAAAGTAGCCGACACTCCAGCTCAGTTTTCCAGGCATACCTTGCCCAGCCTTTAGAGCATGGAAGCCGTCTTCGCGATCGTGCATTCTGCCGTTGGTCTCATTACTCTTCATTAGGTCTTTGAGATTTAGCTCAATACGTCCGAGATCGTCGTCGGCGGTCATGCGATCGGAGTCCCACAGTTGAAGTCTCAGCTTTTCGTCAACATTCAGCTCGTCACGGGTGACACAAACGAAGCACCACTCATCCCAATGAGGCTCCATATTCGATTTCAAGACACGTGTGGACCAGAGCGGCTTGCCAAATTTGGCCCAGCCTACACTGACATAAGGATCCGCGGAACCACCCCAGGGACCGATCTTTGTGTCTCCCTCCTTGAAGTCGAAAGCATGTTTGACGTGCACCATGATTACGCCCTGTGCGGTCGTGTCCTTCTTGAAGTCGTCTCCCATCATCATATCTTTAAGATCCAGTGTCAAAGACTTGGGTGCGACATATTCGGCTAGGGCGGCATCCACGGACGATTGAACGAATTTAGAGATTAGAGGGACGTCCATGAGATTAGGTCCCTTTTTGATGAGTGGGACGCAAGACAGAGTCACTTTCGGCTGGCCCATGAAGGCCATGGTGCAAATAGAGAAGAATGGAGGGTCTGGGCATAGCTGTAGACGAAAGCGCATAACACCAACCATGCCCGCAAGGTCAACCCAGACAGCTTTACCATGTTAGTGAATTACAAAAGCGCGTTACGGCTCAACTTACGTAGCTTAACGTTTCCTGGTAGGTAGAAAGCCAGCAGCAAGTGCGCGTGCTTCGCGCGTGTCTTGATTCCTTTTCCTGTTGAGGGTCTGTACGCGAATGCGATTTCCAGGTTGACAAAGTCGCCATCTTCAGCCTCCATGGTATCATGGCCTGGTGTTTCATCTTCGCCTTCTCCATCGTCTGGCACAGTACGGTCGTCTTTCTCTTCATCTGAAGATTTAAGATTTCCATCAGCGCCCACTGATCGAGCAGCTGCTCCCGTTGGTAGCCAGCGAACACCGAGAATACGAAGAGCTTCGCTACCCTGACCAATATCTTCGACTGCCACCATACGAACCATACTAGGAAGAGAAGCTTGCATTACATCCTGCGGTTGTTAGTTTGAGAAATTGCCATGTGTTATTTTTGTACCCACCTCAAGCGTGTCGGAGATGCTCGTGAATAGATCAGGATTGATTAACGGCCATACTGATGCAAAGAGTGAGTTTAGCCATTGAGTGCTTTCGGCCGTCTGGGTTTTGGCCAATTCTTGACCGCGTTCCCGCTCTGCTCTCCAAACTTCCACGTCCCATACATTCTTGATCTTGTTCTCTGACCATTGGCGCATGAACAGAATAATGGCTCCGGACACCGTTGCCATCGTACTGAGCTCAGCGAGCTTGAGCAGCTGTCTTGTCCAACCTGTGGAATGACGCGTTGGCCAAAACAAGGCATTAACCAACATCAAACTAACAGCTGCAGCACCCACTCCAATAGTCACAGCATGCATGTAGACTATGGAAATCTCATCTCGCGTCCGATCAAAGGATGGTGGGGGAAACAAGACCTCCATGCCTGCATGGGCTTCTTGCGATTCATGGCTTTCGACTTGCAACTGCTCGTCACTTTTGTTAATGGCATTAGTGCTGGTCGCTGTCCGAGGATCTGAGCCGGGCGGTGATGGGTTCTTTGCAGTGCTCTTCAACTCTCGATCGGTAAGATCATGAACTTTGATGGGCAGATGGGTAATCGGGTCGGTGACTAAGCGCTCCGTACCATCGGCCTTGAAATGCTTCATCTGTTTGCGGGCTTTTCTAGGATTTGCTGATTTCAGCCCGCCTTCTGTCGTGTCTTCCACCTCTTGCTCGTCATCCATGTCT